AACAAAAGATATATGTATAATTATATGTATAATAAACACTGACACTACAGACTGATTTAAAGACGATAATAATAACATGAAAGTCATTTATTTTAAAAATCTTACTAAATAGATTTCACTGTTAGTTGTGCCTCCATGGTAATTAGCCTTTTTGTGGGCCCAGTTGAAATTAAACTGGATATTTCATTCATGGTCTGTTCACAGCTTTAGCATGTCTCTTTTGGCATTTCAAGCCGTTGCATAAGAAGACAGCAGCGAATGATAAAGGTCTTCTCTCCTGTAACTTTCAAATTCAGTTGACATTATCTTTTCACTCCACCTGCCCAAACCCTGTTTCTTACAGCTCTGTGTTTCTTTTCACTTTGGTTGACTCCTCTGCCATTCAGCTCCCCATTTCTTCACCTCCCACACTATTTCTACTGTTTTTTTTCTCTCTCCTTCTTTCTTCTGCTGAGGACTGATCAGCCATTGACCATACATGTAAAGATTTGTGTATGCCTGATATGTGTGGCATTCAGTGTAAAAGCATTTTAAGTGGTCAGAAGACGAGAGAAACCACAACATTTACAGTCCGTTTTACATTAATACAGTCAGGGCTGTCATTGTGATATAAAAAACAAAGATCATATGATTGATGATAGTCAACAGTAGAACCAGCTTTCTTGTGACAGCCTTAAATGGCCATTCACCTTAACTCCTCCTGCGTTCTACTTTGATTCTTACAAACTGTTAAGGTAATATTTTATAGATAGAAGTACTGCCAAATTATGAGATGCCACAAGTCAATTAAATCTTGAATGAAGTTTTGATTCAAGCTCTCCAAACCAGTGGCTTTTTGGTGATGAAGCAGGTGACGAACCTCATTTCTAAAATTTTCCATTTCCTCAACTTTTCCTTCCCTCTATATCTTCTTTTTCTTTTTGACAGCTTGACAGTCTTTGAAATGTTTATGTAACCTTCTGCTTGAGTTAGCAAATGAGCTTTCACACATGCTGAGCTCTGCTTGAGTGATTGATGTCACTGTAAAGTGCCTGAGTGTAAGGCTGCATATTTTGCTTCAAGGACATATCTTTACCGTTTTACCTCAGATTGTTTTTCTCTGGTTTCAAAACACTGCCAAACTGTTTTTGTTTTTGTAATTTTGCCCATGTATCCACTGTTGCAATAGTCATCATGAACACCAAAGCCATGTCACATGGAGTTTAGACAAAAAGTTCGATGAGTTTATGTGAGAATTTTAGTTTAACATTTTACAAATATATTTAAAGTTGTTTTATTAATAAGAATTGAACACTTATAACTTCTTTGTCATGATCTTAATTAAACACTAGCAGAAGAAGGCATGGGGAAAACATACCATATAGTGTTTTTAAAGATATAAAGGTTAAAACTTTAACTGAACTTCTACAAACCACTGCTGCAGGTGACAGATGAAGTCATGGTCCACTGCCAAACAGCCTTCTCCACAAAAGGTCTTCACTCGGGGTTTGTTTTACTATTAAAGCATGATGCATCATAAATATACATCAACTTATACCAAAAAACACTTCTTATAGATTTTAGCAGTATATGATAAACCAACGTAATGTGACTTGCTCCCTGAGGGTGGGGGAGTGGTCACCAGAGGAGAGTGACGGTGGGACTGAGGTAATGAATGACGCCCAGGACCTGTTTTGGGAGTGGTAAACTAGGGGGAAAAGACTTCAGAGGGGCGATGGGAATGGGAACAGATGGAGTGTAGGGTGCTGGGTTGGCTAGTAAGTTTTACGTAATAAGTTTATGACAGGAGAAACTTGGTACTGCCCAGAAGTGGTGTGAGGAACCCAACCAACAACAGGAGTGGGCTCAGTTTCATGTTGCCTGGTTGCTCCTACCTAGATGCCCAAGTCATAGTTTGTGTGCAGTTGATGGACCTTTTCTAAGACCTTGGGCCACTGTGGATTTGAGGAATCTAAACCTGCACTTCATCCTTTTGTTGAAAATTCATTTACCCTGAGAAGTTCTCCCCTCCTGGACTGGCTTGTGGTCCCGTTATCTGCTGGCTCTTCTGAACTGCAAGTGGCATCCTCTTTCAAATTCACTTTCTCGTTTGTCTTTCACACACGTACACTTGTAAAATTGATCCATATAACCTGAAATTAACAGCTGTGTATTTTGATTGCCTGAGTTTTTCTTGTTTGAGGAAAAAAAAAAAAAAAAACTTTGTGGGGAATAATGAATGAACTGAAGCTGAGTTGATAAAAATGAAATTTTGTGTTTACTCTGTGCCAAAGTGATTCTGCCCTGAGGTTAAAATGACAGATCGACTGTTTTGTTGTGTAACAGCTCTAAATGACAAGATCAGGAGTGTTTTAGACAGTGTTGATTCATTGTTTTTTTTTTTTTTTTTTTATTGTGTGTGTGTGTTTGCGATTATCTTCGTATTGCTTGTTTCACCAGACTTCACCTCCAGCATGGCCGTCAACATTCCTGGATTGATAGCGATGATGTTTTTCTACCTGCTGGTTCTTGGAGTCGGCATCTGGGCTTCTTTCAAGTCCAAAAGGGAGGAGAACAAGAGTGCAGCTAACAAAATGGATATGGCCCTGCTGGGGAACCGGGGCATAAAAAAAGTTGTTGGGATCTTTACAATGACAGGTGAGGTATTGCTTTATGATCCTGCTGATCCGTTTCAACAATTTGTGAAACCTGAAAAGTATTAACATAACACTGCCCCTTACAGTATAATGGTATAAAAATAAGAGCAAGCAATAGTATCTGTGGTTAAATAAAACATATGTCTCTATCTTAGAGGACCTGGGAGAATTGGACACATGCACTTCATAAACTCTCGGCAACTTTGCCGTCCTCCAAAGACTTAGTTTGTTAATCCAGAAAATGACAGACACTACAGTCTAAGATGCAATCTCTTACATCCAAAGTGTTAGACCATAGACTGTATAAAGAATGGACAGTGTCTGCCTCCTCGCTGGGTGAAGCCACTCTGTGAACAGCACCCTCTGGTGATGGGCTGCAGTATAGGTAATAAATTCTGCCTCCGCCAGCAAAGCTTATGGGGCTGTGGACAAACTTTAGAAATTTATTACACAGAATATACATTTTTCTCCCCCCTGCATGTGTTGACATGTAGGGCTCTATTTTCGTCTAGCGGAGCACGGCGCACAGCCAGTTTGGTATTTTTGTGGACTGAAGTGCACCGAGGTCTGCCAAGCTGGGCATGGTGGCGTGGCAGGGGGAGGTGTCGACAGAATCAGCGGGCGCAGTGACATTTTCATGCTCGCCGCCGGCGTGTGAAGTGCGCTGAAAGCTCGCCGATTCAAACCTGGTCAGTTTTCAGCGCAGGTGGAGTGCAGCTGGTCTAGTAGTATTTTGGTAGACTGGCGGCATATTGGCATACGTCACTAATGCCTCACCGGCGGGTTTACACAGTGTCAGGCACATTTCCGTGCAATAAATAATCAATAACAACTAATAATCTGAGTCAGCACATACATTTAGATCTATATCGATATATTCTGATCTATATCTGATCTGATGAGAGCGTTTGGCACGCGTTTGGACACTCCACCTGACCAAAACAACACAGCTGAAACCGCTTGAGATTAAATTAAATATGTAGTAAATAGACACACATGATGAAGTGAACAAGATACGTAATTCGTCTCCCTCCTTTTCTTTCTTCCTCTTATTTCTCGCGTAGCTTGACCTGGACACGTCTCCGTGTCCTCTGTCCGTCTTCCTGCTGCTGCGGCGGCTGAACAGATGATTTGTTTCAGTGATCAGATGAGTTTTTTACTTTAAGCCTACATACGAATATTATAATATTCAGTTTTGTGAGCCAAATTTATTTGATATGCCAACATCTATGAAAGAAAGAGCCAGGCCACGGAGCGCGATGCGTCATTTACGCACAGATGGTTCCAATTTTAATGCCATTTTTGGAGTTTATGATGTGATCTGTGCGCACAACCCACCTTTGTCACGTGAGGTTTGAATATGTGCAACTTGATGTGAGTGTCTTTATTTGTGGAAAAGGATGTTTGTCTTACCAGTGGGTCCAACGTTACACACACCAAATCCATCTGTGCTCATATGAGAGAGTGTGGAGCACGCCCTCAGCAGTGCTTACAGTGACACAGCTGCCTTCTGTTGCCATCATGTGGCATTACTGTCTTCAGACATCCCTTGATCTCTTTGACTACTTCACGAAAATAGTAATACGCCTCGCCTGTGACAGATTTAAAGGCGAGGAGAGGAGCTTATGTGATTGGTCAATATGTTACGGGTCCCGGGCATTACCGAGCACCACGCAACAATGAAGATTGTTTCTGTAAAACAAAGTAAAGGTGTACTGAAATGAGGCTGTATGAACTCCTTGTGTCTCCTCCATTCACTGAACTCAGATTTATTCACAATAGTTGACAATAACCATCTCAAATCAACCAATCAATCGACCACACAGTCAGACAGTAAACAACAATAATAAAATATTTCCCGTTCTGAATGAATATCGACTGAATATCTCTGAATCTGTCCTTTGTTAGGTTTTTCCTATATGTGTGTATGTGTGGTTTAGGTATGTGTGTGTATGGATGTATGTGTGTGTGTGTTTATACATGTGTTTGTGTGTGGGTGTGTGTATATGTATGTGGAAACATTTGTTAACCACATCAGCATAAACAATGTCATACACAAAACAACCTGTACGACATCCTTATCAAAACTCTACACATCAGTCAAATGTTCTGATAACCTTTTAGAAAAGTATTCGAATGTCAGGACTAACCGTCAACATGGCACATTCGCGTGTCCGAAACATAACACAGCAAAACACCGACGCCTTCGTATCTGCCGCGTCACAGCACGTTAGCCGCTAGAGTCGCTAGCAACGTAAAATCACATGGCGAACCGCGGGCATTCTAACCCTCTTAAAACTTAAAACTTTGTCATTCAAGTGTCCTAACACATCCCCACATTCATGCCAATGCTTACGATCTTAGTCATCGTATTTTCACAGTGAACCAACCTGTAAAACAAAGTAAAGGTGTACTGAAATGAGGCTGTATGAACTCCTTGTGTCTCCTCCATTCACTGAACTGCCGGTGGGCGGAAGTCGCTTACCTCTCACCCTATCGTGCAGCAGTGAAACTGGCCGCTCACCAAAGGTTCCGGTCCCCATAACAAATACATAGTAATGCATACCGATGACTTTCTGGCATTCAACCATTAAAATAAGTTATGAAAAATAAAAAAAAAAAGTGCTTAATACATCACTTTATAAAGTGTTTGCTGTTTCCAAAATAAAGTTCCTTCACTCATTTATGAGGGTATCACAGTCTCCCCGACAAACAGAAGTGGCTCCCGACACTTGACCTAAAAAAATAGAAAACCTCACAGTTCAAAGTTCACCAAACGGCTTCACTCATGTAGAAAAGATGAGAACAAAGGCACTCCCAACGTAGGCATCGAATGTCCTTAACGTGTGCATAGTCTGTGGCACTTCAAGTGTCTCACTTCAGTTCAAAAACAAGGTACTGGGTATGCGGTGTATGGGAGTGGATATGTAGTGTATGGGAATGAATGTGGTGTGAAGGCCGGGGACATGGGGGGTTGGAAGGGGAGGGGATAGTGCTGAGGGAAATGGTGCTGAGGGTACTGTAGCTGGGGCCACTGCGTCGGATGAATTTCCACTGCATTCACGCTGGGGCGGCGCTGGTAGGCTGGTTGACCCAGAGAGGGGTAGGTGAACATGTAGCCAGGCTTTCTCACCCGGGTGGAGTGTCTCACGGGGGCTGGGTGTTCCGGCCGGAGTGGCTCTGCGATGTCTTCCCCCAGGCAGACGACTTCACGTACCTGGTGATCATCGTTGAGCTGGGGCTGATCCATGTCTTGTTCAGCCTCACGGTATACTTCTGGTTCCTCTTCCATGTTGTTTTCGCTGTTCTGTTCAGGTTCCGCGTTGACTCCCTGTTCAGGTCTGACGTCAACTCTTTCTTCCTGGTGAAGTCCATGGTTCATGTTCCCTTGTGACTCTTGAATTACGTCCCGATCTGGTGAGGGACTGGCAGTTCTGGTTGGTAGTCGCAGCCAGTAGCGATACACACCACCCTCTTCTTCCGAGTCACTTGTGTCTGGGCTCGGTGCCTGTTCTGTGGGTTTTACAGACTCAGAGTGTCTTTTAACTTTCTTGTGCGACCCACGCGTGCTGGTGGCTGGACTTTGTGGTGGTTCCACTGGCAGATCATTTACTTGCAATAGCAGGTTCCGATGTAGGGTGCGAGTAGGCCGGTTTCCTGTCTCAGGGGCGACTTTGTAAACAGGATTGTCTCCAACCTTCTCCTTTACAATGTAGATGGTCTGCTCCCAGTAGGATCGGAGTTTACCAGGTCCACCTCTCTCACTGAGGTTACGCACCAGGACCCTATCTCCAGGCTCAAGAGTCACACCTCTGCTGCGCTTGTCGTAGTACTTCTTGCCCTTACTGCTGGACTGCTGGCTGTTTTCGTTCGCTATCCTGTAAGCCTCGGTCATCCTTCCTGCCCATTTGTTGGCATATCCTTGGTGGGTTTCTGTTTCTCCGTCGGCTATGAGGCCAAACAGAAGGTCGACGGGGAGGCGTGGATGATGGCCATACATCAAATAGTAGGGGGAAAACCCGGTGGCTTCGTGCTTCGTGCAGTTATATGCGTGAACAACATGAGGCAGGTGATCTTTCCAATTCCCCTTTTCTTTCTCTCCCAACGTCCTGAGCATTTGTAACAGTGTGCGGTTTAGTCTCTCCACAGGGTTTCCTTGGGGGTGATAGGGAGTGGTTCTGGAGTGACCCACCCCGGCTAGTTTTCTCAGGGACCGGAACAACTCGTTTTCGAACTCTCCTCCCCGGTCATGGTGGAGTTTGGACATGTAGCCAAACCGGGGAATAAAGTCATTGAACAGCTTGTCGGCCGCCGTCTTACCAGCTTTATTACGGGTGGGGTAGGCTTGTGCAAACCTGGTGAAGTGGTCGACCACCACCAGAATATACTCACATCCACCACGGGAGGGCTCCAGATGGAGGAAGTCGATGCACACCAGTTCGAGGGGCGAGTTGGATGTAACACTGCCCATGGGCGCTCTTTCATGCACTGCTGGCTTCTTCTGTTTCAGACAGGGGCACTTTCTGGTGACATACTCCTCTATCTCTCTCTTCATGAATGGCCAATAGAAGCGCTCTCTTGCCAGGGTCAGGACTTTTTCAACACCAACATGGCCCATGTTGTTATGCAGGTAGGTGAGGGCTAGTTGCTTGTATGTGGCCGGCAATACCAGCTGTCTTCGGCCTGTGGTTTTCCTGTACAATAGGCCGTCCTCAATATGCAACTTGCTCCACTCCCTTAGTAGCCTCATGGTGTCTGTGTCCCAGTTGTTCTTGTTGTACTCTGTCGGTGTTGTGTTGCTGTCCTTTAACTCCATGACCTTTCCAATTGCCGGGTCTTTTCTTTGTTCTTTAACCAGTTCATCATGACTTATGGCCTGCAGTGGCTCCATGCGGGGCTGAGTTTGGGATGCAAGGCTGAGGGCTGCGACCCAGGCAACGTCCTTCTGCTGAGCTCTCCGGGTTCCTTCCCAGACAGTGCACACGGCCTCGTCCGATAGCTCCTCAGAGCACTCCGTCATGAGGGTCTCGATGTCAAGGGGGCAACGGGACAGGGTATCGGCATCGATGTTCATCTTGCCTGGCCGGTATCTGATGTCGAAGCGAAAATCGGCGAGCTGCCCCACCCACCGGTGGCCCACCGCATTGAGCTTGGCCGTGCTTAGGACATACGTGAGCGGATTGTTGTCTGTGAAGACAGTGAAGTGAGGGGCATAGAACAAATAGTCTCTGAATTTATCACATACCGCCCACTTTAGTGCCAGGAACTCTAGCTTGCCGCTGTGCAGGTGGTAATTCTGCTCCGCTGGGGTCAGTGTGCGTGAACCGTAGGCAATCACCCTCAGCTTTTCATCCTGGTGTTGATAAAGGACTGCTCCAAGACCTTCCTGGGATGCATCCGTATGGAGTGTGTAGGGTTGATTGTAATCGGGGTATGCTAACACTGGGGGTTCCATCAGCATGTCTATTAGACGTTCCAGTACCTGCTGGTGTTTCTCGTTCCACACGACTGGAGTGTGAGAGGACTGTTGAGGGGACTTTGTCTTGCCTCGGGTGATTTTGGGCGGGAGATTGTCAGTCTGTACTTTCAACAGGTCATACAGAGGCTGGGCTATCCGTGAGAAATCTTGTACAAAGCTCCTGTAGTAGCTCAGAAAGCCCAATAGTCGTCTCACGTCTCCGACTGTCTTTGGTGCTCTGTGTTTCAATACCCGCACAGCCTCCAAGTCCTTGGGGTCCACCCTCACTCCATCGGCAGACACCAGCCGGCCAACATAGCGGACTTCTTTCCGGAACAACTCACACTTCTCTGGTTTCAGTTTTACGCCATGACGCTGGAGAGCCTGGAGTACTTTGCGCAGTACCTCCACATGCTGCGTGAATGACTTTGAGAAACATAAGACGTCGTCGAGGTAAGGGATGCAGCATTCATCTCGGAGCGTGTCGAGCATCTCCTCCATACTCCTTTGAAATGCTGCTGGGGCGTTGGATAATCCAAAGGGGATCCGGACCCACTCGTACAGCCCCCACGGGGTCGTGAACGCTGTCATGTACCTTGACTCTTCAGCCATAAAGCCTTGGTGATAGGCCTTGCCCTGGTCAAGTATCGAAAACCAGCCATACCCTCCCAGTGAGTCAGTGAGATCCTGGATCCGGGGGAGGGGGTGTCGGTCTGGCACTGTCTTGTTGTTTAGAAGCCGGTAGTCGATGCATAGGCGCAGGGACCCATCCTTCTTTCTCACACATATGACAGGGGCTGCATAGGGGGACCGGGACTTTACGATCCATCCTTTCACAAGTAGCTCCTGCACATACTCCTTCACCTCTTTGTAGAGTGGTTTCGGGATAGATGCATAGGATTTTTGCACTGGGATGTCGTCCTTGAGTCTTATCTCCATCTGGAGTGAGGGGATGCAACCGATGTCATCACTGTCCCTGGCAAAGGCCCCTGACTCCTCACAGAGCAACTTCTCTACCACCTGCTGCTGTTCGGGGCTCAGGTGGCTGATGTCGACAGGCGGCAGCCAGGGCTCAATGGAGGCTATACTGGGGGAGGCAGTGTGGGCAACCTCTGCCGTTGCAGTTGTCAGGGTGACGTCCGCTCGGTGTGACTCTGTTGTTTCTGTCTCGAGGACCTTGGTGACATTCTGGATGACACCTAAGGGCGTTCTCTTTGGCAGGATGACATCGTGCTTTGAGTGATTAGAAATGGGCACTTTAACATGGGGTCGCCCTGCGTGGTTGATTTCTATGAGGCCCTCACCTATGCTCAACTGCCCCAGGACAGGGTTCCCATCTGCAGGCTCATACAGGACAAGGGGATCAGAAGTGTCAAAGTTGGGGGGGACCCTACACCGCACATGTACTGCCTTCCCGGCCGGAACCACAATATTGTCTCTGCCCACTCTAACCGTGGCGGGGTCACACAGTGTCTTTTGGGGGGCTTGGATGCAGTGGACCATGGCAACCACTTGTTCTTCCTCCATCCCGAATGCTCTGCGTAGGAGGCTGAGCAGTGTGGCTACCGCCGCACCCGAGGACTCTTGTCTTTTGATGACCTGTTCAAGTACATTGGCCCCTAACAATGGCTGGGATAGGGGCAACTGGCTGACCAGGAAGGGCGCTTGGACTATGAGGTCTGGGTCATTGTTTCCATTGAGGTTGACAGTCAGTTCCACCCACCCGTCGTAGGGGATAGACTGGCCATTCGCTGCAAAGACCTCCAGGTCATGTTCAAAGAGCTCTTGTAGCGCCCTCACTTGGTAACTGGGGATGTGGGTGTTAGCCCACGCTCTGTCAATTATGCTCACTTGCGAGCCAGTGTCGAACAGGACCGTTGCAGGGTGCCCATTGATCGAGCATTTCAGCTGGCTTCTCTTCCCCACTAAGGGCGTTTGGCACTTGTTTCCACTCTGACAGGTGAGGGTTTGGGTTGGGTGTTGTTTGCGGGATCCGGACAGTTTTGATGGGCGTTGAGAGGTGGGGTTTATTGGTTGGGACTGAAGTTGCGTGCCGGTCTCTGACTGTCCCTCGGCAGAGACCGGGTCTCGTTTCCCTGAAACCTGGTCCGCTTCAAGCATCCTACTGCCCGGTGTCCTGTTTCACCACACACAAAGCAGTGGCTGCACTCCTGCAAATTCTCTTCTGTACATTTTTGGCAACGAGCTGACCTTCGCCTTTCCTGGAAAGGGGGTTGGGGGTTGACATTGGGGGGTGGCTGGAATGAGTGCTGTGATGAGGTATGGGGAGATGGGCGGGCGGATGATGGCAGGGGAGGAGTGTGACTGGAGGGTGAGTGGAGGGGGTGATACGACGGAGGCTGGGCTGGTACTTGGAATGGCGGTGGCACCTGGCTGCTGTTTACTTGATGGTCCATCAGAGCGGCCACCATTTGTGTCAGGGTCTCCACCTGCGCACTAAGCTGCTGTATGGTCTGGGTGTTCTTGTTATCTGCTGCAGAGCCTCCCTGTTTGTTGTCATTCTGTCCACCTGTTTCCACCTTGGCGCTGTGGGCGTGGCTTGACTTTTGGCGGGGAAGCTGACCGAGTCTGCGCTGATGTTCATTCTCGTCGCTGATCATTTTTGTCATCTGCCCGAGAATTTCCTCGTCGGTGACTTGGCTATTCGATACAAGGGGTCTCAGTCTTTGTCGGAGGTCGCTGTGTTTCGGTCCCAGGCCCTGATAAATTGTGTTGAGGAAGACCTCCTGGATGGTCTTGGGGTCGTACGAAATGTCAGTGTTGGCCTGCTTTGACTGGAACAGTAGTCTCTGTTTGAGTCCAATCATGCGGTACAAGAACTGCTGTGGTGACTCGTGTTCGGCTTGCTGGGCACACATCAGCTCCTGAAACATCTCCGTAGTAGCCTTCTCCCCCAGATGAGACCTGAGAAAGACCTTGAGTTCAGGGACGGCCAAGTCATCCTTGTTTGACAACATGTCTTTGAATGCGCCGGGTTTGATGATCCTCAATACGCCCCGGACCACTTCTACGTCGGCGAAGCCTTCTTTGACTCCTTCATCGATCTGCTTACTGAGGTTACTATAGCTGACCTCAGAGCTCTGGTCCCCAATTTGGCCCCCATGAACCTTGAACTCTCGTCGCTGCAGGTAGGGGAAGTCTTTAAGAGGAACCATTCTCTCCGGGTCTCTCTGTGAAGGGGGGTTGAACGCTGGTCCACCTTGGTGGCTGTGTATAGGGGCGGGGAATGCAGCCGTAGCCTCATACTGCCTCAGTTTCTTTCCCAGCTCCTCATACAGCATCTTCAGTTCCCCCACCGGCTGGGCTACTGTGTCGACAGGGAGAGTGAGAAGGGGAGAGGGCTGCATAACAGTGGTGCTGACCAGGGGGAAGGGTGATGATGAGGTGTAGTCTGATGGGGTCGTGTGGGCAGGGGGGATGGGATGTGGAGGGGATGGCATAACGGCGTCGGTGACATGAGGGCTGGGTGATAGTGATGTGTGGTCTGTCTGAGGTGGGGTGGGGTCAGCACTGGCCTCCATAGGGGTCGTCGCGACCGCTGGCCACTCCGCCTCGCTCATCATCTGGTTAATCACGTCGTTTAGCACCAGCAGTTTACTGACACCTTCATCCTCACTTCCTTGAAGGGCGTCAGACTGCATGTAGGAGATGATGTAGTCCATGCACTCCTCCTCATCGGTCGCACTCAGCTGTTCAGTCTCTGAGCTGTCTGATGCGATGTCTGTTACTATCTGACGTAGCTTGGCACCTGACAGCTTGAATAAACCTCTCCTGATGTTCCACACCAGCTCCTTCCGTACCCGGGACATGGCGTGCTTGGCTCAGGGGTTACTGCGATGTTTCGTTGTGGGAAATGCTGGCTTGGCACACCAGCAGCGTTGCTACTCGGCGACTGACGTGCGTTGAATCCCAACTCAGCTGTGCCGCTCCTTGGTGAGATCTTTATTCTTATCTCCACCCTTGGACAGTCACGGCTGACTCCTGGTCCGCAGTCACGTCTCGCCACCTCAGTCTCGTGGTTCTTGAATCACTGGATCAGCATCCAACCAACAGCTGGCGCTGATCCCGGACGAGCCCCCACAATTTGTTACGGGTCCCGGGCATTACCGAGCACCACGCAACAATGAAGATTGTTTCTGTAAAACAAAGTAAAGGTGTACTGAAATGAGGCTGTATGAACTCCTTGTGTCTCCTCCATTCACTGAACTCAGATTTATTCACAATAGTTGACAATAACCATCTCAAATCAACCAATCAATCGACCACACAGTCAGACAGTAAACAACAATAATAAAATATTTCCCGTTCTGAATGAATATCGACTGAATATCTCTGAATCTGTCCTTTGTTAGGTTTTTCCTATATGTGTGTATGTGTGGTTTAGGTATGTGTGTGTATGGATGTATGTGTGTGTGTGTTTATACATGTGTTTGTGTGTGGGTGTGTGTATATGTATGTGGAAAGGGGATATAAATGTAAACATTTGTTAACCACATCAGCATAAACAATGTCATACACAAAACAACCTGTACGACATCCTTATCAAAACTCTACACATCAGTCAAATGTTCTGATAACCTTTTAGAAAAGTATTCGAATGTCAGGACTAACCGTCAACATGGCACATTCGCGTGTCCGAAACATAACACAGCAAAACACCGACGCCTTCGTATCTGCCGCGTCACAGCACGTTAGCCGCTAGAGTCGCTAGCAACGTAAAATCACATGGCGAACCGCGGGCATTCTAACCCTCTTAAAACTTAAAACTTTGTCATTCAAGTGTCCTAACACATCCCCACATTCATGCCAATGCTTACGATCTTAGTCATCGTATTTTCACAGTGAACCAACCTGTAAAACAAAGTAAAGGTGTACTGAAATGAGGCTGTATGAACTCCTTGTGTCTCCTCCATTCACTGAACTGCCGGTGGGCGGAAGTCGCTTACCTCTCACCCTATCGTGCAGCAGTGAAACTGGCCGCTCACCAAAGGTTCCGGTCCCCATAACAAATACATAGTAATGCATACCGATGACTTTCTGGCATTCAACCATTAAAATAAGTTATGAAAAATAAAAAAAAAGTGCTTAATACATCACTTTATAAAGTGTTTGCTGTTTCCAAAATAAAGTTCCTTCACTCATTTATGAGGGTATCACAAATACAGGTCTCGGCTGTGTTAAACCCACTCTCCGCCCACTCTTAATTTTTTTTTGGATTGACACCTGATACAGCCTATTGGCGTTTAGGTATTGTGTAGCTTACCCTGGGGACACGCTGTTTGAGCAGAGCGTCATCACAGCGACTCTCGGCAGAGGGCCGTGAGGCTGCAGGTTTTCTTTCCAACCCAAAACTCAACCAGGTGATTTCACTGATTACCTTACCTCCAAGCAGAGAGCAGGGTCTAACCAGTGAAATCACCTGGCACATCTCCATGGCACATTACTGCCTACCCCTGTGTTAGACCCAGTGATGAATGACTGCTGTGCTGCTAATTAAACCTTCAACTGTCACACTTTATAGGTTTGTATAACTTCTTTAGGGTGGAGATACGCCTCTTAGCGTCTGTTTACAGTGTGGAATGCATAAACACATGGATGATCAAAGCCCCGTGAGCGTCAGGAAGTGTAGTGCATTGGAAGAGCAGGTTATTGTTTACCACTTGAACCACTTTAATTGAAGCTGTTCATCACCACTTACAATGATGCCCTGACATGCTTGAAAAGTTGCTGGCTGCTAGCCATTCACATCGCATGCTAGCTTACACAACCTGTCTGTTATCGACATGAATGTCACTGACTGGTCCTTTATCAGCAGCTACTGCTAAGTCTCTACTGAATCATCTCATTTTTCTACATTTAACTGTAACTCTTTGCATCTGTCCTTGCTTGTTTATAACTTACTTTCTTGTACTGTCAATATTCTAGCCACTTGGGTCGGAGGAATCTACATCATGGGCATAACTGAGATGGTTTACACCCCCTCTTTGGGACTAACATCAGCAGTGTTGATGATAACAGCCTTTTCTGCCTCGTTTATTTTCGGCAAGTATGGAATAATTATTTTGATGAATTTATAAAATGTGTATGCATACAAAGAAGTCTTAAACGGAATAAAAATATATATGACAAGGTTTCTTCTTATATGCTATTTCATGCAACTTCCACGCCAGCTAAGCTGGAGTGAGAGAAGTTGGCTCAGGTTATCTAAACAAAATAAAACACTTCATACCAAATATACTTTTTTTCAGCATGCAACTAATCTTTCAAAGCAGACTACAATAAAGATGTGTAGACTGCTCATTCAATTTGCAATGGATGCAATCACTTGGTTCTAAAGTTAATAAACAAAAAATTAATAAAACTACATTTTTTTTCCAATTACAACTTTGTCTATCTAATTTATTTTTGTTTGTTTGTTTTGAGTCATTTGGTGTCAATTGCAGTGGGGTCTTAAATTATGAATTATGAAACTATGAAATTATGAAAAACTGACAGAAAAGGGATGTAAGCTTAGGTGAATGCCTCGCTATGACAGAGAAGTCAACTTTACAACATTCAAGACTGCAGCACAAAAACCATGTTTGATTTTAAGCTGCTCACATGCCCTTTATTTACTCTTTGGTTGAATTAAATTTTTTTTTTCTTTTTCTTCTCATTAAAACCAGGTAAATCAGTTATATTCAGATGACATTAAGATAGAATTATAGCTCTTCTGACATCAAAAATGAGAAATCTTTAGTTCTGGAGTGGCTTTTTGTCCTACTGATGTTAACTTGTATCTTGCCAACAGAATATTTGTCTGTTTTATTTTGCAGGTGGTCTCCTGTTTGCCAAACCAATGAGAGACAGCAAGTATATAACAATGTTAGACCCCTTCCTGTTCAAGTATGGAAAAGTTCTGCTTGCCATTCAGTCACTGAATTCACTCCTTATAGACGTGGTCTGGTTGGCCGGGACCCTGATTAGCTTAGGTACAGTATGGAAACACCTGACTTTCAACTACTGGATAGATTAATATTCACACAGTTATAGTCAGTTATTCAGTTACAGTACACTAGTCACATCAGATGAGTTTAATCCAAACTGAGAATGAATACTAAACCGCATTAAAACGCATTCTGTTTGTCATGAAAAGCTTGGGCACATGCTCGGCCAATAGATGTAGAGTTTTTAAGTTCTGCTCTTTTAAAATGTGAGTAACTTGTTGCAAAGCAGGAGTGAAGGTAATAGCCTGAGCAATATTTTAGAAGACAAAAAGGCATGTTTGTGTGTGTGTTTCAGGTGCCGCTATGAATGTGATTTTGGATTTGTCCTACACTGTGAGCATCTGGATCTCTGCCACTGTGGTCATAGTCTACACTCTGCTGGGAGGTCTCTATTCTGTAGCTTACACGGACATTATACAGATCACCCTCATTTTCATCACCTTGGTAAGGGTGCTATAGTTCTTATAAATTTGTATAAAATACATTAAGACAACATTCAGACATTTTATCATGATTAAGTTTGGGGACATTCGGCTTTGATACATTTGTGAAAAATCAACCACAGTAATCTCAATTTGGGTTGGGATTAAATGGTGTACTGCCTAGTATGTGGAGCTTTTATGGCTTGAATTTTGTGTCTCTCAAATTTAAGTAACAGTAAGTATAGCCTGAAAAAAAGTTGGTCTGCTGGACATAGTCACAAACTATTTTTAGAAACCTTCATAAAAAAAGAAAATAAAGTTTATATCTATTTTCATGGGATTTGTCAGTCAAACTAAATTTCATAAACAGAGATTTGCATTTCCCATGCCTAAGTTTTCTGTCAAAGTAATATCTAAGGGAAAATAATTGTAAATGTTGGACACTGAAGTTTCTTTCTTGTGGTTTTTTTTCACCCCTTCAGTGGATCTGTGTTCCATTTGTGCTGTTGAACCCATACTCACATAGTATTTCCAAGACAGCATGGAACAATACATTTCAGCCTTCCTGGATTAATAAACTGGAGAGCAAGAATTCCTGGACAGCCTTGGACAGTTTCTTATATCTTGTAAGATCAAGTACATTTCTTTACTACAGTTGCTCTGACATCTGTTCAGTCCTAATTCATCCCTTGCCTGTACAACTTTGCCCTTCCTTTACATATTGAATGTTAAAAACTAGGGTTTGGGCATCTGGAGTGTTTTTATCCTGTCCCAGGTCTCCCTCCTCCTAAGAGTACTGTCCCTGATGAATGAGACGAAATGCTTTTTCAAAAAGTTAGCCCTGCTATTGACTGGAAACCACACAAATCATTCATTGCTTCTCTTTAGTTGGTTGCTGGCTTAAGACCCCACTTCCCTCCAACTATGTTTTAAACCTGAGTGGTACTGTGTGTGAGGACCGTTTGAAAATTTGTACGGGTAGAGGTGGAAATTCAAACATTTAATTGATCAAACCCATGCATGGACATTGGGAGTAAGTTATTGACTCAAAATATTATTTGAGATTATCTTAGAAAAACAGACCCTAATTGGTTGATAAATCCTCCAAATTGTGTCTGTGTTCATAATATATGAACTCCTCTCGCCAGCTCATCAGACAATTAAGGGTTGTCTTTTTAAGCTTTATGATTATTTCCTGTGCTGATTTTGATTATTTATTATCTTATTTATGATCTTAACAAACAAAGTTTAGAAAACAAGAAATATTAACCAGGAGTAGTATTGACAGAGACTCTCTCTTTTCAAGGCCCTGGGAAACCTTGGATATCAAGCTTTTCACCAAAGGGTCTTGTCTGCTACCTCCTCTTCCTCAGCCAGGATTACATGCTTTGTTGCTGCTTTCGCAATCCTGATATTTGGAGTTCCTCCTATACTGATCGGGGCTGTGGCAGCGTCTACAGGTACAAACATGGTTTATATTTAATCAATTAATTTGTCTATTTTTGTTTATTTATTTAGTTTTAAGACAAACAAGTCTTGGTTTATTTAAAAAAAATCCGACACAGATGGTTTCTTCACATTAAAAAAACATACACGACAAATAATTTATTAATCTTTATTCAAAAAACACTAATGAAATCAGTAAGTTTTTATCAACTAAGTTCTCATTTTGACTGAACTTTTTAAATAAAACAGCAGAATCAATCAACAAATGTTTCAAAAAATGACATTGTAGGCATGTCTGCAATAACAACTTCTAGGCACTCTCCCCTTAATTATCGCTTTTATGTACAATTAAATTCAGTTGACTTTGGCTGTGAGAAATAATATATGGTGAAAGAGTGAGTAAGAACCCTGACAGGATTACTTTATGTATAGACCAGATCAAGAGCTCTTTTTTGGACAATATGAAAATACAGTATATTTTGTCAAATACATAAGTGAAGTTCAATGTTATTCACATTCAAGAATAGGAAAATATGTTCAAACTTTAACCCAAGACCAGCATTCACTTAAACATCTTCAACTTGCTTTTTGTCCAATCTGTGTCCATGTCAGACTGGAACCTCACCTCTTATGGTTCACCTTCTCCTTTGGAGCGTGGGGAGGGAGCTATGGTCCTGCCTATTGTTCTGCAGCACCTTATCCCAACTGCTGTCTCTATAATTGGTACTGGAGCCATTGCAGCTGCCGTCATGTCTTCAGCTGATTCTGCTTTAATCTCTTTTGCTTCAGTTTTCACCTCCAATATATACAAAACTGTCCTCAGGCAAAAGGTGAGATAAAACAATTGAATTCATTTATCAAAGATAAGGAAAATTGACTTATATCTTGTGGGCCAAACTAAGCAGTGACATAGAAATAAAGAAAATATTTTAGTTAAAACCATCACTTCATTGCACTTTTTCTCTCTTTGCTTTTTTAATTTCTTCAGGCATCAGAGAGAGAAATCCAGTGGGTAATCCGGGCTTCTGTAGTTGTTGGAGGTTTGCTCGGTACATCACTCACCAACCTGAAAAACAGCATTGTGGTTATGTTGTTCCTTGGGTGTGAAGCAGCCTACATAATGATCTTCTCTCAGCTCATTTGTGCTCTCTTCTTCAACATCTCCAACGGATATGGCGCTATCATGGGCTTGCTGATTGGTTTGCTGTCAAGACTTCTAGCAGGAGAACCATCACTAGGCTTGGCACCTGTCATACATTTCCCTGGATGCATACTGGAGGATGGTGTTTACATCCAGTACTCTCCAGTAAAGACCATTGCTGCGCTGGCTGCTTTTACTGGCAACTTATTTTTCTCATATTTGGCGTCTGCAATGTTTGACAAAGGCCTGCTCCCTGAAAAGTGGGATGTGTTCCAAGTGAAATCCCAGCATTCAACACAACCAGTGACACCCACAGTAGACACAAAAGGGTTAAGTGAAAAGGAGGGGTGCGATACGAAAGAATCTCAACAAGATGCCTCAGAACCAATGATAACCAGTACGTGTTGAATGTGCAACTTATTGGCAAAAAGACTGAATCTATCAGTTACATCTGGAAAACCAACAAACAGAAGAAATCACAGATTGATTGAAAAGAGTCACTCCTTTGAAATAAAACTCTAAATTCAGACATTTCATGTATATCAGTAAAACAGAAGTCAAAATTCATCAAGTCAACCTACAGTTACTGAAAATCAGGAGTCTCATTTGAAGGGCAGTGCTTGAAATTCACATATGTATATATTCCAAACTTGATATGTGTTGGGATGAAACTAGTCCAGGTTTATAAAATTTGGGAACTTGGGAATGTCCTACATTTAACCATCAGTCTTCATTACCCATAGATGTCATCAAGTGTTTACAAGTCCACAGTTTACATGAATTAGCAGCGACACAGATAGTTCAAATCCATAAAGATTTTGGCATATTTTGGGGGAAAAGGACACTAGACAACCACATAGCTTCTATAGAGTTTGATCTCAGCTACCTCCAAGTTTTTGAAACTCAAAGAAATGATGGAAAACATGAAATGTTTACACAATGTTATGTTCTTACTGGCTGTATTTGAAATTGCTCACTCCATACCAATGTGTTTCAAAGGTGTTTGCTGATTTTCAGATTTGGAAAGAGATGGTCAAAACTGTCTAGTTGATGGTAAAACTGCTACTGTGTAGGATCTCCCTGTGGTTTGTAAAAAAGTTAAGGAAAGGTATATGGGATTTGCGGTGTACAGTTACCTCTAGGAAGATAAATGCTTGTTTAATTTAGTGACAAGATTCTGAATATATATATGTGTATATATGTGTATGTGTATATATATATATATATATATATATATATATATGTGTGTGTGTTTGTGTGTGTGTGTGTGTATACGTGTTCATTCATAGTTACGATGCCTTCAGTAATAATCTAAAATGTAAATAGTCATACAAAAAAAATAAAGAAAAGACAATGAACGAGAAGGTGTGTCCAAACTTTTGACCTGTACTGTATATATATATATATATATATATATATATATATATATATATATACACATTTTTAATTTAATGACATCAATCATAAATGTAACTGGATTTAATCCAGCTTTAATTACACTGGGTACCCTTTCATGAAACTTTCTGACGTGGTATTTTTGTACATGATGAAGCCTGCACTGTCTTGGTGAAAGCATCTCCCTTTTTGTAACTGTCTAATTTAACAATAAAGAATATCAAAAATAGTTCCTAGCATAAATTAGTAAATTCATTTTGTTAACAACTTTGAAAAAATAGTGATATCATTTTGTCAAGGTCTACTTGTAAAATGTAACACGAAAGCCAGTGAAGAATAGCATCTAGTGGCAATGGTCGACCCAGTGGTGGGATGAAAATGACACGGATGGTACAAGCTTATTTTAAATATCACATACACAGTCCAGTGTAACAGGCACAATGACGCAGGAATGTCTTGTATTGTGCGCACAACAGATGGGTTCAGTAAAATCATTCCAAATCAGTGCTTTTTTTTTTTTTTTACTGGGGAAAAAAGGAGACTCCCATTTGTCAAGGCTAACAGTGATTTCAACATAACTACAAATCCTATTTCTACCACGTTCTGAGAAATTGTGTTAAAAGTTGCACACTGCACCTTTAGGCTCTTCTAAGTCAATTCTTTCCTCCTAATTTGATGAATAGTTTCATGGGGTCCTCTTTCAGTTACATGTGTCATAAATGATCATGAGTTTACAGCCTTTTAACCCTACAGTGTTCAAACGATCTCACTTTTTTTTTAGATAACTTCAAGTCATGTTTGGCAGATGCTTTGCAGAAGTTATTAAGTAAATCCTTCTAAGAAAGTCAGAGTTCACATGGGAAAAAAAGGAGTGAAAATGACATCAAAAAGTGGGCAAGTAACTTCATGTTATACAGAGATAGCTTAACTCTGTACTCTGACAGCAGTGTCTGATTTATCACCTGGAGACATTTATTTCATACATTGCTGCAAAGAAAAAATAAAAATCAAGTACATGGAGTGTACTCTTGAGGTTACATAAATTTGTCATTCTTATTATTCTTGTTGAAATCAATCTCCATTAGCACACCATCTTGTGTTTCAGACCCTTAGTGATGTGTTGGTGTGAAGTCTCTCGTATGTACCAGCCTTATTCTTGACCAGTAAAGTGAGCTAAGGTAGAAGAGCTAAACGCTACAGTTCCCAGTCGCCACTAGAGGCTGGGTGCAAAAGCCTGGGAAGTTCAATCAAGACTCATGTTTAAACACCTAATTTTGGAGCAAAATTAAACCTCTACCGCCCAGCAAAAAGAAAAAAACAACTATGGTCTGGATACCTCATTTTTTAATTCACACATACAGCACAGAGGTAACATTTGAATAAATGTTAAATAACTCACTATTTGAAGTTCAAAGAAAATAAGACTTACACATATACATGTGCATAATTAGGAGTACATTTGAGCTGGTCTATAAGCAGGTGGAATTTGATGGTTTTATCTCACCAGCACCAAATCCTGTGACTGAGGCAGATGACAACTCATGCAGCTATGTTACACATCATGTGGACCAGAGGAAATGATTAGCAGAAGAACCATTGGGGCTGCTGTAGAACTGCGATAACACCAGTCTTTCAAAAGTATGAACCATTGTTTGTGAGCGTCTTCAATGTGCCTCACCTCATCTGACACCCGCTGACATTAGTGTTTAGTAAAAATACTTTGGTTCTATCTGTCACTCTTATGGACCCCTAAACACACCTCAAAGACTAAAAATGCACTATGAGAATAAGATATATCTGTCTTTGGAACACTGTTTCATATTTACACTCATCACAACCTTAGCCCTCTCTGCAGTAATACAAAAAAAGATGAGACTTGAGACGCAATACCAAAGGTTCTGCAGGATAATAACAAACTAGACCATCCACGTAGAGGTTTGATATTGCTTTATTGTCATTTTTAATGATGTATACAGAAGAACAAGGACTTAGTGATATTTTCTCTAAATGTAAGTGACTTGGTAACTGGAACAGTTACAGAGCAGAACAGGCTAGTTCTGGCTTCCTGGACAGGCTTTTGATACACGGATCGGTCAAGTGTACTGTTGACATGAACAGGGTAAGACAAAAAGCTTACAATCAACAAAACAAGTTACTTCATCCCTTAAGCAGGAGGTATTTTCTTCATCAAATTAATCACAGGGTTACTGTGAATTGATTTCAATTTATCACAATTGCATTTAATTAATTTTTAATGTATATTAATCATGTTTCATTTTTTAAGAAGAAAGAGACTCAAGGGAATATATATACATTTATTTATTTATTTCCTTTTTATTTGTTAAAGAAGGACAGTGTACATTCATGAACATTTTAAAAAGATAAAATGTAAATGGACCCAATTGTACCCACAAGGCTAGTTTCCATTGGTAGTCCCCCTGCCAGAAGGAACATGGCTACCTAAAAAGGTGGGAAATCAGCAACTACATAAAAACATACATAATACACAATATTTACAACATCAACATTACCCACCCGAAATATATATATGAGATATGCACTTTACGTGTTTATTAAACACCTATGCTTCGCATTAATGTGGTATTTTAAAATTAAATGAAAACTCCTTCCTGTAGTGCACAACACTGGGTGGCGGTTGACTGTTACTTCATTGCTGTTACTTAATTGGCTGTATCAAGTGTCAATCATAGAACATATGAACCCCCTAATAACTTTTACAAATGAAGCTGCACAGAAAAAAGAGAACTTGAGTACAAACTGGTTTTACAATGAGTACACGTCAACATCGCAGCCGGGGGGAGAAAGATTTATGTTCTGTGTAATTTATTTCTTAAAGTTTGTCCACAGCTCCAAAGGTTTGCTGGAGGAGGTGGGATTTATGACCTATACTGCAGCCCATCACTAGAGGGTGCTGTTCTCACGGTGGCTTCACCCAGTGAGGAGGCAGACAGCGTCCATTCTATATACAGTCTATGGTTCTGAGGATCGAGCACTGTTGCGTAAACATGCAACGCATATGCGCATCACACACCAAATACAGACAGAACTTCACGACAACAAGTGTTTCACTGTTTCCAAAATGAAGCAGTCTATTGCTGATAATTTAAAAATAATATTGATAAATTAGGAGAGATAGGGAGAAGGCTAATGGTGGGGGAGAGCCAACAGAAGGTACCTTATCAGACGATACGTATGATGTAAAGGACAGGGAGACATGGCCAAGCAGCAGGTGAAGAAAAAAAATATTGTTCTTATCTACAATGTCTTACGCAGTATCTGTGGTATGAGGGGAAAGCTGCGTTGTATGATTACTGTCGGCAGTGTGGCCAATCTTTTGCAGGCAACTCTAAAGTTGTAAATTTCAAGGTAAGGATAGAGTCCTAATTGAGTTGTCTGGTTCTACAGCCTGTCACTTACGGATCAACTGCCCATTTGTGCATGTGTGACAGTAATACAACTTGGACAAACTGCCTGAAATGCATTGCAAGTTGTTTTAGGGAATTTGAGTCATTCTCCACTGCAGATGGGTTAATTTCATTAAAATTTTTAATCATGATGATAGATTAATCTCTGTGAATTTGGTTATTTTGACAACCCTACTTTATAAATAAATCATTATTTCAGATTGTTTTAGAATCTTGCGCTGAGATATTACAAATGGTCACTGTTATGTTTCAGTGAGACAGATTAAAAGACAACAAAAACTAGCAGCTTGTACTAGTCATTCGCTCGGATGCCTCAGTCTGAGAGTTGTTTGTATTCAACTTTTCTGTTTCACTGTGCTCTGTGGCTTCCCCTGTTGGTGTCAGTGGTTTGAGGGGGGCCTGAGCTTTCACTTGGAAAACATCCCACTTCTCAGGGAGCCAGCCTTTGTTAAAGAGCACTGTCGCCAAGAAGGAGAAAAACAAGATGGAGACAAAGGAAGTAAGCATGGCAATGGTCCTTATTGGAGCGTATTGGACGTAAACACCGTCCTCAAGAGTGCATCCTGGGAAGTGTATGACTGGTGCTATCCCCAACAATGGGTCTCCACTAAGTAGCCGTATAACTATTCCTGATAGCAAACCCACAACAGCCCCGTACCCATTGGAGATGTTAAAGAAGAGGACACAGACAAGTTGAGGAAAGATGACAATGTAGGCTGATTCACCACTAAGGAACCAGAACAGAATGACACTGTTTTTGAGGCTGGTGAGTGATGTACCAACTATTCCTATGACTACCACTGCAGCACGGATGACCCACTGAATTTCTCCATCTGGGGCCTGGAGAACACAAAGAGAGAAAGGAACAGGTGAAGTGCAAACATTTTCGATGCTTTTCAACATATCTTTCCACATCCAAATTTAGTAACTCACTTTTTACTTTTTACTCGTCAAGATAACTCATCATCTAAGACAAAACACTTCCCTGCCATCAACAAGATACTCCGTCAATCCCAGTTTTCACAATTATATGACGGATTGCAACTGAAGTACCTTGTGGAGTACTTCAGCCCCCCTTGGTTTCAAACACAAAACTATTTTCAAAACTTGAAATTTCACTTAATTTCTACCTGAGGCCTGATGATGTTCTGGTAAATGTTGACACTGAAGATAGATGCTGCAGAGAGCAAAGCAGAGTCAGCAGACGACATCACGGCAGCAGCTACACATCCGATACCCACAATGGAGATATAAACTGGGGTGAGATGCTGCAGGACGAAGGGAAGAACAAGAGCTGCCTCCCCACGTTCATATGGAGTTGGAGAACCATAGGTAGTCAAGTTCCAGTCTGAGACATGCAGAAGGAAGGAGAGGGAAGACTCTGAATACTGTCACAATTTTTGTTTCAAGATATTGCAGAGAAAACCACAAATGCAGAGTGATAAAAAATTAGGAAACCCTGTAGACTCCAATGGAAATTTTACAAATAAGAAGCTATAAAACACATCTCAGGCTGTGGATTTCTTGGAACTATATGAAAAGTGATAATTCGATCTTTTTTTTTTCATAAAGCACCAAATCAACAGTCGTAATTTCGTGTCTTTGAAGTCAAAGATTTGAATAAATATGAAGCTAATGAGTTTTGTTTCAGAGACTTTGGTTTATGAGTTGAATATATACAAAATACCACACTTAGACACTCCTTACTACTGGCTATGCAAACCAAGTTCTGGCCCTGGTCTGGCACAGGGAACAAACTGTTTAATCAGGGTGTCTATCACCCCGTACTCATGGGGGATTACCCCGTAGGATTCCCTGAGGGACATGGTCGAATGCCTTCTACTCCAACAAAGCATATGTGGACTGATGAGGCAAACTCCCATGAATCCTCAAGGATCCAGCAGATGATGCAATGCTGGGCCACAATTCCGAGGAAGACAAAAACCAAATCGCTCCTACTGGATCTGAGGTTTGACTGTCCTCTTTCCAGGACCCAGAGTAGATCTTCCTTGACAGGTTGAGGAGTTTGAGAGTTGGAACACATCTTCTGATCCTCCTTCTTAAAAAGGAGGACCACCACCTTGGTTTGCCAATTCAGATGCCCTGTCTTGATGTCCACACAGTCCTGCAGAGTTGAGTCAGTCAAGACAGCGCCACAACATCCAGGGCCTTGAGGAACTTTAGGCGGATCTCATCCAGCCCTGGAGCCAACCCACTGAGGAGCTTTTTAACTACCTCAGCAACCTTAGCCCCAGAGATGGAAGAGCCCACATCTGAGACCCCCCGACCCTGGTTCCTCACCAGAGGGCATGTCAATGGGATTGAGGAGGTCTTCAAAGTATTCCCTCCACTAATCAATAATGTCCCAAGTCAGGGTCAGCAGTGCACCATCTTCACCACACACAGTGTTGACAGTGCACTGGTTCCAACCTCCTGAGATGCCAGATAGTGAACCTCCTGCAAGCCTTCCTAAGGTCATCAGTAGCCTCACCCAACTCTTCCCAAGTCCAGGTTTTTGCCTTAACGATTGCTGCAGCATTATTTTGCCTCACCTATTAGTACCTGTCAGCTGCATCTGGAGTCCCACGGGGAAAAGAAAGCCTGAAAGATTCCACAGTCCATGCTATGTGTTGAGGTGAGTCTGACTATATCTAACTGGAACCTCTGCACCTTGCACACTAGCTCAGGTTTCTTCCCTGCCAGAGAGGTGATATTCCACATCTTTAGAGCTAGCTTCTTTCACATTTGGAATTTAAAACAAAAAGATTGGCCAAAGTGCTTGTATTCCAAAGTTCTGTTATTCAAGTATAGATAATTTATCCTGACATTACAATTTTTCTGTATGTTGAGGTTTGTACATGTTTGGAACACATCGAGAGTACAGATCATATTTACCTGTAGATGCAGCAGCTGCCCCAATCAGTATAGAAGGAATCCCAAATAAAGGGAAGACCAAAGCAGCAGCAATGCATGTGATCTTGGCTGTGGCTAAGGAAGAAGCTGACAAGGTCCTTTGATGGGAGCATTGAAATCCCAGACCCCCCAGTGCCTTCAAAATAAAACAGTTTGCTGTTTAATGTATTCATGAGAGTAGCATCCCTAGAGGGTAAATGCTGTCAAAAAATATGTATGCGTATAGTTCTTAAGCACCCTTTCAGACACAAACAATGGTCCCTCCAACATTTTATCCAAAGTCATTTAAGTAAGCCTTTCATTGACATAAACAGACACATCATTTTAAGTTTGATACAGTTGTATCTTCAGTAACAGTGAGAAATTGTTTACTCATGCATACTGCTGTTTCGGGTTTATATAGATGTGCATCTGGGGAAGATTATGTCCTTACAAAAAACAAGAAATCATCAATAATATTCCAGGTTTTTTTCAATTCTGGTGTTCCAATCCAGGGAGCATGTAGGGTGTTGTTCATCATCGTCTGGCTTATGTCCAAGGTGTAAGGGCTCATCAAAACAAAGGGAACACAGATCCACTGCCAGGGAAAGAAACAGTGTGAACAACTAATTTTAACTTTTTGAGGTTGGCGTTGCATGTTCTGCCTGCAACAAAAAGTCACCACTTAATAATCAAAAATAGTACATACTAACCAGACCAAAGAAAATGAGGGCAAGTTGTATGATATCTGTATATGCCACAGAGTAGAGACCTCCCAGCAGTGTGTAGATGACAGCAACAGCTGCAGAGATCCAGATGCAAACCGCAAAGGGTAAATCCAACACCACGTTCATGATTGCTCCTGTGAAACACATTAGATAAGAGTGCATTTACTATTGTATTCAAAAAGTTTCACACAGGTCTAAGTGCATGACTCAGAAAATGTACAATACAAACAAAAAAATACCTAAACCGAGTAGTGTTGTAGGCACCCAGGTAACATCAGAGATGAGTGAAACCAGGCCCAGTGCAGCTGTTAGTACTTTTCCATACTTCATTTTGAATGGGTCCAGCATCGTCGTACAGTGTCTGTCTCTCATTGGCTTAGCAAAAACCAAGCCAACTTGAGTCAAAAGAGGTCAGTAAACAAAAAGAAGAGAGACAAAGATGAAAGATGAATCCGGTGTTCTGTGAATTCATCCATTCATTAGGGCCAAAGTTGGAAACTTTAACCTCTGTTGGTCACCTGAGGTCATTCACAACTGGGTAACCCGAGAGTCTTTTGCTAGCCTGGCCGGGCCATCCTGTTGCATGAATCACTTGACATTCCTTCCTACAACAGTCTGGACTTTGGCCCATTGGGAGCGTGTATTCCTGATCAGAAAATAACCGGGCCAATCAGAGACTGTGTTTCCACTGTTACCCAGGCAACGGGAAAGGCAGCCCCTGATTGGTCATGTGTAGATGGTGACGTCTAACACATGCTGCGGGACTTTTCAAAGCGCCGTTCATTCAGAATGCTGTTAATTCTGCAGTTGACTTTGCAAAGTCAGTAGAAATCGTTTATATCGCAGAAGACGTTGGATATAAACGATTTCTGCCGATTTCTGCTGTGTATATGTAATGGCTGTTTAATAACCCCTATGTATGAGTCCCTGCATGATTCAATGCATTTCATGGCGTACACCGCATTGCTCTGTTTGTGTCCGGCAGTTTTGTCCCTAGGGTTACCCAGCCTCTGTCGCAGTGTGTTGATGGTTTGAAGTGTACTGGGATGTTGTGTTTCTGGAAGATCCCTCTGAGTTTCTCTGATCCTCCAGGCAAGTAGGGAATCTCAGGTGACCCATCTGTGAACAACTTTTTGGTGACCAACCAACCCTTTTATTGCTGAACGACCAACAGAGCTATAAATTTTGAACTTTGGCCCCAGTCACTTTGGAACTGAAGGGACCTTTTGGAAGAAAGGTGAAACATCTTTAAGAATCTCAAAGCAGTCCAGTTACCCGTTCAACAAAGAATTGGATAAACATGACCTTGATGAATGAGAACCTACAAAGACATCATGCACCTAAAGAAACTTGTCAGAGTGACGGATAACTTTGGCTGTCATACAAGTTTCATCACATTCATTGCATTCTCAACCCTTTTTTTCTAGACTGTTCTTCCCCAGGGCAGTCACTTCTCAAGTTATGGGCTAGCCTGAATCATTAACTTTCCAGCTGATATTAAAACTTTCTACCAATGGCCATTGCGCCTGCACAGTTTTTTCTATGTCCCGAATTTTATTACCGTAACTCCATCAAAGTTTGTCTGATCAGAAAAATTTAAATAGTGTTCGAAAGCTGAGAGTTGTGGGAATGCACACATATATGGTTTACTTTAGTAGTCAAAACCATATGACAGAGCATTCATTGCAAAACACAGGAAATTACAGCAGGGCGCTTCACAGCTTCTCAACACTGTAACCTGTGCTTGTATGAAGTTACATTAAATGATTATGTTGTTATATATTTCCTATTGAACTTGGGAATGTTGTGAATGGACATTTTCTGAGTATGTATATAGTAACCCTCTTCACTGTTTATTTGTGCGCACATGTACAAGTTCACATTCAAGTATCAAATCAAAATTTATGTGCATTAAATATTTTGTTACTTGAGAATGTTGAGAATGCATTTTTTCATCTTTGCACAGTTATTTGCACTGATTTCAGCCTATGTACTGTATATAGTTGTCTTTTGCACATTTTTTTGCGCACCCAGTCGTAGACTCAAAAAAAGGACTGTTTCTGATTCTGAGCATATATAAGTTGACTTTTCAAAAGTGAAATAAAAACTTCATAAGCAATTACCAAATTTGCTCTCATAAAAGCCATGAAAAAACAAACCCGTTTTTGAATATTCTTCTTTTAAACAATTTCAAATAATGTGCGATAATCATTAACCAGATGTTGGAAAGAGAAGTTCAAGTACTCCTAGGAGAAGAGACCAAAGCTCTCAGACTTCAGGCAATTTCTGACCATTTTATATCCATAATTACAAAATATCTCCAAATTGCCAATTATAGCCTTTGTAGGTATAGGGTAAATCAATCCTTTGTTTTCAAATGCTGTATGATCTTGCTTTATTGTGTTACATCAGCAATCACACAACAGTGCCCAGCTGCATGTATTTATCTCTTACCAATCATAAATGATGGGATGGATGCAACCAACATTACAAGGGCCAAGGTTAGACCCATAGAAGGTGTGTAGACCATCTCAGAAGTGCCAACAATGAAGCCTCCTCCAACCCATGTAGCTATAGGATGGATAAAAAACACAATCACAAATGTATACTAAAAAATTGCATTTCCTTGCAGAAAATGCGTTGAAATGCTGAGTGCTGAAAGCTGAAAAAGCAATGCAAAACTGCTTAAAAAATGGAGGTAGGTTTAAATGTAAAATTGGTTAAAGGGCTGAAGAAGAAGAAGCAGAAGTTGGATGACAGTGAAAATTGTTGAAGTACAAATAGTATGAATGTGCTTCATAAATTAAAATTGCATTCATGCTGAATAAGGCTAGAAACACTGTCTGAAATTGCATAAAAATTGGATAAGGACGAAAATGACCTTAAAACACAGAAAAGTGAGAAGTGGCATAAGTTTAAGTTGTAGTACTAGAAGTAGTATGATAATACGTAGTTGTAGTAGTGATATTAGTAGTTATGTAAGAAGTAGAAGTAGTTTTGGAATAGAAGAAGTAGAAGTCAAAGTAGTAAAGCTCGTGGTAGAAGTAATAGTGGCAGTAAAAGTTAGAGACGCAGTAAAAAAATATTTAGAGAAGCCAGAGTAGTGGAGGTAGAAGTAAAGATACAAGTTAAAGTGATATTAGTAGTAATTGCAGTGGTAAAACTGGGAATTTGTTTGAAGAATTAAAAAATGTAAAATGATTTTAAAATGGGAAAATTTTGAATAATTAAAACTCCTCAAGTACTAGACAAGTTTGAAGTATTCGGTTAGAATCGGTTTGAATGAGTTTAAATATGTCTGAAGAATTGAATAATGTATTAATAACGGGATTAATTTTAAAGTGGGGAAATTTTAAATGAATAAAAATCCTGAGTACACCCTATAATGTCCTCAATGAGCTGAATTTTTGGAGCTCTGAATGGTTTCTGTAGCTCAAAGTTTGTGGAAGAGGATAAGTGGTGAAGCAGATACATGGTCAAAGTGTGTGCATGTAGGTGTCATAGACAGAGAGAGAGACTAACGCACACACATTGTCAGAGTGTGACAATGTCAGCATTTCCACTTAATTAGTATTATGAGCAGCCATTTGGGGTAATACTTAATTATTCATCAACTGACTATTAAATCAAATAGTGACTAATGATGTCATGCATATCTCAGAAAACAAACTAGCGATATTCCTATTGTTTAGGGGGGGCAACCATAGTATGACAAGAGGAGTGTTTTGCTCCAAATTAATATCACTTATTTTCTGCCTGACTCATCTCCCCAGTGCTAGTGCTTTATTTAGCTCTACTTCATGCACCTATACAGTTTGACTTCCAAATGTATCAGAATTATCAGCAAATCTTTTCTGCTGTTCCTAATTTAGGGTCACTGTGAAGCCTTTGCAGACACACTGTCAGCCTGACTACTATAAGTATGTGCATTCATCAATATTACCAATAGACTTCCTTTAAGATAAGTTGTTGCAGCTTTGGTACAGAAGTGATATAGTTTTACCTCCTGCCACAATACCTTCAAATCTGCTTACAAATGTCTAAAATATGATGGATCTCACTGATTTTCTCTCATATGTTAAAGCATATTTGGCAAATATATTTAGCATCTAAAATGTTTTTTCTTTGGCATTCCACTTACACTGCACACTTTCCACTCACTCCAGGACCACTTTGTTTCATCTCAGAGTCTTTCTTTCTCTGTCTCTTACAATGTTACAATGTCATTGAGCAGACACCTTTATCAAATGGAGTTTCGTAATGTGCTTGATGTGCTGGAAGCACTAGGTGCCTTTCTGTGGTTAAGTGAAGCCGGCAAGAGGGGGTGTAGACCTGGATAAGGGGTTTCAAGTAAACAGGAGCAGTTTTGGTTACTGCTTTGTGAGAAATTATGAGTTTTAAATCTGAAGCAAGCTGCAACTGTAAGCAAGTGTTGGCAGACCAGCTGGACTGAGCATTGAAGGTTAGCTGGTCATCAATCATGACAGCCCAATTTTATACAGACTTGGTCATTATGAGTTTATGAGAGCCAAACTGGATATTGATCTGTGGCCCTACAGTGGGACTGGCTGGGATGACAATAAGCCAAGTTTTGGACATGTTGAGTTTAAGGTGTAGTTCCCTCATCCATATAAAAATATCAGCAAGGCAGTTGGAGATTCAAGCTAAAACAGTTGTGTCACTTATTTCCAAATTCAAAGTGTTGCTCCTGTAGTTTGAGGAGAGTGTGCCTTTTTTTTTTTCTTTTTTTTTAATTTATTTATTTTTTTGTGTTCATGAAGTCATTTGGTCCATATTTGCTTCTCTGTAGTTCATTTATTGCCAAATCAGAAGACGCCTGACAGGCCAGATGGTCCAATCTCTTCATCTCCCTCTGTATGATCTTCTTTTGCAGTTTCTCCTTTTTTTTGTCTGAACTATGTGATAAGTCCAGATCACTAAGAAATTCAAAGGCAAGTCTTAAAAGTTGAATTATTTGTTCATTTTTCAATAAGATGTAAGCTGTGAGAATAAGTGGGAGCTATCATTGAACTGTTTGCATGGTGAACTCTATCAAGAAAATAGAGGGAAGATATTGTTGTGTTTGCCATTGTTTGAGTTCAGTACAATGTTGGTCTTTCTCTTCTGAGCGGTTGTTTAATGTCAATAAGGGAGTTAACCTGATGTAATTACTGTTATTACTATAACTACCACAGCTGTAATTACGTTTACATTTTAATGCTGTAGTGCAAAGGGCTATTTCCTTCTGAAAGGTTCAGCCAGAAAACAATGTTAACCCTAGGTTATTTTAACCCCACACATATAAAGTTGGAATTATTGTCCTCTTTGACACTGCAAATGTTATACTTGCAGCAACTATCTTAAATCTCAGTAACAAGGTTATGAACAGGTGAATTTGTTTTTTTAATTCCCAAAATGCATCAATATTTTTAGCTTTTTCAGGCATACATCAAAAATACCACATTGTTTATCCACTAAGTACAACATGTAATGCAGGATCCCTTCTAAAACACTTGTATTTGCTGGGGCTTTTGCAGTTCATAAGTCAAGGGAGGCATCAAATACATTTTACAGCAGTTCAGTGAATATTTAGGGTCCTAAATTTGAGCTGTTAATGTTATTCAAATACTGCTGCCATACACGTTATACTACAGGACTCATCTGTTTATCACCTGCATAACAGCGATAAGAAAAGCAGTGGGAGTGGGTGATTGCACCGAGTGAGGTGGTGTATTTTAAGAAAAGAAGGGGACCAAGCACTGACCCCTGAGGCACCCCTGTTGATGAGCTATGCACATTGGACACTTTTTTGGGTCAAGTGACCAAATGTGTTTTCAGTATGACATTAACTGAGCAACAGCTTGTTGAAATTCTGGTAAGCCAAGCAAAAACTTAAGAGAGTAGTGGTCATGTTTTTGCATGTTTCATGTCGCTGTTACAGGGAGGATCTTGCTTGTTGCTTACAGTCTAATGCTCAGTGGCCAATTTGTTCACAGGTATTTATTTCGATATTCACAGATGTGTCAATAATCAAAAATATCTTCTTCATTTAGGGGTATTCTCAGAAAAAAAAAAAAAAAAAACAGTTCTGATCATCACTTCCACACAGATTTATCCTGGTATTGTCAGCTGAGCTCTCATACCTGTCATTGTGAAAATTCCCACTACCAAATTAATCCTCCGGTTTCCCAGCAGTGCCATGTCCATTCCTGTGGCAGAAGTTTTCTTCTGCTCTCTTTTGGACTTGAAAGAAGCCCAAATGCCAGTTCCAAGAACCAGAAGGTAGAAGAACACCATTGCTATCACTCCAGGGATGTTGACTGCCATAACTAAACTGGTTGAGTGGCCTCACTGGCTGATGTTTGACTGACTGGGTGTTTCTCCTGCTTCCCCTGTGTTATCATCCACTCCTTCCCTCTTCAGGATTATTTACAGTATGGTGTGTATTGTTGATATACTGAATATTCAAACTTAGCCCCTGGGCCCTGCCTCACCCTAAGTGAGAGCTCTCAGCCTCTTTTCTTTTTTTCTTTCTATAAATATTGCCCCTCATTATTATTTATTAGTTAGTATTTATGGTTATACACATTGTGCACTGGGATGTGATGGAGATCAATCATTATATGGTCTAAAACTGTGTTAAAATCTGTGGCTATGATGATGTGTGATGCTGTGAAAAAAAGAATAAACAAAGGAGGGTGTGAGTTGGGCCATAGATACCCAGTCCCCTATCGGTTTTATTTGCAAAGGTTTTGTTAAGGTAAAGTTTTTTTTTTTTTTTTCATATGTTCTTCTGTCTAAGGGAAGCATGTCCACAATTTACAACAGCAACAGAAAAAGCTTGATCCCTCTGAGTGTCTGTTTTGACCTCAGTACCTCGAAGGGCAGCAAGTCTGCCCAACTGAGGCACCAGGTGGGTGTGTAGGGGTAAAGGAGCTCAGAAAGGTTAGGCAGGGCCGGCCCATTAAAAGATTAAAAAAAACGAAAAAAGGACAGTAAATGGACTTTAAAAATGCACAGCAGCCAGTGGAGGGAGGCCAGGATGGGAGTAATGTGCTCCTTATTGTGCACTCCAGTTTAGAGGCAAGCAGCTGCACTTTGCACTTACTGGAGATGTGCGAGGCTGACTCTCTTAAATAAATTACAGTAATCCAGCTGAGGTGTGATGAAGGCATGAATTACTGTTTTAATGTGCTGTTGTGCGAGGAAAGGCTTTGTCTTTGCCAGCTGCCTTGTCTGAAAAAAACTTGACTTACGAACTAACTTGCCTGTCTTATTTAAAATCACTGTCCATCTTCAAACCCAAGTTTGAAACTGTGAGCATTAAATAATCTACAGCTAAAGGACCTAAAACAACAGGAGGGGGTTCACAAGGGTCACTGGGACCAAACATCATCACTATAGTTGTTTTTCTCATTAAAATTCAAAACAACATTAATAATAACACTGAGAGTATATTTATTGCTACCATAATCACCATACAATAATCATAACCATAGTAATAGGTACATTTATACATTGTGCAGGTTTGTGGCAAAAACATGAGCTATTCTTTGTTGGGAACCTGATCATCTTACTTAACAGGCTAATAATAAAGTGATAGGTCTATTTTGGTTACTGTTGACATAAAAAGGGAAAAACCACTAGCTTACAACATTCAAAACAGATTACCAAGTCCCTCTAAATTCTTTGATGTGAAAGTAAAAATACCTTGAGGTTATCATTTGCCCTCTTTTTTTGACAAGGGCTGGCCAAAATGTTTACATTTAAACTTCCTTACAGCTGCCTCCTTTAGGCTTATGTGTATTAGCCTTTTGTGTTTAAAATAGAAATATAACTCCATTACCTTAACCCTGACATTTGAGTCTTAACACATGAGATAGACACTTCGGGCTCTATTTTCGTGTACGCCGGTGAGGCGCAGTTGTATTTTCGTCTGGCGCAGCCCGGCGTACAGCCAGTTTGGTATTTTCGTGGACTGAGGCGCACCGAGGCGAACCGAGATCCGCCAAGCTGGGCGTGGTGGCGTGGCAGGGGGAGGTGTCGACAGAATCAGCGGGCGCAGTGACATTTTCGTGCTCGCCACCGGTGTGTAAAGTGTGCTGAAAGCTCGCCGATTTAAACCTGGTCAGCTTTCAGCACAGGCAGAACGCAGCTGGTCTAGTGGAATTTTGGTAGACCAGCGGCGTATCGACATACGTCACCGATGCCTCACAGGCAGGTTTCCACAGTGTCAGGCACATTTCAGTGCAATAAATAATCATCAACTATTAATCTGAGTCAGCACATACATTTCGATCTATGGATATATTCTGATCTATATCTGATCTGATGAGCGCGTTTGGCACACTGACAAAGAAAGGCCCAGAGGCCCACACCAAAAAAGAAAAAAAAATACTATAAGCAATATTTTCATGGATAATAAGGCCAAACAAGGTAATCTAGAGATAAGAACCAAATTGGATGATAGTTAATTGTTTTTAGTGTGATTTGCAGCTGAATTAAGACACAGGTCAAAACTGATCCGTGAGCATAGTGGCTGTGCAGTGAAAGCTAACACAGGAGGGAGGTTTTGCGTTGAGTCATACAAGGTACTTGTCTAAGCATATCTGCAAACAAACTTTTTACTTTATAAAATAAATTCATTTATTTTAAATTCTTGCGCTGAGATATTACAAACTCACTTTTATTATGTTTGAGTGGAATGAAAAATGAAAAGATGAAAACAAAAATTAGCAGCTTGTACTAGTCATTTGCTCGGATGCCTCATTCTGAGAGTTGTTTGTATTCAATTTTTCTGTTTCACTGTGCTCTGTGGCTTCCCCTGTTGGTGTCAGTGGTTTGAGGGGGGCCTGAGCTTTCACTTGGAAAACATCCCACTTCTCAGGGAGCCAGCCTTTGTTAAAGAGCACTGTCGCCAAGAAGGAGAAACACAAGATGGAGGCAAATGAAGTAAGCATTGCAATGGTCCTTATTGGAGCGTATTGGATGTAAATGCCATCCTCAAAAGTGCATCCTGGGAAGTGTATGACTGGTTCTATCCCCAACAATGGGTCTCCACTAAGTAGCCTTATAACTATTCCTGCTAGCAAACCCACAACAGCTCCGTACCCATTGGAGATGTTGAAGAAGAGGACACAGACAAGTTGAGGGAAGATGACAATGTAGGATGATTCACCACCAAGGAACCAGAACAGTATAATGCTGTTTTTCAGGCTGGTGAGTGATGTACCAACTATGCCTATGACTACCACTGCAGCACGGATGACCCACTGAATTTCTCCATCTGGGGCCTGGAGAACAAAGAAAAGAGAAAGGAACAGGTGAAGTGCAAACATTTTTGACTTTGATGGTTGGGACCAGGAACAAAACGATTTACGGCACTCAGAACAGAGACGACAACAAAGCACCGAGGTGGCTCTGGATAAAGAGAGCAGGTTGTCTGAGTTAGGGTGTCTGATGTTCATGAGACCCGAAACACCCAGTGACCTGAGGATACATCACTGATGATGTGCCCTCGTTAGCATCAGAAGATTTTTTGTTACAATTGAAAGGAAGTATAGAATTTGAAAGAAAAGCATAATACCCCTGTATTTACCAAAGGCCACTATAATTTATGGCAGCACGAGAACAGTAGGCCTTTAACATATGTTTTATCACAAGCATGTCTATCTGGCGCACACATAGACCTTCAGCAGTGACACTGTGTCAGAGAGGCCACAAACATTTTGATGCAGACCATCAATTCACAGAAATAAGTTTAATATTTATGCAGTCAAGTGCTATCACACAAGAGAAGCATTCTTCTGCTTTGACAAAAAAAAATTACTTTTCTAAGAAAAGTGATTTTCTCAACTATTAACTAAAATTCCATTTTTAAAAATAAGCAACTTTGATATTTCTGTAAAAAATGGGAAGAAATTGTTAAGGATGGTTGGGAAAAGAGTTAATGCACCCCCTACTCTCACAAATTAAAAGCATGAGTGTTTTCTACCTGAGGCCTGATGATGTTCTGGTAAATGTTGACACTGAAGACAGACGCTGCAGAGAGCAAAGCAGAGTCAGCAGACGACATCACGGCAGCAGCTACACATCCGATACCCACAATGGAGATATAAACTGGGGTGAGATGCTGCAGGATGAAGGGAAGAACAAGAGCTGCCTCCCCACGTTCATATGGAGTTGGAGAACCATAGGTAGTCAAGTTCCAGTCTGAGACATGCAGAAGGAAGGAGAGGGAAGACTCTGAATACTGTCACAATATTTGTTTCAAGGTATTGAAAAGGAAAACCACAAATGCAAAGTGATAAAAATTAGGAAACCCTGTAGACTCCAATGATAACTATACAAAGAAGAGGCTATAAAACACATTCCAGGCTGTAGATTTGTTGGAACCATATGAATAAAGATTAAGTTCAATATAGACAGTAATACCACACAAAGAGACTACTTCATATTTTTCCTTGGAGACATTGGTGATGCATTCTATACCACTTTCTCCCTCCACTAAAATGTTTGATCTCCTCTTTGACTAACCACTGTCTCGGCTGTAAAGTCTGCCTCCATCATAACTAGGGTTGGGCATTGAATCTCAAGCATCGATGGGAACCAAGTCTAACATTCCTACTCTCCCGGAACAATTCAATTTTTTCTAAATTTCAATTCCAAGTCCACTGACTGGGAGAAATAGCCGTTGAACACCAACAAAGAAGAAGCCACAGGGAGTGTGTGTGGGCAATGCAACCATGGACAGTTTGCGGTGGCAATCTTAAGTTTGACTGAACTTCAGCAGGAAAAATGACCAGTCGACTCAGTGCAGTATTTGTACCACAGTTATATTGTGCAAAAGAGGATGCCCAATCAAAAAGATTAAACACCTCTGCTCGTCCTTGACAAGCTGCACTGGTTTTCTTCTAACCAGAAAGAATCAGATAAGTAAAACAATAAATTACATCTGTCTTCTGCTAACACTGAGGTGGCAAATAAAGTGTACTGTTAATACAGTGGGTCAAATCAGATATCCAACTGACGTTACCCTGTGTACTTTTTTATAGACAAACAACCTGACAACAACAACCCCTGAGATGCCGGCTGGCAGTCCAGAGCCTCTTCAAAGCTGTCCAGAAGTCATTCTCCATGGCCTAACCAGACTCCTTCCATATCTGGGTTTTTGCCTCATTGACCACCAAAGCCACTTTCTGCTTGGCCTGCTGGTTCTTGTCAGCTGCTTCCACAGTCCCACAAGCCAAAAAGGCATGATAGGACCCTTTTTCAGCTTGATGGCCTCCCTCACCACAGACGTCCACCAATGGGCTTCAGTATCAATGCCACAACAGGCACCGACCACCTTACAGCCACAGCCCAGATTGACCATGTCAACAATTGAGGAAAGGGATGTGGCCCACTCAGACTCAATGTCCCCCTTCTCCCCCCTGACAGGTGGCGTGGTTAAAGCTCTACTGAAGGTGGGAATTGAAGCTCCTTCTGACAGGAGACTGGTGTTCCCAGCAAACCCTCACAACATGTATGGATCTGCCAGGTCTGACCAGCATCCTTCCCAATCATTGGAGCCAACTCAACACCAGGTGGTGATCAGTTGACAGCTCTGCCCTTCTCTTCCCCCGATTGTCCTAGACATGTTGCCACAAGTCTGACGTCATGAACACAAAGTTGATCATTGACCTGTGGCCCAAGGTGTCGTGGTGCCAAGTACACAAGTGGACACCATTATGTCTGAACATGGGGCTCTATTTTCGTGTCCGCCAGGGAGGCGACGGAGGGTGTAAATGCATGACTGTTTTTCTGCATCTTGAGGTTTTTATATGTTTGGAACACTTACCTGTAGATGCAGCAGCTGCCCCAATTAGTACAGGAGGAATCCCAAATAAAAGTAAGGCAAAAGCAGCAACAATGCATGTGATTTTGGCTGTGGCTAAGGAAGAAGCTGACAAGGTCCTCTGGTGGAAGCACTGATATCCCAGACTCCCCAGTGCCTTAAAAATCAAACGGTTTGTTGTTAAATGTATTCATGAGAGTCGCATCCCCAGAAGGTAAATGCTGTCAAAAAATATGCATGCTATCAGTTCTTAAGCACCCTTTCACACACATAGGCCTACAACGGTCCCTCCAACATTTTATCTGAAGTCAAATAGGTAAATTTTCATTGACACAAACAGACACATTTTTTTTTAAGTTTGATACACTAGTGTCTGCCAACATTTTGTCTGGTTATTTAGTAACAGTGAGAAATTGTTTACTCATGCATACTTCTGTTTCAGGTTTAGTGATGTGCATCTGGGGAAGATTATGTCCTTACAAAGAACAAGAAATCATCAATAATTTTCCATGTCTTTTTCAGTGCTGGTGTTCCAATCCAGGGAGCATGTAGGGTGTTGTTCATCATCGTCTGGCTTATGTCCAAGGTGTAAGGGCTCATCAAAACAAAGGGAACACAGATCCACTGCCAGGGAAATTCCACATTCCACATTTTAGTTTGTACAAATGTTCTGCTTGCAACAAAAAACACCACACAATCAAAAATAGTACATACTAACCAGACCAAAGAAAATGAGGGCAAGTTGTATGATATCTGTATATGCCACAGAGTAGAGACCTCCCAGCAGTGTGTAGATGATAGCAACAGCTGCAGAGATCCAGATGCAAACAGCAAAGGGTAAATCCAACACCACATTCATGATTGCTCCTGTGAAACACATAGGATGAGAGTGCATTTACTGTATTCTGCAGATCAAGCATCATGAAGTTGTTAGGGCATAAAACAGAAAATGTACAGTATAAATACATACCTAAACCAAGAAGTGTTGAAGGCACCCAGATAACATCAGTGAAGAGTGAAAATAGGCTCAGGGCAGCTGTCAGTACTTTTCCATACTTCATTTTGAATGGGTCTAGCATTGTCACACAGTGTCTGTCTCTCATTGGCTTGGTAAAAACCAAGCCAGCTTGATCAAAACAAGGTCAGGACACAAAAGGAAGAGAGGCAGTGTTAAAAATGAATCCACTGTTCTGTGAATCCATTCTATCTCTGTAGAATCTCTTACCAATCATAAATGATGAGCTGTATGCAATCAATATCACAAGGGCCAAAGTTAGACCCATAGAGGGTGTGTAGACCATCTCAGAAGTGCCAACAATGAAGCCTCCTCCAACCCATGTAGCTTCGGGATCGATTAAAAAAACAAAAAAAACCAATCACAAATGTATACCTTTACAGTTTGACTTCCAAATTCATCAAAAATACCGGCAAATCTTTTCTGCTGTTCCTGATTTAAGGTCACTGTGAAGCCTTAGCAGACACACTGACAGCCTTACTACTTGAAGTATGTGCATTTATTGATATTACCAATAGACTTCCTTTAGATAGGTTGTTGCAGCTTTGGCACAGGAGTGATATAGTTGTACCTCACAACACCTTAAAATCTGCGAACAAATGTCTAAAATATGATGGATCTCACTGATTTTATGAACATTTTTAGGTTTTGTTTTGTCTATTTGTTTGTTGTTTGTTCTTCAAGGCCAATAGACAGCTGTTCAAGCAAATTAGGCAAATACATTTAGCATGTCAAATTTTCTTTGCCATTTCACTTATGCTGCACACTCTTCCCTCACTCCCAGGACCTCTTTATTTCACCTCACAGTCCCCTGTTTGGATTTTACTCTCACTATCCTTTCACTCCACTCTATCCTCTACACATTTAGCAATTTATGTTTCATTTAGCTGTTACAGGGAGGATCTTGCTTGTTGCTTTAGATCTAATGCTTAATGTCCAATTTGTTCACAGGTACTTATTTTGATATTTAACATATGTCAATGATCAAAACATGTTAATTTAGGGGTATTCCCAGGAAAAAAAACAGTGCTGATCATCACTTTCACCCAGTTTTTATTCCAGTACTATCAGCTGTACTCTCATACCTGTCATTGTGAAGATTCCCACTACCAAACTTATCCTCCTGTTTCCCAGCAGTGCCATGTCCATTCCTGTGGCAGCAGTTTTCTTTTGTTCCCTTTTAGACTTGAAAGAAGCCCAGATGCCAGTTCCAAGAACCAGAAGGTAGAAGAACACCATTGCTATCACTCCAGGAATGTTGACTGCCATAATTAAACTAGTTGACCGGCCTCACTGGCTGATGTTTGACTGACTGGGTGCTTCTCCTGTGTTATCACACACTCCCTCCCTCTTAAAGGTGAAGACAGCAGGTGGAGTCAGCAAGATTATTCATAATCTGTAATGCTTATATATTCAAATTTTGACTCTTGAGAATAGACTATAAACATTGTGGTTGTCTGTAGCTTATATATATATATATATAAATATATATATATACACATATATATATATACATTTGGTAACACAACAGCAGGTGATGCTCTACCAGCACTCTGTGCGGGGCAGGTGATGTACTGCAGCAGCCTAAAAAGAGAATTTTTGCAATGCACATTTAATTCATACCTTGGGCTCTATTTTCGTGCCTCGCCGGAGACGTGCCGCAGGCGCGGCGTAAGTCAGGTCCGCCGCGCCGACAAAGCGTTCCCAAGCACAATTTGGCACAGCCCGGCGTAAGTATCCCCCCTCCCTAACTCAGCTCCTCTCAGCGGCGTGGGTCGTAGCGAGGGCGTGGAGTGGGTTTAACACAGCTGAGACCTGTTTTCACCAATCACATCAGCTCCTCTCCTTGCCTTTAAATCCGCCACCGGTGAGGCGTATTACTATTTTCGAGAAGTAGTCAAAGAGATCAAGAGATGTCTGAAGACAATAATGCCAAAGGTGGCAACAAAAGGCAGCTCCTCAGCAAGTGTTGCTGCAAGCGCTGCATTGGGCGTCCTCCACACTCTCTCATATAAGCACAGATGGATTTGGTGTGTGTCAGGTTGGACCCACTGGTAAGACAAACACCCTTTTCCACAAATAAAGACAATCACATAAAGTTGCATATATTCAAACCTCACGTGACAAAGGTGGGTTGAGCACACAGATCACAACATAAACTCCAAAAATGGCATTAAAATCGGAACTATATTTACTAGATATTTAATTTAATTTAATGCGGTTTCAGCTGTGTTGATTCGGTCAGGTTGTGTGTCCAAACGCATGCCAAACGCTCTCATCAGATCATATATAGATCAGAATATATCTATATAGATCTAAATGTATGTGCTGACTCATATTAATAGTTGTTGTTGATTATTTATTGCACTAAAATGTGCCTGACACTGTGGAAACCTGCCTGTGAGGCATCGGTGACGTATGCCGATACGCCGCCGGTCTACCAAAATGTCACTAGACCAGCTGCGCTCCGCCTGCGCTGAAAGCTGACCAGGTTTGAATCGGCGAGCTTTCAGCGCACTTTACACTCCGGTGGCGAGCACGAAAATGTCACTGCACCTGCTGATTCTGTCGACACCTCCTCCTGCCACGCCACCACGCCCAGCTTGGCGGATCTCTGTATGCCTCCATGCACCTCAGTCCACGAAAATATCAAACTGGCTATACGCCGGGCTCCGCCAGACAAAAATACAACTACGTGGGGTCTGCCACCCTCCGCCGCCTCACCAGCGTACACAAAAATAGAGCCCCTTATCTTTCATTTGAGAGCACAATATTGAACTTAGCTATATTCAACAAGTATGAACTATTTCTGCCTCACATGTAACAGCCAAATCACATCAGACAGGCATAACTCTGTGCCAAGCACAGCTTTGATTTCATGTGGACCAAATTACATTTTATGTTTGTGTGTTTTCTCAGGGGGATGAATTGTTAACTGTGTTAGTGGTAAATGAATGTAGGCCTGCAGGCCTGACAAGTGCAAACAGGCTTAAAGAGGGGATAAGGGGAGGAAAGTCTTACAGCATCTTGAGGGGACAGGTGAGTGGCAAAGAGGGAAACCAAACAACAGTTTCAGGAATGGGGTAGCATGTTGAAAGACATCAGTGACAGTTCACTACTCTTTTCCATTAAAATGTTCCCTCACTCATTATAACTCCATGCAACTCGCATTTTAGCAGCTGTGGTTTGCTCGGCTAAAGAGGCTGCAAATGTGCTTAAAGGCTGCTTATGGGTAAAAAGAATTGTGCATGAGTCATCCAGGTTAGTCCCATAGAGGAAGGGTACTCTATTAAGCTTCCTCCAACCCATGAAGCTACAAAATGGGTTTACGGATGCAAAATTAGATCAGGATGACACTATGGAGTTACTGATCAACATAAATCAGGTCATCTAACCTTTGATCATCCCATTATCACTGGTGTCTAAAGTGTAGAGAGGTTTTAAGTACCAGGAGTGCATGGGATGCATATGTAAAGTCATGAGTAATTGCGCTTTTTTATTGAGATCACAGTGTCACTACAAATAATCTTGAAAATGATTTTTGCCATCACCAAACAGCCCTAGTAGTATCCATTAATGGGGAAGACTGAGCTGAAATTAATGCTTAAGCCATTACGGTGTCCGCTGGATAGTCCCATTGCATTTGTTTGTTTGTCTGTTTGTTTGTTTTTACATTAAGGCAAAATTCAAGTGTTAACTCTACTTTCATTTACTCTGAAAACAAGGAAATCAAACAGTAAATCAATCTGACAATCTGGTATGAGAATACAATTTAGGAGCATTGCATTGTGTTATCATATTTATCTTGGCAAAATTAGAGAAAAGCCAAAAAAAACAAAACAAATAAAAATAGAGTGGTGTTTTCTTATGACACTGCAGTGTAAGAGCTGACAGCAGTGAGCTTCAGCTCCTGCTGCTTGAACACCACTGCAGCCTCTGCCTTCAGCAGATTGCTTTTACAGTTGACAAAGTCCTTCAGAATCATTAACAGACAGGACTGTAGTGTGAGATTGATAATTAATGTTTTGCATCGTACAAGATGGGCAAAGTTATGAGTTTACTGTGCTGGTCTTTGGTTTTCACCTTATTTTGTTGTGATAAGTGAGATTGATGTGCTTCTAAGTGAGGCACTTATTTTATTCTTAACTGTTGTTTTGTGTGTTTTTTTTTAATATACTTTTTTTTTTTAACCATGTCCAGAAATAAATAAAGAAATGAAATGAAATGAATGAAAAGTGAACATGTTTTAATGCCCCTGCAGTTCCCTCAGTGGTGGGGGAAATAGCATGAAACCTTCTGCCAAAACACTGTTTAAAAAAAAAAAAAAACTGCAACAAAATATGAACAACTAACTTGATTGTTTAAAAGAGCATGAGATAGTGAGGTAGTATTTGTGTTTGAACTTGTAACCTTTGAGCCTTCTGATTAGTCTGATTGGTCTCATGTTGTTCTGTGGTGCCACCTGTTGGTGCCTGTGGTTGTAACAAGTGCCGGGCTGTCACTTGAACATCCCACTTCTCAGGATGCTAGCCTTTGTTGAAGAGCACAGCAGCCAGGAAGGAGAAAGTCAAGATGGAAACAACTGCAGACGGCATTGAGATGGTTTTGACTAGAGAGTACTGGACATAGACACCATCCTCAAGAGTGCGTCCTGGGAAGTGTATGGTGTTATTCTGAGTGATGCATCTCCATTAAGCAGCCTTAACACCAACCCCATCAGAAAAACCATCACAGCCCATTTGAGATGTTGCAGAAGAGGACATAGACGAGTTGAGGAACTACTTTCATGAAGGCCAATTCAGGACCAAGGAACCAGACTGTTACAATGCTGTTTTCAGGTTGGTCAGAGACGAGTCAATAAAGCCAACAATCACCACAGCAACACAAATTACCCACTGAATCTCTCTGAAATCTGAAAAAGAAAGTGGAGAGAAAGCATTATAAAGAGCAACAAAAAGGTTTATCCCTACAAAGAATGATTCTTTTAATCAAACTCCATATATTTTTACATCCGTTCTGTGTGTGAATGTAGGTATGATGTCCAATTTTGCTTTAAGGTAATAATTGTGATTAAAAAACTTGTGCATGTGATGTGGCAGGTGCCTCTTTCTCTCTATGTTGTGTTGCAGAAATATGAAATTTTCCACTGAAATAGTTCATGAGGTTAAGAAAAGGAGAAGGGTGTGCATAGTCCATAAAACTGCAGGACTGACAAGTGCAAACATGTTTGAAGAGAAGAGTTGAGGAAAGTTTGAGAAGAGTGATAGAGCGGAATGTTTTCCCCCGTCAAGTATAGCAAGGATGGGAAAAATGAAATTATGTAAAGGTTAAGTGACGATTGGTTGACCTCTGCTGGGCTGTTTCATAAACAGAGAAGCAATCCAATGAAAGTGACAAAATATGCAAGCCAACTGTTCTCTTGAATACTGTTATAAAAGAAACATCCAAAGACCCTTATAAGGTAAAAGACATAAGCAGTGAGATAAACACTTCACATTCTTGGACAGGTCACTGTGTGGTCAGTGTAGAATTAGCTCAAGTTTTTAAAGTTTAACTGCTCTTTCAAAAAGACACTTTGCCCACATGGTTGTTTGCATACATGTAGACATTAAGAGATCATATGGGACCTACAGTAGGTGGCAGCAGCCTAACAGGTAGAGCAGTTGTCCAATAACTGGAAGGTTGGCAGTTCGATTTCCCCCCTGTCCCTAGTCTGTTTGCTGTGTCCTTGGGCAAGACTCTTAACCAACCTTGCTCCCAGCCTGTGTCCTCCACTGGTGTATATTTGTGAATGTTGTGTGGTGGTGGTCGGAGAAGCCGTAAGTGCAAACTGGCAGCCACATTTATGTCAGTTTGTCCCGGGCAGCTGTGACTATTAAGGTAATTTGCCACCACCAAGGTGTGACTGTGTGAGCGAATGAATGATGTATCCAATGTAAAGCACTTTGAGGGTCTACCTCTGTTTTCAGTGCCCGTTATTCCGCCAGAGTCTCCAATATTTACTTCGTTTTCTTGCTTGTGTTTGCAGTCATGGCCAAAGGAGGATTCAGATTATATTACAGTACGATATTTGTTTGTGCTCGTGAATGTTATTTGAGGACATGGAGCGTGCCTCACAACATGAGGGAGCAGTGTCCGCCTCACAACCAATCAGGTTGGGGGAGGCAGAGAATGGCTTTGTTTACAGTCTGAAAGAGCGGGCTGCTCAAAAATTTTAAAATGTTGACTACAAAGACGTTACAAAACACAGCAATATCGGTATATTACCAAATGTCATCAATAACTAGATGCTTGTTTGAATCCTGCCTACCCCACCTTTAAAGTTTGGAGTAACTGCCAAATTCAGTTTCAGATTACAAATTACAAAACATTAAGATGACACACTCACCAGACCTTTCTTTTGAAACCACGGTAAAGGTAATGGGCAAGGCAAGACAAGCTTATTTGTATAGCACCATTCATAAACAAGGCAATTCAAAGTGCTTTTCAGATTCAAAGAAATACATAGGAAATTAAAAAAAGAGAGATTAGAACAATTTAAAATCAAAAAGACATTGAAGTGTATTTTTGAACACATATGAAATGATAAAAAAAGATAAAGAATACAACAACAAATAATAAAAATTTTTACATGTCCAAAAAGGAGTGGAAAGAAGTACAAACTTGCCTAGTCCCACCCACTCTTCTACATTAATGATTTACACATATATCATATCCATCCAATATTGCTACCACTGATAATAATATTAATCACCATCATAATAATAATAGCAGTAAAAATAAGCACCATAATCAAAACAACAACAAAATAATGATAATTTTAACTATGATTGTACAATATTCACCCTCTGTATGCATACACCTGCATCGATGTGAAAGGCCAATGAGAAGAGAAAGGAGAAAGAAAGGACTAACAATGACAAAACAATAACAAACATGTCCGTCAAAAAGGACCACTCTCTCTTTTGAACTTTCACCAGAGTGGCGTCCCTCCATGGTGACTTTCTCCTTCCAGAGATAACTTTGGTCTTTATCGGAGCAATGGCATCCATGACAGTCATAACATTGGAGCTGAAGTTATTGACAAGGTCATCAACAAGGTCTTAGAGCAGAGTTGGTGATGATGTAAAATCCTGAGTGAATGGTGTACCAGTGCTATTGTTAACAGACCACTTTCTTATCACCTCTTCTTCATCTTTGTTAAGCTTAAGGGGGGGGCTGTGCTCAGTTTCTTTCATGACGTTTATCTCCTGTTTGTTTTAGTTTGTCTTGTCTCTTGTCCTTTGTGGAGGGAACAGATTGGTGATGAAGGTAGAAAGAAATGTTGGACATACAATTTGACTCCTGACCTATTTATGAAGAGTCTATCTTGCTTAAAACGATGTCTGCAGCCTCCAAAGAAACTGAAGTTGTCCAAAAATTACATAGAGTAGACATCACATGCCATGTGTTCAGAGCCATCAATCTGCTAAATCTCACCAACTCTGTTCAACAAATCAGTAAAGTCTTATTTGAGCATTTCAGACTGCTACTCCACAGTATCTTTAATTTCAGTATGCAAAATGATCTTTTTGACAGTTGGATTAGCTACGGTGATACCCAGGATTCTTGCTGTCATGTCAGGAACCAAATCCTTAGGAGAACATAAATCTCATATCTTTAACTGCGGCATCTCTCACAATCAGAATCTGGGGCCCACGTGTTAGCTTTGCCTGCGGCCTGTTAGCTTCTGATTTATGTACAGACCTTACCATTCTCTGTGGCAATGAGAGGTACTCTAGTTCATCAGATGGAGATGCGGAATCCTGGTGTAGAGGAGCAAAACTGATTTGCATTTTGACAGTGTGTTCTACAGGATATTTGCTGTTGGTCTTCCCTTTAGCAGTTGTCCATGGCTGCGTCCTGCTCTGTATTGGAGTAGAGGAGGAGGAGGATGGTAATGCTGGCCAGCCAGTAGCATCAGAGATCTCTGGGTGGACGGTTCTGCCTGTTATTCTCTTACCCATGTTCCAAGGAGTCAAAGCATTATATGAACTCAAATTTACGTACTCTTGTAACTCCTAATAAATCCTAGTGTTTAGGTTCATATGAGTGACAAAACTGAATGTAAAGGGGCTGAAATCTGAGCATTAGATAGGCTGGAAGTATTAGAACTCAGAGCATATTAACCTTAAAAAATACCTTTTTAAATGATCCAACAATGTAATACTATTATGTAAAAACTACATAACCGCCCCTTTACTATTTATTTGCTTTTATGATATTTGCAAAATAATTAGGGGGACAAAAAGCTCTTCTATATGTCTACTCTTACATCTTTGTGACACTACCACCTTATATACCAAACAGAACAGAACAAAACCACATTCAGTCATCTACAATATCTCCTCTACTTAAAAAATATTTTAATCTACGCCTTAGTTTTTTGTATGTATAGGAAGCAGTAGTAAATGTTGAAGTTGACAAACAAGAGCAAACTGAGAAATATTTAATACACCAAACTTAATGCATTTCAGTCAACAACTTGTGTTCATCATTGGCTCTAATGCCTCCAACTGAGGGATGTCTTTTTGACCGTTTTTCTCTTCATTTTGTTTTGCAGTTCCATCTTTCACCTGAAAAACATCCCACTTTTCAGGGAGCCAGCCTTTGTTGAAGAGTACAGCAGCCAGGTAGGAGAAAGTCAAGATGGAAACAACTGCAGACAGCATTGAGATGGTTTTGACTGGAGAGTACTGGACATAGACACCATCCTCAAGAGTGCATCCTGGGAAGTGTATGACTGGTGTTAACTGTAGTGATGGGTCCCCAGTGAGCAACCTTAACACCAAGCCTATCAGAAAACCCATAACAGCCCCGTAACCATTGGAGATCTTGAAAAAGATGATGCAGAAGAGTTGAGGGACCACTATTATGTAGGCCACTTCAGCACCAAGAAACCAGAAGAGTATGATGCTGTTTTTCAAGGTGGTGAGTGACGTCCCAACTATGCCTACCACTACCACTGCAGCACGGATCACCCACTGAATCTCTCTGTCTGACGCCTGAGAAAGAAAGTGGGAAAAAAGAAGAAGACGCTGTTCTTGTTTGATAAACACTTTGGGTTAATTTGGTGCTGCAAATTTCCATTTTGAGTATTTTCTCACCTGAGGCCTGAGGATGTTCTTGTAGATGTTGGAGCTGAAGATGGAAGCAGCAGAGAGCAGAGCAGAGTCAGCTGATGACATGACGGCAGCAGCCATACATCCAATGCCGATAATGGAGATGAAGAGAGGGGTAAGGTGCTGCAGGACGATGGGCAGAGCTTGCGCTGCTTCCCCACCGTTCGTATGGGGATGGAAAACCATAGGTTGTCTGGTTCCAGTCTGGGACAAGGGAACAGAAAAAGGAATGATAATTTAATCATGTAGCATTGTAGATCAGATCAAAAATAATTCAGATATTAAACTTTAGAAAAAGGCCAAAGGCTGGAACATAAGACTACAACTGATTGATCATAGCAAGTTAAAAATTAAACAATGTAGTTTTCAATGTGATAATGATATAGGTTGAAAAATGGCTGTCTTTATTTTTTCTAAGTGGATTGACAAGAAAAGATATAATCAGTCTGATTCAAATTAAGTTTTTCCAAGGCCAACGGTTTCCCCTGTCCCACAGCATACCAAACGAATGGTCATAAACCTTTAAAGACAGAAACATTTCACCACTGGTCAATACTTGACCATTTCACCACACACACACGCACACACACACACACACACACACACACACACACACACACACACACACACACACACACACACACACACACACACACACACACACAAACACAAATATACATAAACTAATAGCACTAAGAGTGCTGTCTAATTGATCTCTGATAACTAATACTATTTTTTAATTCATTTGTACTACTAAGAGGGACTGCACATCAATTATTCACCTTACCTTCAGAGAAGTGACATTACTCAATAAATTCAATGCCAGATTTCACTTAAAGGGATATTCTGGCATAAATTTAAGTTATGGTCAAACAAACCATCACACCATGTTAGACACCCCCCCGAGAGATGAATGTTGCCAACTGCTTGCTTCTCTAGTTCTACCAACTTTAGTTACAACCGCACTATAGCAATACACAGGGGTCTACGTCTGCATGCGCAAACCTCAACCAAAAAGCCACTGTATAGCCACAAATAATGCTCAGAACAGCACCTAACTTCATCAACAGTACATATAGGGTCCCAGCTATAGTACTAGCCACCAAACATCTGTTTAGCTTTGCCAAACACAACTCACCCACTCTCCTCCAGCAGCCACTTGTTTGTGGGGGAGCCGTGGCGAGTCGATTACCAAGTGCAGCGGAGTTTCACAGCTAAAGGAAGAACATTTATGATTATTACTTCATAGAAATGCAATCAGAGTTCTTCTGTATCTTGTATGTACACTGCAGACGCATTAGTTCTTTTACCTTATATAAGTTCTTAATATTAGGCTCTTTATTTTTATAACTGCATTTTTGCACTCTTTGTCTGTGATGCTGCTGTGACAAAAAAAAATTCCCCCATGGGGGATCAATAAAGGAATATTCTATTCTATTCTATATTCCATTCTATTCTATTCTTCGTGTCTTGGTCTGATTGCATTTCCATAAAGTAATAATCATAAATTTTCCGCTGCACTCTGTGATCGACTAACATAAAAACAGAGACATTGATTTAAACTTGTTGGAAATTAAGATTGAACCTCTGCAAATATTAAACTTTTGCTACTAAATTAAAATACATATCTGTACAAGAATTTACATGTAGTGAGGTGTACGAGAACCAAGAGTAATTGTGCAAACACAGTACCAAAATAAAAAAAATAAATAAATACAGAATTGTGTATCAAAGATCATAGTGCCTTTTTTCAGTAAGCTTGTTCATTTCCACTGCTGTTGTCTAGAGTTATACAGGCACAAGGGGATGACAGAGATCCTGAGTCTGCTGGTGGAGCAGGGCAGGAACAGCAGTCTATCACTTGACACACTCTTCTCCCTACTGAGTGTGCAGTGCAGAGGCAGTGGTGGGCAATGTCCAGGATAGACAATACGTTTTCCATTTTACTTAAAAATGTTAATCATTGAAGACATTGCAGCCCAGACACTGACATCCGAGCAGGAGTCTGGCTCAAGGACACTTGAATTTTGGCTGACGTAAGAGTGACTCATAAGCTTTACAGCTGGATATCAGTCTGTGACAATTTGAGTGAATCATTAAGTCTTCAGTTTTTGCAATGTCATTAAACAGCTTTAATAGTGAACTCCAGGATGTTCATTGATGTTGTTCATACCTGTGGATGCAGCGGCTGCCCCAAGCAGTATTGAAGGTATTCCAAATAGAAGTACGACAAAAGCAGCAATAAAGCACGTTATCTTCGGTGAAAGCACTGATATCCTTGACTCCCAAGTGCCTTGAAAGTAGAAAACACACATTAAACAATGTACAACACACTTTAGTATCTATTTGGATTTAAATTTGCAGCCATAGTAAGCAGATAGTTCTTTCTGTCTTAATACTCAAAGCCTCACTGTTCAGATAAGAGGCAACTGATCCTCTGGTTATAACATACAATGCCCCACTTTTCTAATCTGTGATGAAATAATTATCACTTTGAATTAATATAAATGTGACTTTTTTAATAATATATGTGTGTAATTTCTCCATTACCAAAAATAAGAAATTATCAATCATGATCCAGATCTTATCCAGCCCAGGTGCACCAATCCAGGGTTCATGTAAAGTGTTGTTAAACAGTGTCTGGCTTATGTCCAAAGTGGAAGGGTTCATCAAAACAAATGGGACACAGGTATACTAAGGAGGGAAACAAAAAGTAAATTATTTACAAGGTCAATTACAGAATAAAGGAATGGATGGGAGTGCTTGACCCCTTTGTTGGAACTCAGTCCAATCTAGTAGTCTTGCAGTCATAGGGCACTCACCAAGCCAAGGAATATGAGGGTAAGCTGCATAACATCTGTGTAGGCCACAGAGTAGAGACCTCCCAGCAGAGTGTAGATGATAGCCACAACAGCAGAGATCCAGATGCAAACAGAGTAGGGTAAATCCAGGACCACACTCATGGTTCCTCCTGGATAATACATCGTATCAAAGACATCATACAGAGAAAGAAGTTACACCGAAAAAAGTTATGTTTCAAATTTCACTAAATGCTGAATAAAATAAGAGGAATTTGTTCTCACACCTAAACCGATCAGCGTTGCGGTAACCCAAACCACATCAACAATAAGTGAAGCCAGGCACAGTCCAGCCGTCAGCACTTTTCCATATTTGACACGGAAAGGGTCCAACATTGTTACAAAGTTCTTCTCTCTCATTGGCTTAGCAAATGTCAAGCCACCTTGATATAAAAAGCAGAACACATCACACTAATAATTTTTTTATAAATCCATAAATTCAGTGGGAAGTCAGGAAATTATGCAAGCTTAACTGCATTGATACCATAGACTGTATATAAGATGGACAGAGTCTGCCTCCTTGCTGGGTGAAGCCACTCCGAGAACAGGACCCTCTGATGGTGGGCTGCAGTACAGGTCATAAATCCCACCTCCGCCAGCAAAGCTTATGGGACTGTGGACAAACTTTAGAAATTTATTACACAGAACATAAATTTTTCTCCCCCCTGCTTGTGATGTTGACATGTAGTTACTGTAAAACTGGTTTGTGCCCAAGTCCTTTTTTTTCTGTGAAGCTCCATTTTTAAAAGTTATTAGGGGGTTCATGTTTTCTATGATTGACACCTGGTACAGCCTATGGGCGTTCAGGGATTGCGTAGCTCTCCGGGGGATACGCTGTTTGAGCCGATCATCATCACAGGGACTCTCGGCAACTGCGTGGCCGAATGCGCGCATCGCTACTGCGCAGCTCTGGTTTCAAGGAAGTGGAGAAAAACCTGGAATTACCGAGAGCTTTTTGGCTTCAAATCCGTATACAGGAGGAAGGCGGAACCAGGGTGTCCATCTTATATACAGTCTATGATTGATACTCAACAGTGAAGGAAAAATTTTTGTTGAGTTTGCAACAGAATTAATTTATTTTGAAAATTAAAAACTAGTTAAATTTCATTCAACTTTTTGAGGTTTTTCTTTTATTGACAAAAAACTGTATTAAATTCTGTGTAACTTAATTTTAGGAACTTACCAACTATGAAAGCGAAGCTGTATGCAGCTATTATCATCACTGTCCAAGTCAGTCCCATAGAGGGTGTGTACATCATCTCAGTTGTGCCATTAATGAAGCCTCCTCCAACCCACGTAGCTGCAGGTGAATTCAGGTGAATCAACACGCATGCACACACACACACACACACACACACACACACACACACACACACACACACACACACACACACACACACACACACACACACACACACACACACAAATAATTAAATAACTGTGAGAACAGGAGCTTTTTTTTAAAAAAAATCCTGAGTTTGCATACTGCCAATACTTGGTAAAATACACATGGACAATCATGTTTGCCCACAACCAGTAATCTTTAGAAACAACAGTCCTTCAGATTTAAAATTATTATCCAAAATCTGTCAACACAATAGTGGGAGCGTGAAATAATGAATAACAATCGATTTCTACACATTCAAACACCCAGGAGAGAGACAGTACAGCACTACAGTTTTGTCATGGAAAATTCCAAAGGGCTACAACACAGCATCTCCAGAATGAGAGCTGAACCAACAGCCCAATAAGCAGAACATGCTAAGTTGGTACTTAGTGCACAGCCAGCAGCTCACACCTGTGTCTAAATGCAACCACACCTCCAAATATGCGTAACTTGAAACTGATGCTTTAAGCTGTGAAAAACCATGGAGCACTTCAATAAGATTGTTGAACTTCAATGAACCTTGAAGGATTTTTGATAAAAAAGGCAGATGCAAAACTGGAATGTAATTATCAACCTGGCCCGGCTGGAGATTGGATTGTTTTTAGGAGTTGGATGACCTGAGTTTACTTAAATGCTGTGGAGAAAAACCCCAGATAAAAATTAATTCAGATAATTATTAACCCCAGATGAGTAAATAATGTGGGTAACCTTTGGATTAAGTGAAGGGAAAATGGTCAGCAAAAGGTCTGCAGGGACGGGGTCCAGTGGGCAGGGAGTAAGCTTTGAGTCAAGCAAAAGCCTAAGGACTCCTTCATTCAGTGGAGTAAAAAAGCTCAGTAAGGCACCAGTTTGTGTGGCCTGGTGGGAATAAAAAAAAAAAGAAAAAAGAAGTTGTTTGACAAATTGCACATGTTGATGCACCAGTTATGTAGGGGCTCTTTACACCTGATTCAGTGGGTCTTGTGAGCTGGTGATACTGGAAGTAGGCACAGAGCAAATTCTGCTTAGAGTGAAGATACTAGTACATTTTGTTTACAGGATTTTCAAATAATCAAAATAAACTGAACAGCTTTTTTTCTTTTTTTTTTAAGCCAGAAAATAACACATAATCCAATGTTTCAACCTCATTCTCCTCCAAGGTGGATTTCCTTACCTGTCATTGTGAAAATTCCCACCACCCAGTTTATCCTCCGGTTCCCCAGCAGGGCCATATCCAATCCTGTGGCTGCAGTTTTCTTCTGTTCCTTTCTGGACTTGAAGGAAGCCCAGATGCCGGTTCCAAGAACCAAAAGGTAGAAAAAAAACATGGCAATCAGTCCTGGGATGTTGACAGCCATGATGGGATGCTTGGCTGGCCTCCTCACAAGCTGATAGCTGACTGAGTGACTGAATCGTTGGGTGTGCTGTTGGTTAAAAAATGCTGGAGGAGAGACATTAGCATCATACAGCAGCTCCTCCCTTTATCTCTTAGGAGAAACTGGTGGCTAAAGATTTCTCGAATCTTTCTGAATTTCTCGAGATTACTCGAATACTTAACATTGTGAACATGTTTTGTCATGTAAGTGTGATCAGACCTTGTATGACTTTTAACCCTAAACATGTGTTGTTCCTCTCAACACTGACATTGTAAAATGAAGTTAATTTTGACAATAAATGAAAAAATTTCTTTATTTTCTCTTACACTTCATGATGCGTTTTATTGTATCAGGAACATATTTTTTTTCCCCTGTTCCTTCAGTCTTTTTAAAGTCCTCTCAGGTACTTCAGTGTCTAAATAAATCATTTTAATCAGTAAGCTAACACTTTGGGAATCTAACTTGTTCCAACTCCTTCTCTACAGCACTAAGTTGAATTTGCATAAATATTTTTTCATCAGAATAAACATTTTTTTAACCCGATTTATTTGATAGTTTTCATGAAATGGTTCAAAGCCTGTTAGCTTGGCTTTTGGAAAATGTGGTATCATCGAAATGAAGGATTGCAATGAACTTGATCATCACACCAGAATGATCCAGGAGTATGAGATGACTCGAGTTGAAATAGTTAATTTAGAGTGTGAAAGAAGAATTAACAGCAACTGTTAAATGTTGTATTAAACCAAGTCTGTTTACCAATCTTTTAATTGGGTAACGCTACATCGACTCAGATGGGGGTAAGGTGGCTTTTTTTTCCTTTTGCCTAAAAAGATTTCATGTAAAAAGGTTCACCTTGGCTGACACCTCATGAAAGCCCTTAACTCTGTTGTCTCAAATCGCTAAGAGTCTCAAAATGTTTAGAATAATTCCAAAGATCCATCAAAAAAGATTAGTAAAAGATAAAACATGAAGAAACAGTGCCAAAGGTGTTATTGAATATTAAAAATATATTTTTATATCACATAACTGTGGCATAAATTTCACTGGCCTGTTACAGGGCTGTTTGAGACAAGTTCATGTTTTATATGGTGTTTTATATCTTCATTCTTATGAGCAGACGTTAACTATTGTAGTGCATGGCTATAGTCATCATTTTGTAAATCAGCAGAATCCTTCCTTATTCTGTCTGCTGTGCTTTCCTCATCTCCATTAGTAAATACTGCTTTATGTTATGTTTAAATTTTTTTCCCCTAAAGTGATTTTACATTTGAAATTAGAGGAAAACATCATTGTTTTGACTTCAAGTCTTACCTAAGTATACAGTCCCAGTAATGTGCCTGGACATGTGTGGTCTCTGTGGTGCATTCAATTCTGAGAAGAAACAGTAAACTCATCATGCACCTCAAGGATACACCTCAACTTTCAGCCAAACAGCTTCTCTTAGTCCAGCTGTAAATCTTTCATGGTGTTGATCAAGGTTCCACTGTGCTAAAACTCACTCTAGTCTTTCTGACTGAGCTGTCAGTTAAATTACTGTAAGAAATCTCTGTCTGTGGAAATATTTCCAGTTTGTCTCTTGGCTTGATTCACATAAAATAATGTGAATGGTTTCAGTTGGAAACAGCTTTCCCCTTGGTCAGTTAGGAAGATTAATAGCTAACGAATAAGACCATTCATTAAAAAAAACTCAATATATTAGCCATCACAGAGAGTATTTTTTCAACTTTGGCGAATAAGTCGGGTTGTGTCAGTAAGTCACGTTAGTGTGAAAGTGACTTTAGGTGAATTCCTTTTGAATTCCTTTTGAGGAATTTTGACCTTTGTTTGACCTTTGGACTCACTTCATTGAGAAGCTACAAACACCGCTACAGTTTAATGTGTTTCCTTCAATAGAGATAGACACCATTCAAATTTCTTTCCCTGTCAGTTAACTTTAATACAAAGCAGATAAAGAGCACATGAACCAATGTAGACACTTTATTTTCTGTATGTCATGAACACAAATACATAGCCCAGTTAGTGCAGTGAGTGAACTAAATCAATTAGAAAGTGCAGTAAGTAAAAGTAAACCTCATCTGCACATGAACAGAAACTTGTTAGCCCTGCAGTCTTACTTGTTTACTGCGCTATTCTGCTTCTCCATAAATGAATGTGTCCTCAGGTGAAAGGTGCTAAGTCACATCACGAGATTGTAATCATGTTCAAATGAAGTGGGACACACTCAAGGATGATATGTAGAACATCTTGAACATTCCCTTATCAGTCACTCACACTCACATCTTGAACAACAAGCTGAACAGGAGTTGACAGATGAAGAAAGCAGGATGTTTAGACTAGTACCAAAAAAAAAAAAGGGGGGAACAACTTGCAGTTTGTAACTTGACAAAAACTGCTGCAAAAACCCTGTATACTTTCTCAGAACCCAAACATCCGTGAAGAACTGACCCAAAGCACAACTCAATACAAGGAAAACAAACAGGTTGTGATCATCAAAGGCCCAATGGATCTGACGTCTTTGTCTAAGAGATATTTTCATTCAATTTTTCACTCTCATCATACTCAGTCTTGCCACCTATCGGTGCTAGTTGATGTGGTGAGTGCTGAGCTTTCACTCCGAACACATCCCACCTCTCAGGAAGCCAGCCTTTGTTAAAGAGCACAGCGGTGACATGGGAGAAAATCAGGATGGCAGCAACAGCAGACAGCATTGAGATGGTCTTGACCGGAGCATACTGGACATAAACACCATCCTCAAGAGTGCAACCTGGGAAGTGTAAGACTGGTGTTAATCCCAGTAATGGGTCTCCACTGAGCACTCTTAAAATCAACCCCACTATCAAGCCAAGAACAGCCCCATATCCATTGGAAAAGTTAAAGAAGAGGACGCAAACAAGTTGAGGGAAGATCACGATGTACGCCACTTCAGAGCATAAGAACCAGAACAAAAGGACGCTGGTTTTCAGGCTGGTGAGTAATGTACCGATCACACCAACCACCATCACAGCACCTCGAATCACCCACAGAATCTCTCTTTCTGCTGCCTGGAAGAAAAAACAGACAGGAAGAGGAAATAATTATAAAATATGTACTATATAGCAATTTGGTGAAAGAAAAGAGCAATAACATTTCTAAAACAAACAAAAAAATACAAGACAGACTAGGCAGAAGTTTCCTGGAATAATGCTTTTATCTACCCTTTACTTTGTAACAACATTACCAAAAAAGGTAGATCACTAACTGAAATGTTAGCAAAAACTAATTTTGATGCTTTGAAAATCATTTACACCTGAATCTTAAAAAAGTTCGAAAACAATTTATTAAATACTGGAAATGAAAATTTATCGTGTTCACAAGAAAAAAAAGCTGTGCTTATTTTTCATGTGATGCAGACACCTTTTATAAAGTTGGGACAGAGGCATCTTTTTCTGCCACTTTTTACAACACTTATAAAACTCCAGAAACTGGACTTATTCTCTAAATGTTACCTGAAACAGAATTGCAGTGCTCAACAGCTTAACATTTCCTTTGTCGTTTTTTTTTTTTTTTTTCATGGAAAAAAAATGGATAAGAAGTTTGGACAGTTTTACATCCAGACTCTTGTATGTCTGAGTCACACTATTGTAACGCATGCTGAATGTGGTTTGACATGTGATTTTATGAGTATGCAGGCATTACCCAGAAAAAGCAATGGTGCATTTATGATCTCCAAAAAGAATGCCAAATTTAATTCACCAGACCACAGGACAGTTTTCTATCTTGAATAGGCGTGGACCCAGAGAAGTTGGCCAAGTTTCTAGATTATGGTTTTATGAGGTTTCTTCTTTACATAGCACTGTTTAAACAATATTTGTGGAAGTAGTCACAAACTGCACTCATAGAGAATGGGTTTTGGAGTGATTCTGAGCCCCTACAGTGGCTTGGACTATGTTACCAAACTGTTGCAAATTAACAGAATTATGCTGTGTTCCAGTTACCTCGGAAGTCGGATGTTGGAGCTGGGACTGACGTTACACCAGAGTTGACATCGTTCCAGTAAACAAGTAAGAAAACCAAGATGGATGCCCACTGTTAACAATTGTCAACTGTGTCACCGTGTTCACAGTTAGATGTTGAGCAGAACAACATATACCATTTATTTAATTTCACAAAAACAAAACAGAAGTGCTAATAGATAATACATTACAGGAGCTTTCACTGTTACTCTTTAATGTTAATTGCACTGCGCTGCCATCTTGGATTATGACGTCAAATCGGGGGTTGGTGAGGATCGTCCAACTTTCCAAGTCGGAAATCCGAGTTCAAGGGGGCGTTCCAGATGAATTTCTGACTCGGAGCTCGGAAATCCAGACTTCAAGGTACAACTGGAATGCACCATTATTTAGGGGGTTGGGTAGGGTTAGGGTTTTTTAAAACAAAACAGGACAAAATATGTCGCCAGCTCAACATTTCAAACAAGTGTCAAATGATTCCTAGACCATCAAAAACTGTTTTTATCAACATTTCAAACTAACTCTTACAGATTTGGGTTTTTCATCATCCTGCCCTATCTAATTCATTATCTGTAAATAAAATGTAGACCAAAAAATTGAAGACCAATCTCATTTTCTCACCTGAGGCCTCAGGATTTTTTTGTAGATGTTGGCACTGAATACAGAAGCTGCAGAGAGCAAAGCAGAATCAGCTGACGACATCACGGCGGCAGCCACACAACCAATACCGATAATTGAGATGAAAGGTGGGGTAAGATGTTGCAGGGTAATAGGCAAAACTAGAGCTGCTTCCCCACGTTCATATGGCGATGGTGAACTGTAGGTGGTCAGGTTCCAGTCTGTGACATGGAAACAGATGAAGATTACACAATCTCACGTGAGCCCAGCTTTTTTAAAAGTGTAGCTCAGCAGAGTCAAGCACAGGCAGGTCTACGGTATGAAGACCTACGGTATGATTTCACTTAAGCTGCGGCCCTTAAGTGAAATAGTTGTGTTCAAGTCCTTGGTTGAGGCAGAAAAAGTAGAAAGTTGGGGAAAGGAAAATACAAGGATGAGGCAGGGAAAGAAAAAGAAAAAAGACAGGGCCTTTTTTTCACTGAGAACTTGCAAAGGAAACGGTTCCTTTTCTTAAATGACTGGAGAAAAATGTTTATAAACTCAAGTTTACATTCAGGAATAGGGAAAAACAGCTCTGGATTGTAAAATCTGTTCATACCTGTGGATGCAGCAGCTGCTCCAAGCAAGATGGGAGGTATACCAAATAGAGTCAAGGTAAAAGCAGCAACCAGGCATGTGACCCTTGCTGTAGCTGAGGAAGCGGATGATAAGGTCCTCTGGTGGAAACACTGATATCCCAGATTCCCCAGAGCCTTGAAGGAAAATAACTTGTTGGTAAATGAAATTGCTGTGGCCACCCAACAGGGTGAATGATGCCAAATTTTTGCCTGTTTTTACCAGTAAAGCTCCCATTTAGATGAGAATAATTCCTGAAACATATCCTGTTACACAAAAAGTGCTTAAATGAAAAATAGTCCACAAATAAAAAGTTTCAGCTACCATTATTAAAATATCCACCAATACACTTATTTTCTTGTTTAAGATGCAAAATTTCTTCCTTACAAAAAATAGGAATTCATCAATCATTGTCCATGACTTTTTTAACTCTGGTGTACCAATCCAGGGAGCGTGAAGAGTATTGTTGACCAGTGTCTGACTTATGTCCAAAGAATAAGGATTCATCAAAACAAAGGGGACACAGAGCCACTGCATAGGAAAGAAAATGTAGATCATTCATACAATCTTGGAGGATTTTCTTTGAATTTATCCTCTAAAGGGAAAAATAAAGACATACTGAAAAAGAAAAAGATGAAACTATTCCAGACTCACCAAACTGAAGAATATGAGGACAAGTTGTATAATATCTGTGTAGGCCACAGAGAAGAGACCTCCCAGTAGTGTGTAGGTGATGGCAATGGCAGCTGAGATCCAGATGCAAATATCAAAGGATAAATCCAGGACCACACTCATGGTTCCTCCTGTCAAACCCAGCATTTGTGAATTCTCATAAACTTTTCATAAACAAAAAATGCAGACATGACTGTAGGCAAGTGGGCTATAGGATATGTATTATTCTCTAAGTTACCTGACCATGTGTCTGCCTAATTTGGTGTTCTCCCTAATGGGTAAGACTTCTGGTCAATGCCTCTGATCTACCATTAACCCCACCACTCTACATCACTGCTACACTCAGTCAGCTTCACTATCCCCCCTACCATCCAATCTACCAATATCATCATTATTTTTAGCATAAATAATATTTCTTTGGAGGGGTTCTGATGCCAAATATGAACAATATCCTGATCCTGCTCTTGAAGAGAGTGGTCTGGATTCAATAAAAGTGAATATCTGTTTCTTTGTCTTCTAAGGTCTAAACTGACACTCACCTGTGTTGTAACCTGTTAATCCCTCAGAGGTCCTTTAAACACTCAGTTATACAGTACAGGCCAAAAGTTTGGACACACCTTCTCATTTAATGTCTTTTCTTTATTTTTTTATATGACTATTTACATCGTAGATTTTCAATGAAGGCATCAAAACTATGAATGAACATATGTAGAATTTTGTGCTTATAATAAAAGTGTAAAATAACTGAAAACATGTCTTATATTCTAGTTTCTTTAAAATAGTCACCCTTTGCTCTTGAGGACAGAGTTACTTAGTGACTGACTCTGGCAGTCATGAAGTAACCCTGACAAGGCACACCTGTGAAGTAAAAACCATTTCAGGTGACTTCCTCATGAAGCTCATTGAGAGAACAGCAAAAGTTTGCAGCACTATCAAAAAAGCAAAGGGTGGCTACTTTGAGGAATCTAAAATATAAAACATGTTTTCAGTTATTTCACATTTTTTTCTTAAGCACATGATTCCACATGTGTTCATTCATAGTTCTGATGCCTTCACTGAGAATCTACAATTCAAATAGTAATGAGAATAAAGAAAATTCATTGAATGAGAAGGTGTGTCAAAACTTTTGGCCTGTACTGTATGTATGCATGTGTTTAAGCGAGCATGGGTCCGTACCTAAACTGATGAGTGTTGAGGGCATCCAGAATAAATCAATCATAAGTGAAGCCAGGCACAATCCAGCTGTCAGAACTTTCCCATACTTAGCATGGAAAGGGTCAAGCATCGTCACAAAGTTTCTTTCTCTCATTGGCTTGGCAAACACCAAACCACCTATATTTGAATGAAAGGCAGATGGGATAAAGATTCACTTTTGAATAAATTGTAAAGACAATATCAACTTCTTAACAACTGACTCCTTATCAGCATTAAATTGGCATTAAAGTTTGGGGCTGCTTTAATTGAGTACATTGACTGATAACCATTTTTTAAACCATGAAGTATGATAGATTTAGAAATTTGTGCTAAAATACATTGCACTTTTCTGCTTAGAATAAAGTTAACAGTACTCTTACAAATCTAACCTCAAGCTCTTACCGATTATAAATGATGTGCTGTATGCCAAAATCACCATGACTCCCCTCGTGAGTCCCATTGAAGGTGTGTATACCATCTCAGTGGTGCCAACAATGAAGCCTCCTCCAACCCATGTAGCTACAGGATAGACACACACATAGCTTTTAGTTACATTTAGAAATACATCAGCTGTCCAACCAGGGAGCACATTGCTGAGTGATTATCATCCCAGGCTAACAGCAATTTACAAATTATGTGTTTTTTTTATTATTTGAAAATAAAAGGAATTTTCATAAACTTCCATTTTGGAGATCAGTTTGTAAATAATATATTGATAATGGATGGATTAAAACAATCAATAAATACAAATCAAACAGAAGAATAACTAATTATTAATGATTATTAATAAAAATCATTAATTATTGATTAATAATGATTTATTAATAATCAGCTTTCAGGGCAGCTGGTCTAGAGGTATTTTGGTAGACCTGCACAGCAGTGCGTTCACGTCACCAATGCCTCACTGGCAGGTTTCCACAGTGTCAGGCACATTTCAGTGCAATAAATATTCATTAGCAACAATCAATTTTTAGTGCAACTATCTGAGTCAGCACAAAAATTTAGCTCTATATAAATATATTCTGATGTATATGCTATCTTTTATTAACACAGCTAAAACCGCATTTAGTTAAATATACAAGAACTGGAACTGGACTATAGGGAAGATGATGATGGCGCCTCAGAACACCTCATATCAGAGGATGAAGAAAAGGAAGACATCTTCATCACTCCGGCCCAGGCTGCACAACCCGCGGCCTTCGCCGCCTCTCGGGATGAAGATGAGAGAAGCATACCAGCTTCTCCTCTTCCTTGCTCGGATATGCAAACGCGCTGCTGTCCGGCTAGCCATCCCCTGGCCCGCTGTCATAGCTGAGACCACCACTCCACTGTTGCGTAAAGGGAAAATGCACAGTATGCACTGTTTTACCCCCCAGCATATAAGCTCTCCTCAGCCTAGACACTTTAGCGCTCACCTGGCCGCGCGAGCTTCTTTACGTATGCCCTCCCCTGGCTTGAATACCTCCCACTCTGTACAGAATTAGAGAAAAAGGCCATGCACTGATTCTGATATCGCACCGGGAGAGCAGCAGTCGCATGCGTTATGTCCGGTCCGTGCTGTGCAGAATTATATGGATAGGACAAAGAGTCTCAGGAAGAACGATCAGGCTCTATTTTCGTGCCTCACTGGAGACGTGCCGCAGGCGCGGCGTAAGACAGGTCCACCGCCCCGACAAGGCGTTTCCAAGCACAATTTGGTATTTTGGTGAGCGGCGCAGCCCGGCGTAAGTATCCCCCCTCCCTAACTCAGCTCCTCCCAGCGGTGTAAGTTGTATCGAGGGAGGAGAGAGGGCGTCGAATGGGTTTAACACAGCCGAGACCTGTATTGACCAATAACATCAGCTCCTCTCCTCGCCTTTAAATCCGCCACCGGCGAGGCGTATTACAATTTTCATGAGGTAGTCAAAGAGATCAAGAGATGTTTGAAGACAGTAATGCCACACGATGGTGACAGAAGGCAGCTCCTCAATAAGTGTTGCTGTAAGCACTGCAGAGGGCGTCCTTCACACTCTCTCATATGAGCACAGATGGATTTGGTGTATGTAATGTTGGACCCACTGGTGAGACAAACACCATTTCCACAAGTAAAGACACTCATATAAAGTTGCATATATTCAAACCTCACGTGACAAAGGTGGGTTGTGCGTAGAGATCACATCATAAATTCCAATAATGGCATTAAAATCTGAACCATCAGTGCGTAAATTACGCATTGCACTCCGTGGCCTGGCTCTTTCTTTCATAGATGTTGGCATATGAAATAAATTTGGCTCAAAAATCTGAATATTATAATATTCGTATGTAGGCTTAAAGTAAATAACTCTTCTAATCATTGAAACGAATCATCTGTTCAGTCCCTGCAGCAGGACGGAGAGAGGACACGGAGACGTGTCCAGGTCGAGCTGTGCGAGAAATAAGAGGAAGAGGAAGAAAGAAAAGGAGGGAGACGAATTACATATCTTGTTAACTTCATCATGTGTGTTTATTTACTAGATATTTGATTTAATTTAATGTGGTTTCAGCTGTGTTAATTCAAACAGGTTGAGTGTCCAGACGCGTGCCAAACGCGCCCATCAGATCAGATATAGATCAGAATATATCTATATAGATCTAAATGTATGTGCTGACTCAGATTATTAGTTGTTGATTATTTATTGCAATGAAATGTGCCTGACACTGTGGAAACCTGACGGTGAGGCATCGGTGATGTATGCCGATACGCCACAGGTCTACCAAAATACCACTAGACCAGCTGCGCTCCGCCTGTGCTGAAAGCTGACCAGGTTTGAATCGGCGAGCTTTCGGCGCACTTTATACGCCGGTGGCAGGCACGAAAATGTCACAGCGCCATCCGCCTGAGCCACTTAAAGTAGTTGGGACTACCCAAGGCGGACGGTCACGTTTCACCAGCCAGTCAGGTTTGGCATAATGAGATAAATGCTTCTGAGGGCTGCAGGCAAGGCCTCCTCTGTTGCCACCCTAAAACCCTAAAATATGAGTGGTTATTTGCTTATCAGAGGAAAACTTGCAGAAATTGTTACTATAGGCATTTTATTCTGTCTGAGTTCTTAAAGGAAAATCCAGATCTCAACTCAGCTATTTTGCTTTTTGAAGATTTAAAATTTAGAAAAAGGAAAATAAAATATGTAGGACATGTTGGTTGATTGGATTTGTGATGACTGAAAGGGTACTTAATGTAATTTACACACATACTTCATGCCACCCCTGTCCTGCCTCAGTCAATGCAGCCAGTTTAGTCATCCCTGTCAAAACAAGTCTTGACACATCTTTGCCCTCTTTGGGTTTTGGTCCTTCATTTCATGTACCTAATCATTCCTTCTCATAACCTAAAAAAATAACAAAACTTTCACATTTTCTGGACTATAGTTTATTTGGGCTGTTTGAATGAGAACTTTATGCAGTGTGGTTTTATTAGCAGATATCAGAGACACATAAACTAATTGAGTTTATGTGTTATGTGAGAGTTTACAAGACTTTACATCTGCCAATTAATTTCAGAAATCTTTTAATTATTCAATTAAATCTATTTTCATCCATTATTATGACCTTGTCATCCAAAATCATAGTTTCCAGCCAATCTCTGTAAGCTGCGTTCCCCTTACCTGTCATTGTGAAGATCCCCACCATCCAGCTGATACGGCGGTCTCCCAGCAGGGCCATCTCCATTCCATTAGCTGCTCTTTTCCTCTGTTCTCTTCTGGACTTGAAAGAAGCCCAGACGCCGGTTCCGAGGACCAGTAAGTAGAAAAATACCATTGCTATCACTCCTGGGATGTTGACAGCCATGGTGGAATTGTCGACTGGCTAACCTCCAGCAGATCACTCAGTGTTTAGACTGGTTTGACTGGTAAAGTAAACATTAGTTTCAGGTTTATCTACTTGCCAAGCAAAGGAAACCCTTATTTTTTCCATTGCTTTTTTTTTTTTTTACATATTAACTAAGATTTGAAGTGGTCCATACATTGCAACTTCTCATTTAAAACAGACTGAGATAATGATTAATATGTCTCTTGTTACCTATTGAGAGGCAAGATGGAGAGAAAGGATTGAACACCTCTTTTTCAGAACTTCAGTTCCTTAAATGTGCACTTGAGGCCAGCTGTAAAAGTACTGAAAATCCCATACACAAACTTATTCATAAAGCTAGTCTTTAAAGCAAACAAACGTGCTTACGATTTAAAAAAAGTGGATCAAGTGATCCAGTGGAGTCAAGAATTTTAACACTTTTTCTGTCTCTCATGTCCAATATGAATCAGTTTCACTTGGTGCCCTCTGGAAGCCTAGAGATCTGCTACAGTAATGTTTATTTACAATGAAATGTTGTTTTGTGAAGCTGTGGCATTGTTAGTATGCCTTGCTGTAGCATTTGCCATAATGTGTTTTTGCAATGTAAATGTCCTTTATGACCACCGTAAAGTAAGAGGGTAACAAATATTTATTTTATCGTAGCTCTCTTACCTCGATCTTCACGCTTTAGCCTTTGATTTATTTATTGAGGTCGGTACAGGAGGTTTCATTTTTAACACTCTGGCATTAAACAAAATCGCAGGTGCCGTGTCTGCTCCTCTGATAAAATAACAAGGCATACATACAGCAGAGTGATGTCACATCTGCACACACAGTGCAACCTTTGACAGGACAGTAAAATAAGTGAGCAAGGGTGCCATCTAGTGTCAATATTAAACAGGGGGACAACTCCTGAATTGGATGGAGTGAGCCACTACGGCGTTTGTTGGTTTGTTGAGAGCACAGGCATCAATACAACTCTACTCCTGCAGTAGTTTTAGCAAAATTAGACAACTCTGCGCATGTCCAAATGCCTCCAATCTGAATAAAGCTTGATGCATGTATACACAGTGATGATCAAATTATTTGATTTTGCGCCCACATAAACAGTGGATTCAGATTTTCTGATCCCTCAAATTTTTAATCAGATCAAGAAATTTTGCACATGTAAACATGGCTATTGTTTGTTTTTGAGCAAAGATTGAACAGTTTTAAGGCGACTGTTTGGTTTTGCAGAAAGAATCAGAGGTTTGATGAATGTAGTTTGAAAATTGGGTTTTGCGCTTATTGTATTAAAAAAGCATGGTGGAAGCAATGTGTTTTAGCAATTGAGAAAAAAAGTAATTGATTGCTTCGTAATGGGGTTAGCATAACGATGAAAGTAGAGAGGGGGAAATATGCTGTATCATCAAGCCATTTGTCCCATTAGAAAACTCAATTTGACTGCATCAGCAGAAACACAGAATTGACTTTGAGTGGGAGCACTGCTGTATGCCTCAGTTTGTGTGTAATAAGCAAAGGAATGCACGCTGTGAACTCTCTTGCTATGCCGTTCTCACTATCTTACTATTTGTCCCCCAACCACCAGGAAAGCACTGACTTCTGTCAAACTTTGGACCAGGTTTTTAGGCACAGATGCTCTCCACCCTCTTGAGAAAGCAATGCTCCACCTTTACACCAGACTGCTCCTCATTTAGATTTAAGACAAACACTCTCAGGTTTACTCACTGTTAACACAGCATTGGTTGTAGGATGTTGAAATGACAAGTGCTTTGGGAAAAACAAAGAAAAAAAAAAGATAAACAAGTGCAGCAAAACACTTTGTGCCAGGTGTAAGATAAGGCTGTGAATATTGCAGTCTCAGCAAAGATCACAGACAGGTGCAAAATACTGCTCCCATTCAGAAAATAGATGACACATTTTGTTCCTCTGTCTAACTAGAGGTGAATGTAACACAGGAAAGAGCTTATCACCGGGCTCAAACTATGTGATCCACACAGTTAATTGTTTTGCAGGTTTATGACTTTTATTTATTACAAGTTACTAGTAAGTCAAGTTTATGCATATAGCAACTTTTATAGACAGAAAGGCTTCACAGTCAAAAAGATGTCAAAATTATAACAATGATCAAAAATAAGATAACCACCAGCTAATTTTACACTATAGGTGTACAAAACAGTTAAATATACTCTTTCATACCATCCTTCCAATCCTTCTCCCCATTATCATATTGAGGTGCAGCCCTTACTTGACAGTCTACATTTTTTTCTTTACTTATGGTAAAACAAAAAGAGGGCATATTGTTTGCATATCATTAACACAAGAGTAACGAAGGATGACAAAGTGTGAAGGAGAAAACGTAGACAACAACTGAAGGTTTGAGTCTTTAGGTTTATCCTGTAGTTTTTCTTGCACAAAATCTGACTCTGTTCAAAGGTTGTGAGTTACATCATCACATGTGATCAGGGTTGTTCTCACTGAGTCGTGTAGTGACTCAAGCTCAAGGGTATGTTTTGAAAACGTGGATCCTATACATCTCTGTAACTTTCCTCTCACGCCTCAGGCAGCAGAGAGGGAGGAGGGAGAGACAAAGACAGTAGATTTAGATCAAATTGCTTTACATTATGTTAGTTTAAATCCTACTTCCTCTGCAAGTTGTAACATAGAGACAAGAAGCTAATATTATTTATTTCAAATTTTACAAAAAAATCTCTGCTTGGGGTAAAGTTTGTTTTTTTACAAGTTAAAAGATACTTTGGGGTTTGGATGTATAGCTCTCCTAAGCATTGTGCATAGAGCTCTTATTATTTGGGACAGTATATTTCTAAATACTGTCCCAAATAAACAAATATCGAAGCAAACTCAAAATACTAACAGGTGGTACTAATCATCGGCTCTGATGCTTCAGTCTGAGAGTTTTTTCCATTCAGTTTCTCATTCTTGTCATGTTCTGTGGCTCCTCCTTGTGTTGATGGCCGTTGTGGGGAGTGCTGATTTTTCACCTGGAACACATCCCACCTCTCAGGAAGCCATCCTTTCCTAAAGAGCAGTGAGGTCAGGTAGGAAAAAAACAAGATAGCAGCAACAGCAGCCAGCATGGCAATGGTCTTAATAGGAGCATACTGGACGTAAACGCCATCCTCAAGAGTGCATCCTGGGAAGTGTATGACTGGTGTTAACTCTAGTGTTGGGTTCCCGCTGAGCAGTCTCAACACTACTCCTATCAGAAAGCCCATGATAGCACCATATCCATTGGAGATGTTGAAGAAGAGGACGCAGATTAGCTGGGGGAAAACTATCACATAGGCCACTTCAGCACCAAGGAACCAGAACAAAATGACGCTATTTTTCAGGCTGGTGAGTGATGTACCAACCAGGCCTACTACTACCACTGCAGCACGGATCACCCACTGGATCTCTCTGTCTGACGCCTGGAGTAAAGAGGAGAGAAAAAGGATGAAAGGTAAGCAGCGAAGAAGACTACCCTGCTGGCAAATACATCTCTCGCTATTATAACTTCCTTACTCAACTTTTTACTTTGTTTACCCATCTTGACACTGACAATGCTAAAACTGAAGCACCATTGTATTTTCTCACCTGAGGCCTGAGGATGTTCTTGTAGATGTTGGAGCTGAAGATAGAAGCCGCAGAGAGCAAAGCCGAGTCAGTCGATGACATGACGGCAGCTGCCACACATCCCATGCCGATAATGGAGATGAAGGGGGGGGTCAGATGTTGGAGCAAGATGGGCAAAACCAGAGCCGCTTCCCCACGTTCATATGGAGATGGAGACCCATAGGTGGTCAGGTTCCAGTCTAAGACATGAAAGGCAGAAGACGAAAATGTACAGAGTGACCACTGACTACAACGCAGGATGAACCACAACATTACCAAAGTAATTTTTTGCTGTTTTTAGTTGCCTCTTTTTGTAATGCTGTTTATGCTATTATTGTTTAATTTCCAACTCTGTAAAGCATTAAGAGTTTGCCAAGCAATCAGCACAAAAGTGCCAAGAACTTCAGTTCCTTAAATGTGCACTTGAGGCCAGCTGTAAAAGTAGTGAAAATCCCATACACACCTATTCATAAAGCTAGTCTTTAAAGCAAACAAACGTGCTTACGATTTAAAAAAAAAAAAAAAAAGTCAGAGAAGAGGCTGAGGGCCCCCCTTCACTCTTTCCCTTTGCCTGTTAGGCTGAACCAGCATTCACAATGTGGCGACTGCCACCTGTTGGCTACAAAACTCTGCTTCAGAAACCAGTTGGTGATATCACTGAGATACAGTCCAGTTTCATACACAGTAGTTTGTAAAGTTTTACCATCAAGTGATCCAGTGGAGTCAAGAATTTTAACACTTTTTCTGTCTCTCATGTCCAATATGAATCAGTTTCACTTGGTGCCCTCTGGAAGCCTAGAGATCTGCTACAGTAATGTTTATTTACAATGAAATGTTGTTTTGTGAAGCTGTGGCATTGTTAGTATGCCTTGCTGTAGCATTTGCCATAATGTGTTTTTGCAATGTAAATGTCCTTTATGACCACCGTAAAGTAAGAGGGTACTTTGCCAACATTTTATAATTTCTAAAATCTTTTTTTTTACAAATTTTATAAACAACATTGTCCAGTGTATGATGAATGAATACCTGTGGATGCAGCCGCTGCCCCAAGCAGTATGGGAGGTATCCCAAACAGAAAAAAGACAAAAGCAGCAACCAGGCATGTGAGCTGTGCTGTGGTGGAGGAAGAAGCTGATAAAGTTCTCTGGTGGAAGCACTGATAACCCTGACTCCCAAGTGCCTACAACATTAAACAGTAAGTTGATTAATTCAGTCACTTTTATGGCATCCTAATGGAGTAAATCCTGCTTTTTTGCCACTGGTTAACATGATAGCAAATTCAGATAAGAGGGAATACCTATTATATTCCCTACATATTAAGGGAAAACAAATTTAACTTTATATTCATATTCATATAAACATAAAAATTAGAAACATCCTCTTCAGTATTTATGGTATTAATCTTGACTCTAGGGGTATCTGAAAAAAATAAAAAATAAAAAAAAATAACAGGGAGACATAAATCAGCCAAAAGACTTTTGATTCCTTCCTTACAAAGAACAAGAAGTTATCAATAACTATCCAGGCCTTGTCCAGTCCTAGTGAACCAATCCAAGGAGCATGTAAGGTGTTGTTCGTCAATGTCTGGCTAATGTTCAGGGTAAAAGGGTTCATCAAAACGAAAGGAACACAGAGCAACTGCAGAGAGGAAAACAGAAATGAAGATATTTAACAAAAAAAATTTAAAGGTGTCTTTTTCAATTTTTAGATGACTCATCAACAAGTATTTCCTTAAATCTATAAGCCAGTCACTCTTTAAATACAGAAGTATCTACGACGAACTCACCAAACTGAAGAAAATGAGGGCAAGCTGTATGATATCTGTGTAGGCCACAGAGTACAGACCTCCTAGCAGAGTGTAGATGATAGCGATCGCTGCAGAAATCCAGATGCAAACAGCAAAGGGTAAATCCAGGACCACACTCATGGTTCCTCCTGTCAAACCAATTATGTCAGTCAAAATACACAACCCTTGTTTGGTATTACATGTTCATTTTCATTGAAAACAATCTATCCACGTATGAGGCAGAAACAATTATTGACTGATATAACAGATATAAAAATAGTTAGTCACTTTAAATCCATTGATAAAAACATGATTATTTGTACATGAAGTGCCTACACGTAGTACCTAAACCGATGAGTATTGTAGGCACCAAGACCAAATCAAGTAGGAGTGAAGTCAGGCACAGTCCAGTTGTCAGTACTGTTCCATACTTGATCTGAAAAGGATCCATCATGGTTACATAGTTCTTTTCTCTCATTGGCTTTGCAAACACCAAGCCACCTTGATTGAAAGAAGGACACAGTACGTAACAATTATTTATCAGGGTAAATGCTTCCTAATTGGTGAATAAGTCAAGTAAAGCACACAAAAGAAATATGTGAATGTACATAGTCTATCAAAACTTATCAATAATTATTAAATTTAAGATATTTCTCTATTAAATTGTTCATATTTTCATTAACCCTTGCATGGTTGGAAACTCTTCAGGTGTCAAGATGTGGTCATATCATGACACAGCTTAGTTTGCCTTATTTGGTGACAACGTTTCTACCAAAAAAAGTTTCTTTTAGTATTGAAAAAGTTGACATTAGATGAGTTAGATTCACTTTGACTGTGGCTGGTTGCCAACTCATTAACTTAGTAAATTGTTTTACATGCAAGAAAATTACTTGGAAGCTAGTGCGATGAAACAGCCACTGTTAAATTGAGTTGTTAATCAACAAGGACACTGTTACAGGTAATTCCTCTGGTCCTTCTGCTCCCTTTGCTCTGTGTAAAAATTAAGGCGGAGGGTTGGGAGAAGTCAGACTAGGTTCTTGCGCAAATCAGAGAAAAGAGCCAGAGTTTGACAACCTAAGGACAAGGAGAGCTGCGCAATTTGTGAGTGAAAACATACACTTTATGCACAAACACAGCAAATATGAAGGTCAAACTGGGAGAAGGCACAAAAAAATCTGAGTGTGAAATCAATAAGGCATGCCCTCCGACTGAGAAATGTGTCAAAAAGGCAGGAAATAAGTCCCAATATGTCTAGCTTTAAATGTTTAGTAGCTTTTGGTCTTTTATATTGAAATGCAGTATCTCTTAAAATAATTATCCTACCAACGATGAAAGATGCGCTGTATGCCAATATCATCGTGATGGCCCAGGTTAGTCCCATTGAAGGCGTGTACACCATCTCAGTTGTACCAACAATAAGGCCTCCTCCAACCCACGTAGCTGCAGTAAAACAGTGACAGTGTTTAACAGTAAAAAATTAAATGTAGAAACAGCAAAGAGCACTGTGTAAAGAAAAAGTCATATCATAGTAACATTATGAAAAACTGTTGATGGCAAAATGTCATATTAAAAGTAATTTTTCAGTTATCAAAAAAAGACATCGCTGACATATACCAATTAAAAGAAACGGGAAGTAATTAACCACTGCCTTATTTGAGGGAAAAGTTACAATTCCAAATTTAAAGGTAGAATTCTTAGGAAGTCTTAGGAATTTTTGTCTCAGATTGCTTTCAAAATTGGGAATCTTTTATGTTATGTTTTTATATTATGAGAATAATTTCAGTATTCTGAAAAGTCAGAACTCTAAGGAGGCGAAGGCAAAATTTTGAGAAAAAAGTCTGATTTTCGGGATAATTTTATAATTCTGGGAAAAATATCTGAGTTAAAAAATATTTCAGACAATTCAGTTTTTGTTTGGTGGCCCAACTCCTTTACGCTATTCGTCTAGCTTGGTTACATTCAAGAGGTTTCACTAATTTCCCCAGTCAGCTCTGTTGTATCATGTCATCACGCATGGTTTTAATACCTTTCACTGGAACTTGGACTAAAATAATCAAAAAGTTTATGCTATGACAACTTTACATTACATTTTTAAACAAGATTTTGAAACAGGGACATGCAAAACAGGAAATGATGAGTATTATGAGAGTGTTTGTTCTACCTAAGTCATTTGATGGGCAAGAAGTTTGAAAAACTGTGCTGGAGTTCACTGAGGCATTTTCAGTTGCTCTTCAGTCCTTCCAGAGATACAGAGGTTTATCTCCCTGTCTATCTGAGTGATTATCCCTCTGAGGCACCCCTCCTACTTGTGGTGTCTCTTGAGAGTTAGTGTTGGGCCCAGTATCATTTTCTTGAGACATGCTGCATCTGGTGTCAGTTTTTTCCCAAATTATTGTGTCTCATTCCACCAATCAGTATTCCTAGGCCTACTGGTGCAGCCTTGGCTCGGCGGTAGAATTTTAAAGCTGTGTAGCTAACTCAGTGTCTTGGAAATCACAAGACAAGCAATAAGAATAATCTGTTGTTTATCTTGTTAAACCTGAAAGCCTTTGGTTAGCATTTCAAAAATGAGGAATTGCTTCTTGACGACTCCCAAAAACCCCTCAGGTGATTAGAGATTCCCGGATGGCTGTGGGAAAACATAAAAAGGAGCTTGTCTCAGAAGACTCCCCGCCCATAATGACAATAGACTGGAGGTGATCTAACAGCTTTCAGCACCTGGTTACACAATACAATGTACGTCAAAACTAAAGACATGGTAAAATATCAAGAGTAAGACACACAATCACATGGCTTGACCATGACAAACCCAGGGAAATATAACAATCCCTTTACTTTTCCCCTTTGGACTGAACTTTGCTGTTAGTGTTAGGGTAACAACATTAAGCTTCCTAACTGTGGGGGCTATGTGACAACAACTCAACTCGCATACCTCATTAGAAGCTGAGTTTCTGGAGCTGGCTGATGAAACTAGTACTCACTGTTTTAATTGGTTTGATCCAAAGTTGATTTAGGTTATGACTTGAAGGCATATAAAGAGGCAGTCTTTAGATTGTTACAAAAACAGAATGTGTGGCCATGTTTTACGATGCATTTGCATCCTGTCCATACAAGCATAAGTAGTTATGCTTAGTTACTTAGTTTTAGTAGTTGAGTTTTTATTCTGCACTCTGCTAGACAACTCTATTTTTTGTGAAATGCATCTGTTTTTAGTGGGTTTCTTCACTTTGTGTTTGGTCACAAACAGCCTCAAAAGTGCCCTTGTTGTTACACTCTTCATCTCTTCTAATAAATTGCAATCATTAATCAAAGACTTACTGAGTATACTTAAGCATGGATTTCATAATAGCTGCATGAATGTTTTAATAAGAGCCCAGATTGCAGTCTACTTTTACAGTATAGCATATTGTTTGTTGACAGATTATTTTAATAAGATTTGCTGGCATGTCAACTTATTCAAAACATCGAATTGCTTAATGGAATTTTGATTTTTGTGTTTTGCTGCAAGGAGATACGATATTGACTCTACAGTGGACTTCAAAATGTATACAGACAAAAAAACCATTTCTATATGTTATTGTTTTTGACTCCTGCTTTTTTGTTTTGTTTGTTTTCTCTGTGAGTCTTCAAGGGAATTAAAAATTACAACTTACTTACAACTTTTTTTCATTGTATAGAATTAGTCTCTTCTGTACCATAATTTACCTTTTACTCTAATAGCACAGATCATTTGTTTTGGAAAGGGATCATAATACATGAATTAATATATATTTAGAAAAAAATTAAATAAAATTTATTATCAGTGGTAGACAAATCCTTTTTTTGGATGAAGACCTTCTGTAATGCTTCTACAATGAACATTATTTCCATTAAACTGACATGTTCAAGCTTGTTATTAGCTGTCTTTGCAGGCATATTTTACTATTGTTCCACATTATCAGCTGTACGCAGGGTATATATATATACATAATACAGGGTCCCATATTCTGATTATGATCAAATTGAACACTCTTTTACACTCTTCAGTTCTTAAGATGAATATTAAGTTCAGTATTTAAGAGTATGTCAGAGGCCTCTAAATGTGATGTCTGATGTTTGAAATGTTGGTTTTAATGTGTATGTCTTTTCTGTGTTATCTTTTCTATTTTGTAAATGGAGCAGAAGCTGAAGCAAGACAAATTCCATACTTTGACATTAAAGTTTTGTCAGTAAATCAACTATGATTTTGTTTATAAAACACAGTTTCCATTTGACTTCTTCCCTCCTCTTTGTTGTGCAGCTCTTACCGGTTATTGTGAAGATTCCCACCACCCAGCTGATGTTTCTATTTCCCAGCAAGGCCATGTCCATTTCTGTGGCTGCATTTTTCTTCTGTTCCCTCTTTGACTTGAAAGAAGCCCAGATACCTGTACCCAGAACCAGCATGTAGAAAACCAGCATTGCTATTACTCCTGGGATGTTGACAACCATGTCTACTAAGCTATTTCTTCTGCCAACTAATGTCTGAGCAGGTTGAGGGTAGTGGGAAGATTTGAGGGCAAGAACAGGAAAGACAAGAACTCCTCCTCCAAGGCTACGTTGACACTGTTTAAAGGATCTGGCTTCAGGGTATATGATAAGGCAGGCATACAGCATTTTTTAGACTGGGGTCTCTGTTTTCAGAGCGCAATGCATCCTTTATGTACAGGGGGTTCCGATTTTAATGCCATTTTTGGAATTTATGGTGTGATCTGCGCTCAACCCACCTTTGTCACGTGAGGTTTGAATATGTGCAACTTTATGTGAGTGTCTTTATTTGTTGAACAGGGTGTTTGTCTTACCAGTGGGTCCAAAATTACACACACCAAATCCATCTGTGCTCATATGAGAGAGTGTGAAGGACGCCCTCTGCAGCGCTTACAGCGACAGTTGTTGAGGGGCTTCCTTCTGTCGCCATCGTGTGGCATTACCGTCTTCAGACATCTCTTGATCTCTTTGACTACCTCACGAAAATAGTAATACCTCTCACCGGTGGCGGATTTAAAGGTGAGGAGAGGAGCTGATGTTATTGGTAGTTACATTTTTACATTTTTTAGTAAGTCATTAATAGACCGACTATTTCAAATTTAAGGCAGGTGGAATACATAACAGGCTTCCACAACTGTTGTAAAAACCTGTTGACTGACTGTGATGACTGAAAAGTACGTTGATAAGGAGGTTTTAACTTGTTCTTTGCTGCCTAACTTTAATAATGCATAAAAGATTTCTTTAATAGAACTGAAATACGTCCATCTGGTTACAAATTACAGTGAATTGCCATCGGAAAACTGTTTGTGTAAAAGATTTTCTGATTTCAAAAAATAGAAGATGCACAATAGTTTATAGCAAGTCAAAGTAGGAAAAAGAATTACATAGGCTACTCTTTATTCAAATGCCTAACCTGTCCAAGTCTCATCCCTTGTGCCCATTTCTGAGCCCTGTTGAAATATCTCATACAGCAGAACAAAAGTATGAAAAAAATACAGAAGGTACATTAGACACACATATAAATTGTTATTGAGATTTGTCAATCTGTCAGCAAGGGCTGATAGAATTTAGATATCTGTTAAGAAAAACAAAAGAAAATGAGAAAACAGAACAACATCAACAACAAAAAGAATAAATTGGAATGGGGAGTTAAGTAATTTTTTATTAGTTTTTATGGAAGAAAGAACAGCCATTGAAATAAGCCTGAATTCTTCGCTGACCAAGTTTCATTATTCTCTGGTCGAGGGCTCAAATTCATTTCAATCTGTTGAAGTAAAAAAGTATGTATACTCCGGCACCGTAGGTGGCGGTACGCAACTCCAAACCCAATATTTTCAAAACGAAGAACTACTGCGCATGCGCAAATTACGCTAGAATCCGATTGGTCCGTTTCAAACTGAGGTGGCGGCTGTGTTGTTTTGTTTCGTTAGCTCAACTTTAGCAAGCGCTAACGCTAACATTGAAAAAGACAACTTGTTCTGTTTTAGTACGGATGTCTCAAAGGTAGCTGCAACAAGGTGGGTATTTTTGTATGAAGAAGTTTTTTTTAGAGAGTTGCTTACTGACAGAGAAACTAACCGACGCTCGTTTGTTTTGGTTTTGTCTCAACTACCAACTGTCAGTAGAAACTAAACAAGTTTATCCAAACAGCCTCGGGTGAAGCTGTTTGTCCTCATTATGATCCGTTTAAGGTTCTGTTTGTCTGATGGTTTTAACCGTTAAATGTTTGGTGAATAGCTCTAATAACAAATGCCACCTTATTGTCTCTAAGATTTGTACGTGTTGGAATTCATTCATAATAAAAGGGAGATGATCTCCTTCCTAGCCAGTGCCCTGTTGTATCTTACCGTTCATTAAAACTCTGTTTATTGTCATTTACAGAAAGATGGCATCATATCGAGATAGTACCAGTGCTGGCAGTCGGGAAGAGGTGGAGGACGACGACACGAAGAGAGATCTCTCATCGGAGTCCAACACCTCAACAGACCAACAGGTAAAGAGAATGTTAGCAAGGCAATTCACAATGATGTTTTACAATATTACTGACAACAACAAGGTCGCCTCTACATTTAGAGAAGCAGAACATGTGAGGTGAAGCCATATGAAGGCTAAAGTTTGAGAACCTGAAACCACTGACATTTGGGGACAGTGGGGTAAGTTGAGCCAGAGGGTAAGTTGAGCCACCCCCTGTTGCTTGGAAATGGTGAAAGAAATTGATCATGTGACCAAATATTTAGGAGATGGGCATCAATTCATGGAGTCTGTGAAAGTTTGAAGTACATGGGTGAAGGGGTTAGACATTTATTCCCGAAAAAACTTTTTTCACTCTTGAAAGTGAATTTAGTCTGTCATATGTTTATTAGAATTGTGTTCAGATGAAAAAAAGATCATTTTAAATTTGTTTTATACATCAATTGTGGTATCTATGAGCTATAACATGAGGTCAAAACCCGAGCATCAAAGTCCACCATTTTAGCTTAGAGCAGTGGTTCTCAAGTCCAGTCCTCGAGGCCCCCTGTCCTGCATATTTTGGATGTTTCCCTGCTCCAACACACCTGATTCAAATGATCAGCTCGTTATCAAGCTCTGTAATGGCTTAATAACGAGCTATTAAAGCCATAATAGTAGCTCTGGGGTAAGTTGAGCCATTTCACCAGGTGTAAATCAAGCCAGTGGCTTAAGTGAGAAAGTAAAGGAGTCTGATGAGAGGATCAGAGTTTCAGGGAGTTTCAGTAGGAATACGGCTCAATTTACCTCACTCCTATGGTCAACTTACCCCATACACGGGGTAAATTGACCATAAGAGTCTACTTTATTTTGGCATGCTATATTATCAAGACAGTTATGTTCACACTCATTCTGTTGATTTGCAGGGATGCACAATATCTTGAAATATTTGCAGATACACTAGTTGGAGACAAAACTATGATTGCTTTGATGTAGTGATCCCAAATATGAAAAATGGCTCATCTTACCCCACTCTCTCCTATATGATATTGGCATGAGTCTTGATTTACAATTTAAAGCAACTTTGGTGCCTGATTTTCAGCAAAGTGCGCTGAACAAGGTGTTTTCTAAACTGCACAAACTTAGCTTAACAACTTAAACTGTTTTATTTTCTTTTCTGCAGCATTCCAGTATCGAAGACAGAGAACACCTTCAGGTTTACCTCCGCATCCGCCCTTTCACTTCAGCTGAGAGCCTTAATGGAGAGTCACAGGTAAAATGAATAAAAATCAAATCCATAAAACAAATAGTACTACTACTGCTTTTACCAAGGTGATTCAATAAAGGCGTACAGTTACATTTGCATTACATTATACTTCTGATACTTCTGGTGATAAATTAAAAACAATGACAGACTGTCAGAAAAGACTGTCTCCAAGAGATGATTTTCATGACTCCTGTGTCGTATTTTGCTTTTAACAGGACTGCATTACCATCGATCCTCCTGACACAGTTCTCCTAAGGCCTCCAAGTTTGTCTCTGTCAGCAAGGCTCAGTACAGTCTCCCTCCCACAAACTGGACAGCGTTTCCAGTTCTCTCAGGTTGGTGTTGCATGACACATAATCCCCACCACCCCAACATGCACACAATTTTTCTGTCCCGATGGTTTTTGATCTGAGTTTTGAACCCAAAACACAAGTCCTTTGGAAGTTGCCGTCTGAGCTTTCTTTTAAATAGATTTGACCATATTTTGACTTCAGGGTTATTACACTCTGCTTGTTAATCACAGATGGCCAGATATCCTGTTTTATCAGTTTTCTTTGGATGGGCTCATGATTTGTAACATTAACACAGTACCTTATGAAAGATGAATTTAAAGAAGCGATTAAAATTATAGAGCCAGCCGGCAAATAATGTTTTTGGAAAGAATGCAAATGCAAGTTTAAGGCACTTCCAGTTTGGACTGTCTGATGTATCCGGAGCCTGTGTCCACTTCTTTTATATAATCTATGGTAACAAGGCCAGTAACATTGATATGATCCTGATAATAGAGATATAATATTTTTTAATTTTTCTTTTAATTCTCAGTTTCTAATCATAAGCACTTTTATTATTAGGTATATGGTCCTGAGACAACCCAGAAAGAGCTGTTTCAAGGCACAGTAAAGGACTTGGTGAAAGATGTTCTCGAAGGCGGAAACTCTCTGGTATTTACTTACGGAGTCACCAATGCTGGGAAGACCTTCACATTCTTAGGTGTGTTTCATTTTTGTTGAAATGCAAAGGACTTCTTTGACAGCTTGAATGAATCATGTTAGGAATGCCTGACTCATTTTGAAAAGTTTCTTTTTTCAGGGTGAGATCAGACTCCGAAAATTGTTGTCAGCTGAATGAGCGCTGACTGAGTTAGTATTAGTTCAGTTTATTAGGTACAAACAGTTGTAAGGTATTCTGTATAAAGAAATGGAACCACTGTGTTTCCACGCTTAGACTTTTTTTTCTTGGTAATAGACATGAATGTTTCTTTAAACCCCTGATCAAGTAGCTCTTTGGATTGCCACCAGGAGATTCAGGCTGAAGTGTCGTATAAATACATCAAATAAATTCGACTGCAGAATTTAAATCACATAGCATTACTTACTTTTTTTTTTTAAAAGCATTTGTGCTCCATCTAGATATTTAACACAAATTAGAGGGACATGTACATACAATATGTTGATTTCTTTGACTGAACATGTAATTCACATAATAATGTTTGTTTTCCATAATGTGTAGTGTTGAGTACTAGCTGAGTACCTTTGTGTAATTGTATTATTTAAGAATCTGTGCTAGTTGGATAAAGGTTGCTTTTCATTCCATTTGAAATAAAGATATACTTTAATCAATGATAGCATATAGCATGGAAGCTCTGTGGGTTTCTCTCTCTCTATTTTTGTAAGCACTTATTAAAAGTACAGTTTGCTTATCTCCTTCCAGGTCCAGATGCTGATGCTGGTATCTTACCAAGATCCCTTGATGTAATTTTCAGCAGTATTGATGGGCGTATTTTTACTGGAACGACCATCAAACCCCACAGATGCAGAGAGTTCACGAGGCTCACCAGAGAGCAGGAGGCTGAAGAGGAGCTGTTTAAGAGAAACCTCTTCAGGCAACTCAAGGAGGTAATCTGTATGTGAGAGCCTGTCATGGAGCTTTACACAAAGAAGGCAGCAGAATAAGGTTCAGTTGTTGATAAGTGTATGCATGGGACGTTTCCTGATGGTGCAAAAACTCTGTGAATCGGAACTTGGACAGAATGCAGATAAGGCTAGCTATTAAAAGTTCTAAAGGTGCAGTCTAGTGAATAAAGGTAACATTCTCCTGCACAAAATGTAGACTTTGTTGTGATCACCTTTGAGGTTTTGGTTTCATTGGAATGAACTAGATTTCACAGTATATTGTCTGTATTTATAAAGGTGTGAGAATAAAGGTCCCAATGCTACGTCTACTTTCACATTTCATAAGATGAATGTCTTCTCTATGCCTATTGGCCTGGAAGTCTTGTGCTTTGGGCTGGTATAGTAAAAGTGCTAGCGTAAAAACCATACTGTGCTTTTTAATCTGTTTTAAGTGGTTGCTCCTGTGAAGCAAAGCGTGACTTGCTCCTACTGATAAAGACACACATTTTGAAAAGTCTACGTGTTTATGGAGCATTTATAAGACTGTCATCTTCTCTTTGACTTCCAGAGTGAGAAAAGCAACATCAGCCTGTTGAACTCAACAAACAAGACTCTCCTTGAAGGCAAGATAAAGATTTTCTCTTATTTATTATCCAGAACAGGTTGTTCTTTGCACTTAGCTGCTCATCTGGCACTAACATGACCTGTGCACTGTGTGCTGAGTGTTCTTGAAAACACTTCAACTGTTTTCGGCAGTAGAGGGGATTTAAATATTAATACCACATTCAAAATATGGAAAGTCAAATTTAAATAAGACGCTACTCTACTGCTGTTACTTTATGTGATACTGTGTATGTAGCTAATGTCCTTCTCATACAGGCTTCTCCACGCTTGGCACAACACCTGCAGCAGAGGACAAAATCAGCCTGGATGTGGAAACACATACCAAGTTCTCTGTTTGGGTTTCTTTCTGTGAGATATACAACGAAAACATTCATGACCTCCTTGAGGTTATTCCTAGCGGGGCCCTGAGGAGGACTGCACTGCGCTTGTCACAGGATGTCAAGGGCAACGCTTTTGTTAAAGGTTTGAAGTTTTCAAAGTAAAAGTTTCTCTTTCAAAATATATTTTTAACTTTTTTTTTTTAATGTTTTAATTCTGTCCCTCTTTTGGACACATTGCTCAATCAGCGTTAGAAGTAAAAGAATAGTAGTGTAAAAGAATAAATTCAAAGTGATGGACATAAATTCTGGAAACCTCTTTGTTTTTTAATCAGCCATTGTGCAAAGGCATAAAAAATGACCTCTACGTTTTGTGTATTATTAAGATCTGCGTTGGGTTCAGGTGAGTAGTGCAGAGGAGGCCTACAAGGTGATGAAAACAGGAAAGAAGAACCAAAGCTTCTCTGCCACACGACTCAACCAGCTCTCCAGCAGGAGGTACAGATATTTAATCTGCCAAGCAGCATCATTGTTTCCTATTCAGACCGTTTTGCTAACATGATTTTATGCGTTTTCTTTATGTGATATGATTATGACGAAAAAAATGTTTATTCACTACTTCTAGTCACTAAAATTGGTATTTTTTTAACTTGTCTGTAGTCATAGTATCTTCTCCATTCGCATATTGCGTATTGAGGACATTGAGACTCCGAGGGTCCACACAGTCAGCGAGTGAGTAGAACTTCATGTCTACTTGACAAGTGTACATGGTTTATTTCATGTAATGGAAAATGGAATCCACATAAATTAAAGCGCGTGCAAAACATGAAGGGAATTTGTTCTTGAGTAAGAGTTTCCATGTCCTTTCAATTGTTTTCAGATTGTGTCTGTGTGACTTGGCCGGCTCTGAGCGATGCGCAAAGACCCAGAATAAAGGAGAGCGTCTCAAAGAAGCAGGAAACATCAACACTTCCCTGCTCATTCTGGGAAAATGCATCAATGCTCTCCGACACAATCAGCAAGCCAAGTAAGATCATTACCTCTGTCAGCGTCTCCCCCCTTTTCATAGTATTTTGACATAAAGAGATCAGGTTTAAGAGCAGAAACTGTTGTTATCCTTTCAGTACACTGTTTTGTTTTAATTTATGGTGCCGTGTAGCTCCTACTGACCCTCATGAGCGGCTGTTTTCAACAGGTAGCTCCTTTAAAGAGAGAGAATATGTCAAACTCACATCCATACAACAGGCAAACAGCATGAGAGATACCAGAAAACAGTTTTCTGTTCTTCTGCTACCCTCTTGTGGAAAAAAAAAAAAAAAAACTAAGTGGCCTTTCACACCCAAAGTCCGCTTAGAACAGGCATGTCCAAACTATTTCACAAAGGGCCGGTGTGGCTGCAGGTTTTTCTTCCAACCAAGCAGCAGCACACCAGACTTGATTCATTTCATCAGCTGATCTCAGTCTTCAGACAGCTGATTGGTCAGACTGCGTGCTCTTGATTGGTTGGAAGAAAAACCTGCAGCCACACCGGCCCCTATGTGGAATAGTTTGGACATGCCTGTCTTAGAAGGTCTGGATCAGGGACCAAATGTTTACAGTGTTGCATTTTGCATTTGGTCCGGTTAGTGTTGACATGGGACTTTTGCCAAGCAAACCAAATGGTTTGCTTGGTGGCAGTAGCTCAGGAGGTAGAGCGGTCGTCCAATAACTGGAAGGTTGGCGGTTCGATTCCCCCCTAATCCAAGTCTGTCCGTTGTGTCCTTGGGCAAGACACTTAACCCACCTTGCTCCCAGTGTGTGTCCTCCACTGGTGTATGACTGTGAGTGTTGTGTGGTGGTGGTCGGAGAGGCCGTAGGCGCAGAATGGCAGCCACGTCTCCACCACCACCAAACTGTGACTGTGTGAGCGAATGAATGATGTGTCCAATGTAAAGCGCTATATGAAATCTGATGCATTATTATTATTATTATTATTATTATTATAAAAAAAAAAAAGAGGGGAAATCACGAGGGAAAATCGCTGTCTGTCACCTGCTCATTTGGGGCACAATCTTCTTTGTCCCACAATGCACAGAGTAGCCGACCAGAGAGAATAATAGGCGTCTTGCTTCACGCAATTCACCAGAGGTGGAGGAGGTGTTGTGCAAGGAGACGCCAGGCATTAATGCAAAGGAATTCCTTGTTAACACATTGTCAGCTAGTTTGTTGAACAGAAGAACACCCGGGTATTTAATATCACCCGACTGTTGTCTAAAAACACAAACCCTCTGCCAACCCTCATTTATCCAGTTTTACGGACAGTCTAGTATTTTGACCGTGCATCAGTGCTGCGTTTACATCCGCCCCAGTCCGGACCATGGTTTGTTTGGAAGGGAACCGAGTCTGGCATTTTCAAGAGGACCCTGGTCCATTTGTTTGATTTGTTCACTTGCGCATTCATACTGCCCGGACCAAAGGAGTAAGGAGACCACGGTCCTTTTAGAACGAATCAAACAGGCCTGGTGTGAATGCGCCATTAGTTTTAATTGAATGTAACATCTTAACACAGATCAGAGTGCATGCATGGATCTATCATTGCTGAAAAGGCTGTTTGTCTTTTTGCCCCCACAGGCTGCTTCAGCATGTTCCTTTCAGGGAGAGCAAATTGACCCACTACCTGCAAGGCTTTTTCTGTGGTCGAGGTAAAGCCTGCATGGTGGTAAACATCAACCAGTGTGCCTCCATGTACGACGAGACTCTCAACGTCCTCAAATTCTCTGCTGTGGCGCAGAAGGTGCCTGCGTGGTTTCTTATTTTAAAAGCAGTTAAACTCTTCATTTTATCATTATTGTCTATATTCAATCCGCAAATCATGATTCCATATCTAATAGAGGAATGCAGAGTGTCCATAGATGCTCTTGATTCTTCAGTCAAATTTTTTGAGCCTGCAGTTTTCATGCTTATGATGTTGATTCATCTCTCTTTCTGCCCTTATGTTTCCAGGTTGTAGTTATTGCCACCAAGACTCTACCCATCACGCCCCAGCTGTCCAGCTGTGATGGATCCATCATCATTGACAATGACAGAAAAGTTCCTCAGGGCAGCAGGAGGAGCTCCTTAAACGGCTGGGAAAGTAGCCTTGAGGATATACAGGTTGGATGGAGACTGTTTCCACTAATGCCTCTATATTCCAGTTCATACATTAGTTCAGTGCTCTAGTTTAAATCCTACTTTTTTCGGCTTGAATTATCATTGCACATATCTTCATTTTGTTGCAGGAAGATGAGGATAATGAGCATGAGGAAGAAGAGAGTCTGATGGAGGTCACGGTGGATCAGAGTGGCACTGCAGATGATGACAACGACAATCATGATCGAATCCTAATAAGCAAAGCAGCACACCAGGTAAGCCTTGTATATTTCAACTGCTCTCTGGGAGTATAGCTTTGGGAGTTAAATGTAACTAATAGAAGCTACTCTTGGATGTGCCGTTCTTTAGAAGCAGGTGGCGCTGTTGAGGCAGCTGCAGGTTCAGCTGAAGAAGGAGCGAGCAGATAACATGCTTCTGGAGGCGAGAGTCAGAGAGGAAATCAGCCGAGACTTCTCAGAGCTCTTCTCTGCGATGCAGACAGACTTCGAGTAAGATATTTTGACTTTTATGTTGATTTCTCTCAAGGTTTTGGGTCTTAAACTTCAGTCCTTTTCATGTGTGTAAATTTAGTGACCGCCTGGCAAGGGAGAGAGAAATTCTGGAAGAGCGGGCCGAGAGGAGGCTGGAGATCTTCAAGAACCTTATTGAGAAGATGGGCACTGCTGGACCGAATCAAGATGCACAAGCTCTGGTAACAATTTCTGAGCTGTGTGTTTTGTTAGAGTTGTTGTTTGTTAAATATCTACACAAGCTCAAAAACGATTGAATATTAATGAAAACATGGACAGAAACAGTCACCATACAGAGGTAGTTTGACTTATCATTGTGTTTTTCCAATATGATTCTTGCACTCCTGCCCACAGTCTGTAATTTCAGGACATGTTGGACTAGTTATCAGGTTGGACCCACTCCTGCAGCCAGATTACCATTGAAAAGATGATGATTCCTGATGGAGTGACTTTATAAACTGTGATAGCAAAGGAAATAGCATGGTCAGCTGACATATCAACAAAGAATCAGACATCTTCTCTGTCCCTGTTTGATATCCAAAATGAATAACCCCAGAGAGAAATTTAAATTTAGCCACTCAAGCAGGGATTGTTTTAGTGTTTTGTCTCAGGGCCCTCCGACAGAACCACCGCAGGACATAAAACCTGGATGTTCTGCTCTCTAATGTCCCAGACTAATTTTTCTGATGTTTCCCTCTCCTCGCAGGACAAATCTCTGGACAGCCACTCCTCTGAATTGGCAGACATCAAGAAGGCCGCTGAGGCTGCTCATAAATGTCTGGCTTCAGGCAGAGGAGGGACTCTGAGAGACAGAGAAGATGCTGTGGAGGAGCTGGAGAGGAAGGTGTTGGAGTTGAACGAGCACCAGCGGAGAGTCCAAGAGCAGATGGCGCACAAACCAGGAGGTGAAAGATATGGATATTTCCATTTCCATTGGAGAATCGATCAGAGAGGCAGAGAGTGGATTTTTGTATAAATTAGGCTGTTCTGTCTTTTGTCATCAGTTTAATGATTAATAGAAGATAAGATTAATAGATATGGCTTTCATGGGTAGTTTCTGTTGCACCAAGCACAAAATGAAGGATCACATTTATGTTCTTAAGTTTAGCGTCACACTTCCTCATCAGAAAGTCATTCCAGACACAACTTGTAGTTCAGTCAAAGTCAAAGAGATAAAGACATACTTTGTCTTTTCCTGTATTTTAACACCATGTACGAAGGTCTGTTCATCTGGCAGATCTCACAGCCTCATTTAACAAAACTTCCTGACCTACTTTTAACATCCTTCTGTATATTTCCTATTCTGTGTATCACATCGTAGGTGAACCTAGTGCAGAGGAGGATGAAGAGAAAACAAAGCTGCTTCTTCAGCTCCAGGAGAAGTCGTCAGAGGTTTCCCGGCTGCAGAAACAGGTTGAAGACCTTAAGAAGGTGGCAGGATCTGGCTCATGTAACCACTCTATGTCGGTGGAGGAGAGGAGTTCATGTGAGAGAGAGCAGCTTCAGGTAAGGAGGCAAAGGAGCACATAACAAGGAGGACCTACTAAATTTCTTAAAAGACAGGATGCAATGTTGCAAAAGGCAAGCTGAACATAACTCACTGGAACCATTCTGTCATGGTAAATGGCTCTTGGGTCCTTTTATTTGGGTTTTACTCAGAGTTATTCATTTCAACATTTCCTCCCTTGTTTGTTGAGCACTACAGTTCAAGTTTAATGATGTTGACTCATGAGCATCTCTACTTTAATCAGTTCACTATGGTCTCAGCATCAGGAGAGTAAAATCTCTCCGATTTTGTTTTCTGCTCTCAAAAGAGAATTAAAATAAAGTTTAGATTTTTTTTAACAAGCCACTAACCCTTTCAAACACAGGACTCCCATGACTTACCAAAGATCTCACAGGACAGATAACTGCTCATCTACACACTAGTGTTGCACCGGCGTAATATTTAATGAAATGAGTAGAATTGAGTAAAAACACACTGTAACAACGAGTTAGACACCCCCTTGAGGGATGAGTGTTACCAACTGCTTGCTTCTCTACTTATACCAACGTTAGTAACGACCGCACGATAGCAACACACAGTTGTGTACGTCTCCACTCACAAACCTCAACCAAAAAGCCACTCTATAGCCACAGATAATGCTCAGAACAGCACCTAACTTCATCAACAGTATATATAGGTGTCCCAGTCATAGTACTAGCCATTAAACATCTTTTTAGCTTTGCCTGATTTCTTTAGCAAAGAGACCAAACACAACTCACACACACTCTCTAAGCAGGCTTGTTTGTGGGGGAGCCATGACGAGTCGATCACTGAGTGCAGCGGATCATTTCCTTGAAGTGATAATCATCATATAAATGATTTTGCACTGCAGACATGGTAGTTCTTCTGCCTAAGCGTCTCTGTCTGATTGCATTTCCATGAAGTCATAATCATAAATATTCTTCCTTGGGCTGTGTCAACCTGCTGCGCTCTGTGATTGACTCCTCAGGGCTCCCCCACAAACAAGCGGCTGCTGGAGGAGAGTGGGCAAGTTGTGTTTAGTCTCTTTGCTAAAGAAATCAGGCAAAGTTAAAAAGATGCTTGATGGCTTGTACTATGGCTGGGACCCTATATGTACTGTTGATGAAGTTAGGTGCTGTTCTGAGCATTGTTGGTGGCTATAGAGTGGCTTTTTGATTGAAGTTTGCGCATAGAGACGTAGACCGCTGTGTATTGCTATTGTGCGTTCGTTACACAAGTTGGTATTTTGAGAGAAGCAAGCAGTCGGCAATATTCATCTCCTGAGGGGGGGTCTAACTCTGTGTCAGGTGTTTGACCATAACTTCAATTTACACTGGAATATCCCTTTAATATAACAGCATAAAAGGCTGGGATTAGTGGTTTAAATAGCTCAGCCTTTGAAGTCTTCTTAGGTTTACAAAATATGATACATAGATACTTGATTAAAAAGATTTTTTGAGTGTACTGAAAGTTTGAAGTTAACCCCTTCTATGAGCTGAAAAAAAGAAAAAAAACACTTATTGCTGTCTTTTTTTGAACAATGACTGAAGTCCACCGTTTTTCATTTTTCCAAATTAAGTTTATTCATTTCTGAGCAAACAGTCACAACATGGATTCAATAATTTCTTCTGTTATCCAGGCTGCACTTGAGAGGGAGAAGAGAGGCAGAGAGGATGCCATGGCTGCTCTTGAGTATCAAACTTTAGGAAAAGAGGAGGCACTGTTATCCTTAAAGGAGGAAAAGAAAGCGAGGGAGGAAGCTCTTGCAGCGCTCAGGGAGTTGAAACAAAGCAATGAAGAGTTGCAAGCATCTCTTAAGGAAGAGAGAAAAATAAATGAGATGGCAAAAGCAGATCTGGAAGCTGAAAGGAGAGCTAAGGAGGATGTTGTTGCGTCCCTTGGAGTGGAGAAACAAACCAAGGAGGACTTACTTGCTGCTCTTAACCTTAAGAGAAGGGGGAAAGAGGAGGCTGAGTCTGCCCTGGAGGAGCAGAGGAAGCTGGCTGAGGAGAAAGAAAAGATGGAGACGAAGGGCGAGGCGCTTCGACAAGAAATCCAAGAGCTGATTGCCAAACTTGAAGCCGCAGAGTGCCAGGTGGGTGAGAGTATGACGTTTTTATCAAACGCTTCTGTAACTTCAAGAGAGCTAAGGTTTTTTTAGACTAAAAGTGCAGCATTTTTATGAAAATTCTACTCATTTTATTAAATATTTCAGGTTTTTTAATGGTGTATCTTTGGGCGATAAACCGAAAATTTACTGATACCGAAATTTATGACAATAACCAACATCATTTTGCCCATAACGGTATATTAGGTGTCAAAAAAATAAGTAAATAAAAAATGGTTTTGGATGTGAATAGGTAGACTATGGTCTCATGACTTTTTAAGACTCTGGCCTACGTCAGAGATGTAACTCCACCCCATCCACTCCGTAATAAAGAGGGAAAGACAGGTGAGGAGATGGAAGGCGGTTCAAAAGTTAGAGCGGCTTGAGCGGTGGCTGAAGTAGACAAAGTTAATGTGGGAGGGGGTGAGCAGCTTCTGGAGTAGCTATCGTCCATTTATCGTTGTCGAGGTGAACTGCTCAATACATCATGATATTGATTTGAGGCCATATCGCCCAGCCATAGTATCTTCACAAAATGTATGGAACAGAAACAGTGGGGTTATTTTTCAGGATCTCACGTACATCGGTGAAGCTTGTCTGCTAAAAGTGATCAGTATGTGTCTTTGAAAACCTATTATCAGTGTTTTATTTGAAAGCCTTCATGATACAACACTGATATAAACTTGAATTGTCTTGGCTACAGGTAAAGAGCGAAACAGAGCGGGCTGAACAAACAGCAGTCCAACTTCAAACTGCTCAGGCACAATTAGATGAACACTCCAAGCAGCTCCAAGTGAAAACTGCTGAGATAAACTCCCTGATGGAGGAAGTCCAAACCCTGAAACAGAGACAGCAGACATCAGCCACTTCAGCCGATGACAACAATCAGCTGAGGGAGGAAGCGGCAGAGCTCAGGATGAATCTCTTGCAGGAAAAGGAGAAAAATGAGAACAATCACAGACAGATCGTGGAGCTGGAGCGTGAGCTGGCTCAGACAAAAGAGCAGTTGGAGCAGAAGCAGCTGGTCTTTATCCAGCAGACGGAGCAGTCCACGGAGAAGTCCAACCAGCAAGAAGCCGCTTTGAAACTGGAAGTTGAAGATCTAAAAAAGAAGCTCCAGGAGAAAGATGGCATATCACAGCAACTGCTGGACGAGCTTAGATCCAAACTGGAGTGCCAGGAAAATAGCTTCAAAGAGGAAGTTCTCCAGCTGAGAGCAAAACTCGAGGAACAGTCGCAGTCCTCAATGAAGCAGACTGAGGAGCTCAGTGAGAAGCTGCGAACACAAGAATTAATGTCTAAACAGCATATGGAGGATTTAGAGCACAAACTAAGTGAACAAAAAGAAAGCAGCAAACTTTTAGATGATCTCAAACAGAAGCTCAGTGAGCAGGAGCAAACTTCTGAGCATCTCAAGGCTGAACTAGATCAAGCAAGACTGAATATTTCCTCTACTTCTAGTGCTAAAGAAGATCTGAAGAGACTTAACTCTGATCTCCAGATTGAGTTGGCATCCCTGAGGGCAAAGGTTTCTGACATGGAAGAGGCAAAGGAGCCCGTGAGCAAAGCTGACGCTGATCTCACACCATCAGAGATGGGCAGTATCCTCAAAGAAAAGGACAGACAGGTGGATGAGAAGCTGTCAGAACATACGAAAGCCTCTGCCGAGAGAGAGGCAGAGCTGCAGAGGGAGATTCTGAGAAAGGAGGACAAGATAAAAACTCTCCAAAAAAGCCTGCAAGTGGCGCAGGAGCAACGGGAGGAGGAGGAGAGCCAGGCAGTCCAGGAGGCCCGACGCAGGGAGGTAGAGAGGCGAAGAGAGCTGCTGGCTGTGGCACATGAGGCCATCGCACAAAAAGATGCTGAACTTGAGAAAAAAACTGAGGAGATCAACAGGTAACAGATTTCTCTTGAAACCAACAGTATTGTCTATCACTGTCTGTCTTATCAGCTCAGGTTGTTCTGTGGTCTGCTTTCTGAAGTATAGCTTTTTCTTATCTCACCTATCAACTCCATCCAATTATCCTCATATCCAGGAGAGTTGGATGGAGTTGCTGAAGTGGCTGTGATTTGAACTATTCTGTCCCCTGAAAATACCATTAATGATTCATTGTTGTTTATCCAGGCTTAAAGAAAATGCAAAACAAGACACAGAGAAAGTCCAGAGCCTCAGCCTGGACCTCCAGAGGAAAGAGGACGACTCTTCAGACCTTAGAGAGAAACTGGCGGACTACAAGAAGCAGATTCAACAGGTCCAGAGGGAGGTAATCATAATTTTGACAAGCTAGTTACAGTGCAACTCAAAGATAGAGACACTTGAATTATAGATGGACCAGTTTTTATCCCTGAGAAAGAGGAGAAAAGATAATCACCTATCTTTTGTTTGATTTCCCCTGAAGATATCAGCCATGAGAGAAGAAGAAAAGGGTTTGAGGCAGAAGCTGGCTGACGCAGAAAAAGCCAAGAAGCAGCTTCAGACAGATGTTGCAAACAGAGATAGAACCATCCAGCAGCTCAAAGTGGTAAAAATAATCTCTAATCTTTATCAAACCAGGTCTCAAAGCCTTTTTTTTTGTTTGTATCAGATCAAAACCCATTTCCTGTTGTGAGCGAGAGAGCAGAGTTTTTGATCTCTTATCTCTCCATCATTGCTTCTTCTAGGAACAATCATCAGACGCCAAGTCTGACAAGACACTGCAGCTTTATCAGAACGCCTGTAAAGGTAAACATGTTTTTAAACCACGAGAGGTAAAGTGTTGTGTGTCGTGATTGAGGAAAGAGATCTGCTATTTGAGACAGTGAGGTCCTTTTTTGTTGAACCATACAACTAGTTCTCCTGACTCCAACTAGTTCAGAATGCAGCAGCTAGCCTTTTAACTGGTTTTAGTAGACAGCATCACATCACTCCAATTTTAGGCTCCCTTCACTGGCTTTCTGTCAGTTTTAGAACTGATTTTAAAATTTTGTTGATTACTTTTAAGGCAGTTAAGGGATTTCGCCAAGGTACATTTCGGAGCTTTTAATACCATATGAGCCAACTCGTAGCCTCAGATCCTCTGGTGAAGGCCTCCTGGTTGTTCTAAAGTCGAGGCTCAAAACTAAAGGTGAAAGAGCTTTCTCCATCGGAGCTCCTCGACCTTGGAACGACCTGCCAGAGGAGATAAGGCGTGCAGAGATGGTTGCCTCTTTTAAGTCAATCTTAAAAACTCACTTTCACAGACTTGCTCTCATGTGACGCCGTCTTCTTTTATCTCTTTTCTCTTTTACTTCTGTCTCACTTCGGCATTACTGTCTTTTTAGCTTATGTTTTACCTATAAACTTATATATTTTATGTTTTTACTTTGGTCTTCATGGTCTCATTTTATGTTGCAGTGTTCTTGAATTGTCTGGGTTCCTTATGCCATATGAAAATGGCCTTCAATTCTGAGGCCTTGTTTAAACAGAGCTTTTTGTTTTTATTTGTTTTTATTTCCATGTGCCAACGCTGTGTGCTTTATGACCATTTGTCAAAGCACTTTGTAAACCTCTGTTTTTAAAAGTGCTATAAAATATTCATTCATTCATTGTTTATTGATAATTTAAACTTAAGAGTAAGTCATTAAAGGTCAAGTTTTGAAATGATTCAGATATATCCTTGCATTTTGGAACTTGACCATATTTCTGGCCCTGCTCAGTTCCTTTAAATTTGAAACATCTTCAAAACAAATCTGTCCGTGCCCAAAGATAATCTCCCTACTCTTTTTTTAAAGACTCTGATCTGAACTTGTTTTGCAAGTTGACCTTTGACCTGCTTTTTTGAAGCATCATAAAAGGGAAAATACCTCCCTGAGGGACAAACATGTTTCAAAATAATTAACTGTTGTGTGGAGACCTTGGGGGGGCATCCAATTCTGAACCTGTACTTTGTCTGTTTTTATTTTTTTTAAGACCTTGAAGCCAAAGAGCGTGTGATGGAAGACATGCGCTTAGCTCTTACAGAGCAGGAGGAGACCCAGGAGCAGATGGAGCAGGTGTTGGAAGACAAACTTAACCTTATCCAGGAGCTCTCCAGTGGTAAGACAAAGTGTACAAAAAGGAAGAGGCATGGAGAAAGAGAAATTCCAAAGTCTGTCCATCAGTGAAATTTCCCTACAAGAAGAACAAAAATATATATATCTACAACAACGTGAACTCATAGGCTCCAAACTGTGTGTCTCCTTTGGAGTATTAAAAAAAAAAAGTCTGAGAGAAAATCCATCTCTAATTATGGTTGACATTAAACAATGGGTTAAAACCATAGACTGTATAAAGAATGGACAGAGTCTGCCTCCTCGCTGGGTGAAGCCACTCCGAGAACAGCACCTTCTGATGGTGGGCTGCAGTACAGGTCATAAACCCGCCTCCGCCAGCAAAGCTAATGGGACTGTGGACAAACTTTAGAAATTTATTACACAGAACATAAATTTTTCTCCCCCCTGCTTGTGATGTTGACATATAGTTACAGTAAGACTGGTTTGTGCCCAAGTCCTTTTTTTTCTGTTCAGCTCCGTTTTTAAACGTTATTAGGAGGTTCATGTTTTCTATGATTGACACCTGGTATAGCCTATGGGCATTCAGGGATTGCGTAGCTCTTCCGGGGGAATACGCTGTTTGACCCGAGCGTCATCACAGGGACTCTCGGCGACTGCGCGGCCGAATGCGCACAACGCTACTGCACAGCTCTGGTTTCAAGGAACCCGGAATTACCGAGAGCTTTTTGGCTTCAAATCCGTATACAGGCGGAAGGCGGAACCACGGTGTCCATCTTATATACAGTCTATGGTTAAAACTCCTTCAAAGAGGAAACAAATCTAGGAAGATTTGTTGTCTGAATCAAGATTTGATCAGGATAATCAGCAACATAAATTTAACATTTATAATCACTAAACACTGGATTATGAATTTTTGAAATAAATTATTATTTTTTTTTTGTTTTACTCTGAGCTTATTGAAGTTTCTCTGTGAGTGACATGTTTCATATCGAACCCTTTCAGAGGTGCAGAGATTGAAAGGAATGCTGATGCAGCAGGACAGCGGAAACAAATCCCAGCATCTAGTTAACGGCTCCTCTGATGAGCTGGGACTTGCCAGACAGGAAGCTGCACAGGCCAAGGAAGACTTGAAGGTAATGAAGGAAGTAATTTGAAAATGCATCATATGGTTAAACCAGCAATGCAATTTGAGTGACTGAAACATTATAGAAATGACCCTCCTTTAGGAAGTGTAGGAGTTGAATCCAGCACAAAATCACATTTTTGTCAGTGATGATTTGTATACCTTTCCAACAATTCTGAAAAAAGGATCTATATTTAATTTACAGTTATTTTTCTTTGAGAATTACAGCAAAGGGCCTCAAACTCCTCAGCAGCACACTTATGTGACACCACGACTGGTTAATGCCTTATGTTTTGTTTACAGCTGGGCACTGAGAAACACCAGGCTGAACGTAGAAAGTGGCTGGAGGAGAAGCTGTCCCTCATTGGCCAGGCTAAAGAAGCAGAGGACAAGAGGAATCAGGACATGAGGAGGTTTGCTGACGACAGAGAACGCTACAATCGCCAGCAGAGCCAGCTGGTAAGATGAGGATGATTATGTAAACGTGTAAAACGTTTAATATGCCGTACAAGTGAGCAGAAGTAGATTTAGAGATGAGAACAATCCAGATCAAGTGGATGAAAGTTAAACCCGTCTTTTATTTTATTTTTTATTTTTTGTAATTCAAATTTTCATGAATTTTTAACAGGTTTGAACAACTTTAAACAATGCAGCATTTTGGCACACATATTGCAAAAGACATTAAAGAGTGACATCTGTTCACAGAAATAAAGAGGTAAATGAAAGAGAAAGGAAATAACAATAATAGTAACAATATTAACAAAGCCTAGGACATGCATGGTCATTTCATTATCTACAGTAATTTCAGGTCCTCATGTTGCAAAAAATGACCCCGTATCTCTGTTGTCTTCACTCCAGTGTTCAGTCTGCCAAGCATGTGTTCATATGATGAAATCTTGACCATTTCATCAGTCCATTCCTTTGCTGTGGGGCATCTTGTCTTTTTCCAGTATTGAAATATCAGTCTTGCAGCTTTTTTAAACCTAATCTTTAGGATACTGAACTTATCATCAGATACCATTGGAACCATTTCTCTGTCTGCAAGAAGACAGAGCTTTGGATGAATGGGTAATATAGAACCGAGCCAACCTCCTAGAATCTCAGAAACCTTAATCCAGAATGGGTGCACCAAGTTGCACCACCAGATCAGGTGTAAATATGTACCCAGTTCTTTTTTTGCACTTCCAGCATCTGTTATCATCAGCTGTTCCCATATTTTGAAGACTAGTCTGTAAAAGTTTAACCAGTTTTGATAGATTGGCCTGTGATCTTTCTCAGTGTTAAGGTTGTCATTATTGGTGCTGTAACAGACACTGGTATACTTGTTTTACAGCTCTTTTCTTGTAAAAAAAAAAAAAAGAAAAATCAGTAAGATCAATAAAGTTCTTCTTCTTCTTGTAGCTTTACAGAGTCCAGAGTTATCAATCATGTTTTTAAACCTGCGTTTCCATCTTTGTCAGGAATCCCTGACCTCTCAGCTGGCCGAGAAGGAGCAGGCCATGGAGAAGTGGAGGAAGGAGAGAGACACTCTGGTTGCAGCTTTGGAGGTCCAGCTACAGAAACTGCTCTCAAGTCAAGCAGAGAAAGACAAAGTTATCCAAGAGTTGAGGCAAAGTAACACACAGCCTCAGCCACCACAAGAGGTCAGTATGACACAAAGAAGACTATAGTTCACATCCTGAGCGTGTGATCCTTGTATCTGTCAGAACTGGCTGTTCTTACACCATAGAGACTGAGCAGAAAAAGGTAATGATATCTTTGATGTTAGATATACATCCGTTAAAAGGGAAGCTGGCTTTTAGGATAAAAGAACAAAGATACTTAGAGATAAAAAGTTCTGTGTCTTTTGACTCAGTGCAGGATTTTTTTTTTCCCAAATATTCGTCTGAAGTCTGGCAGTAAACCTAATAAGACTTGAATTTTATTATTCAAAAATCATCCTCAAATATAAAACGTAGTAGCTTCTATGTACAGTTTGAAATGTCCTTGTCACACTCGGCGCTGTGAGCACCCCTGACAGAGATGTCAGGGCAATTGGTTTCCAATCATCTGTCAGTGCAAACCTTCTGCAGTAACATTATCGATCCGAGTTTAGCCGGAGGTGAAACTATACTGAAAGTTTGAAACCTGTGAGTGCACCACATCGAGAGTTTTCTGGCCCATTTCATTCAGTGTTGATTCACCATTTAGAAAGTAGTGATTGGGATAATCTAACCCAAGTGTTCTGGTGCAGAGGTTGGAAAATCATCTGTCAGCCATAAATCAAGTCTGCAGAGAAAGAGAAAGAGAAAACAAAGCCTATAAAACCCTGTAACAAGAAAAACCCCCAAAACAAACAAAAATACCCTCAGTCATTGATGGCAAGAATAGTTTTGAATTTGGACTGGATCAGAGTCAGAGTCCATTTGACTTTTCAGTATGAAATTTCTCAACTTCTTTCCATTCCCTTTCTTTCAGTCTAATCCCAAACTCCTTTATCGGCCTGTGTTGATCTCATTACTAGATACGAGTTTATGGCAGCTTTTCTTTTAGTCAGACAGTCACCAAACATTAAAATATTTCTAGCAAAGGACTCACTTCAAGCTCCTGTGCTTATTTTGGAGGTCCCTATGGACAAACCATCACCTTTAGATTGTTGCTGATTTTTTTCTGGTCCTTTCCCCCACCCCACGTCTTTCTACAGTGAAATTCCACTCACTGTGAATATTTACTTTTGGAAAAGTAACAAAGGTTATCTTTTGAGTGCACCTACCCCCCACGCCGCTCCTCACGGGAGCTTGAATTTCTCAAATCACATCATTGTCATTTACATCCATTTCATTTAGTTTATATCATTTAGTTTGATGATGGAGCTTTGTCAGATTTGAGACATTAAATTTGCTTTATTTTACTCTACAGGTATTTCTTAGATAGTTAAGTATTCATAGTGAAAGAATCCCTAAACTAGCCCTCATCATATTCTTTTTTTTTTTTCTTTTTTCTCCCCTTCAAGTTTAAGCTGCTGACACCTTGCGACCACCACACATAAGCGCTGGAGACAGATATTTTGACCATGAAATTGCTTAGTTATCTTTTTAATAATCTCTGGGCCGGCTTTGCTCCGTTAAAGAGGAGACCTCAGAGAGTAATTTGGCTCGGAGTAAAATCCTTGTGAATGATGTGCACTGGGGGGTGATGTTTAGACTCGGTTTGTTGGGTTTTATGGCCTGCCAAGCTGTTGCTCCTGCACTGCTCTGTGGGCAATGTCACAGCTGAAGAGCAGGAAAGCACGCTGCAAGTTGATCCTGGATTTCTCCACCAATTGAATGTTTTCTGTTAAACTAGTTTCTGTGATGTTACACTATAGAGCGGTACACCTTGTGGCAGAGCTTCTCATCGTGTTTTTAAGCCTGTTAAGATTCAGGACACTTGTTAGACTGACTCTGCTTTCCTCCTCCTCTCTGGTGTGCTGTGGACTTGCTTCTTTAGCTGGATTGTATTATCACAGTGGGGGCACGTTTCTGTGATAACACTGTTACAGTTCAGTATTTGGCACATCACTCTCTCACACATTGTTCTCACTGAGATGTTGTGTGGTTTTCTAAGTCAGAGTGTTTTTTCAGTGTGATCCCACAGGATAATGCAGCACAGAGAGTGTGAAGGCTGTAATTACTTACCATACAAGATCATTTCCAATATGTTGCCTATTATTTTATTGGTGAATTTGTTGTAAAAGTTGTGTCTGGCAAACTTTTGGAGAGAATTTCAACTGGTTTTTAAGAGGCATCATAGAAAGTCTTTGAAAAGGCCACAAGTCATCTGAGGTTTACTCCTGTAAGTAAAGAAAATGATAACAACAGGCACTAAATTGAAATTTAGAGCATTAATATTTTTTTTCATTAATTGATAATATTTCTAATTTATTGCTTACAAAGTTTCAAACTAAAAGGGATATTCCAGTGTAAATTGAAGTTATGGTCAAACACACTGTAACACCAAGTTAGACACCCTCTCAAGAAATGAATGTTGCAGACTGCTTGCTTCTCTAGATAGACCAACTTTAGTAACGACCGCAGGATAGCAATACACAGTCTATGGCTGTGTATTGACTGTCTGTGTCTCCACCAGCACACCTCAACCAAAAAGCCACTCTATAATGCTCAGGCAGCACTTGACTTCATCAACAGGTCCCAGCCATAGTACTTGCCACCAAACATCTTTTTAGCTTTGCCTGATTTCGTTTGCAAAGAAACCAAACACAACTCACCCACTCTCCAGCAGCCGCTTGTTTGTGGGGAAGCTCTAAAGAGTCGATCAACAAGTGCAGCGGAGAATTTATAATTTATAATAATATATTACTTGATGGAAATAAAATCAGAGTTCTTGTGTATCTTGTATGTGCACTGCAGACGCAGAAGTTCGTCTGCCTGAGCCTCTATGTCTGATTGAATTTCCATAAAGTAATGATCATAAACTCGGTGATCGACTCGTCAGGGCTTCCCCACAAACAAGTGGCTGCTGGAAGAGAGTGGGTGAGTTGTGTTTAGTCTCTTTGCTAAAGAAATTAGGCAAAGCTAAAAAGTGTTTGGTGGCTAGTACTTTGGCTGGGACCCTATATGTACTGTTGATGAAGTTAGGTGCTGTTCTGATCATTATTTGTGGCTATAGAGTGGCTTTTTGGTTGAGGTTTGTGAGTGGAGACTATCGTGCAGTCTTTACTAAAGTTGGTATCACAAGAGAAGCAAGCAGTCGGCAACATTCATCTCTTGAGGTGGTGTCTAACTCGGTGTTAGTGTGTTTGACCATAACTTAAATTTACGCCGGAATATCCTTTAAGTCTGATTGAGATTTCTTAACTTTATCAAGAGATGTGTGACATTTAGCTCAGAGATTTCTTTTTGCTTCCAGCAGTCAGCAAGAGCTTTTTATTATGTCACACAAAAGCCTTTTATTTTATATTAATGGTCTATATTCCCCTTACAGCTTGGGTAAACAGTGCTGAATAGTTGGCAACTTGGGATATATCTCGATAAAATCTGAGTGCACAAAGAGCAGCTTCTTTTTTTGTCACCTCCTGTTTTTGTTCATGTTGGAAAGAGTAGCACTGAATGCATTTTAATGCAAGTTTAAGAAAAGAATAAATATCTGAGGACTGGCTATTGAGCTTGAGTACTTTTAGAAATGTCACAGTTGTGTGTTTTTCTTGTTGTGTGGGTCCATCTGTTGTTTTTTTTACCCTGCAGGTGAAACACATAGGAGGGCAAACATAGGGGAGGGCACACACAGAACAGAAACATACAGTAAAACCCCCACCCTTAGAACAAAAAATGAATCATTTGCCTCATAATAACACTTTAAGGTATATGACAAAAAAATTTATTTGACAAAAGCTCAAATCTGTCTTGATAGAATTAAAGAACAATGTGTAAAAAGTGTATGTCCCAGTACATAAATGGCAATAATGGGGGGTTACTTACCAAGTGTGTATTTTAAAGAAAACGCACAATTTCAAAACACAAACTAAGTGATGGGCCAACTCTGCTGCAACAGGATTCAAAACTGACAGCCACAAAAGTAGACAGCTACGTGGGTGTCACTCCCACAAAGAACATAATGGCCATTAACACAAAAAAACAATAGAGCAGAATATCCAATTAATCAACGCTTGAAACAATAATGCAGGAGACTAAGAGAACAGAACAGAAGAAGCATTTTTAACAACATGTTCAGCTGAGCAACAGCAACACAAAGAAGTCCAACTTAAATGACTACCACTACTGCCACACAAAAAAGACACAATCAAGTCCCTAGGCCAAGTCTTAAGAAACCAACCACACTTGTTTTTTTAATGGTATTTATTGAGAAACTATTAGTGCCAGAAATTGGTTTTGTAGGTAGAGTCAGTACACAGAGTGTGTGTAGGTTGTTCTGTTTAGAACAACCTAAACAGTTTTGAATTTGATGTTTTTAAGTCGGTGAAAAACATTTTTACTATTCAAGTGTAGCCTAATGTCACTAAATTTAGCTCAGATGTTTCGCTTTCTATTGCTTTGCACTGTGTGTTTGCCTGGGGATGTTTGCAGTGCATTTATAGATCGATAATCTAAATCTTGGTTTAAGTTTGAATCCATGGTTTTTCTTTTGTCTCTCCCTGAATATGGGCTGTACATTTTTCATCCTAAGTGGAAAGCTCAGCTTTGTGTGGGAAAAGAATATTGATTGAATTGTGTTTTATAACTGATCATTAGAAAGTGTTAAGAAATAACCAGTGCCTTCACTGTAACTGTGAGAAGAAAATCCCTTTTCATTATGTTGGGTAAACTACTAAAATCTGCTTTGAGGTTTTTCACATTAGTGGCTCGCTGAGTTTGAACAATAGGTGTTTAAATCAGCGATAATGGCTCATAGCCCTGGATAATGTCCATAAAACGTCAATGATGTCTGTTATTAACAGTTAACTTCCTCTTTCAGAGCGGTGCTGGCAGCAGCAACATCGCAGAGCTGCAGGCTGCTCTGTCGGAGAGGGAGGCAGAGGTCCTACGCCTGCAGGAAGAGCTGGAAGCCTCAAGAGACAAGCAGGCAGAAACAGTCACACAGGTCAGTTTTAAAGACGTACAATACTTTAACTGAAACATGTTTGGTGAAACCCAGTGTGGCAGGCAGGAGCATCATTTGGTTCTCTTTTGTTTTATAAATCTCCATGAAAAAGAACCACATTTTTTCCCAATCTAATCCAACATGGAAATGTCACCGAGCACCGACAGACTGGAACATGATTAGAATGAAACCATAAAGCCACTACCTCCAGCCCATTACCTTTCAATTTCATTAAATTAGAAGAAATTATCATGTATCTCAGTCCTTCCTGTGATTAAAGGTGAGGACACTACAGCAGACTGCAAACCATCATCACTTTTGCTCATTTGAATTTCTAATTTGAACTGAAATCTATCTCAAAAACAAGGACCAGCTCAGATTATTAAGTGTTTCTGTAATATTCAGCTTTACTGGACTGCAGATATGTGTCACACACTGACAGCTCCCGAAACAGAGTTGGGGCTCGGCTATGCAAATGATGGTGATCTTTGCATCTGTATGGTTTACTTAATTAGGAATCTCTCTGTGAGACTTGAACCCATCTAATTCACAGAACACAAAATATATACCATAATAATGAATACAACATCAACTTGTTCTGTCACACATGTAATCATGGTTTTCTTTCTACTCATTTTTACGATTTACAGACTGAGGGAACAGAGAGGTCTGCTATGCTGGCTGGAAAACATGAGAGTGAGACAATTAAGAGGAGGTCAGGAGGAAGGAGAGACACTAGAGCATCAGTCAGCAGCCAGGTGAGCTCATGTGAATGTTTTGTGAACTTGAGTGGACATCTCAGGTCTAAAGATGCAAACTGAAAACAGCTGAGGAAGGTAACACAGTCAGAGCCCACGTTATGATTTATTTTCATGAGCAGGAATCTGATTTTAACAATACACTTGTTAATGTGCAAGTAACAAAGGAACATTGAACAAAAGCCACCATCATGGTACTTCATAAAAATTTACATCAGAATATGGTTTCTGATCCTGACATTGTTCTTGCGTCTCAAGGCACCAGTGTGCTTCAGATGAAGTGCTTCTAAAGGTTCAGAAAAAGACTTTAAGAAAGTACAAGGTTTTATACATCGGTCTGACGGGTGTGAGGAGTTCTAAAGCCTGGTACTTTGGCTCACTGTGAGGCCATGAGGTATTTTTAAATACATGTGCATCACCAGTAATAAGATAAAGTGCAAAGTTTGAAGAACCATTTCTCTCTGTGCCTTCGACTTTTTGTGTTTGTGTCATGGAATACTTCTGAAAGGCAAGACCTCAAAGGGCTTAAAGGGATATTTCAGCATAAAATAAAGTTAGGGTCAAACACACCATGCTTGCTTCTCTAGTTATACCAACTTTAGTAACGACCACATGATAGCAATACACAGCGGTCTACGTCTGCATGCGCAAACCTCAACCAAAAAGCCACTCTATAGCTACAAATAATGCTCAGAACAGCACCTAACTTCATCAACAGTATATATAGGGTCCCAGCCATAGTACTAGCCACCAAACATCTTTTTAGCTTTGCCTGGTTACTTTAGCAAAGAGACCAAACACAACTCACCCACTCTCCTCCAGCAGCCGTTTGTTTGTAGAGAGCCCTGACGAGTCCATCACCTCGTGCACCCTTGTTAGCTCTGTTCTGTTTACATTCCCTTTTTGTTAAAAAATATTGTGGCAGCACTTTAGTTTTTATAGAATAATTATTCCAAGAGTTATTGAGTTAAATTTGCTGTTTTTTAAACTGTTGTATTTAAACATCAATGGCTTGAATTTCCTGTATTTATTTGTGTTTTACAAAGGGTTTAACCTGAGCCAGAATTTACCTCAATGATAATCATATAACAGTCATGCAGGCCTGGTATGATATTTTTTTTCTAACATATTGGTATCAGATCGGTACAAGGTATTGGCCAATACCCACAGCACAAGGATTGGTAGGGAAAAATTGGTATCGGAACATTTCTAGTGGATTATCTTTTGCAGTGCTAACTTTTTTTTTTGTTGTTATTTATTTATTTATTTATTTTTTGGTGAAAAATAACAAGACAGACAGGTGATATTCAAGTATTCCATGGGAGACTGTGAGAGTTGAAGAAAGGGGAGGACAAGACAAAATCTAATCAAATTTTAAAAAAGGGAAGAAAAAAAACATCATACAATTTAGGTTTAGTTTGTTATCTGATTCAAAACCTTGGTTTTTCCATTCTTTTACGAATCGTCTTTTGCAGTGATAACTTTAAATAACAGCGGGGGGAAACCTTGTGGTCATCGATGTAGATAACAATTTTACTCTAAAGGGAATGACAGCAATCTTATGTCCCATACTATACACAAGTGGAGTATTCTTTACCACCACATCTGAATGTCTAGCAGATCAGTTTTTTTGCACTGCTTTGTTTTAAAGATTTTACATTCCTGAGTATCTGTGAAATGAAACAGAGGACACAAAGGGACAAAACACCTTTAGAGGGCAGCTGTGATAAATTGGTGGCGAAAATTGGCCACCTGAACCTTTTGAATTCCACGGTCAGCAACACTTTCACAGGTGTGGATCCTCTGGCTGTTTTGTCTGCTGCTGAACTCTAAATTTTGTCAACACAGACATACCAGTCTGCCACCTCTCTCTAGTGACCTGTGATGTGACCCTGAACTCATTTTTTGGTCCCGCAGGGCTCAGCTGGCTGCCCGTCAGTGCTGGACTCCTCTGAGATTTCCACAGAGAATGGGAGGACAAGCCGCTTCCCCCGGCCAGAGCTGGAGATATCCTTCAGCCCTCTGCAGCCAAACCGCATGGCCCTGCGACGCCAGGGAGAGGAGAATGCCGTCACTGTCAAAATCACTCGATCGGCTCGCAAGAGGAAGAGCGGAGAGATGGAAAGGGTAAGAACATGTCACGTGTAACATTAGTTGAAACATTTTCCATAGGAAGAGATTATGCTTGGCCTTTTTCAGTTCGGAAGTGATTGAAAATTCGTGAATCTTCTGCCCTTTTGAGGTTACATTTCCTCCCACATGTCCAACTACAAAAAAGAAGCCTGTGGAAAAAAAATCCAGTGTTCACCTCTAGGATTCCTAAAAATACATCCTCCAGAGAGTAAGAAGAGAATGGTTTGAACAATCCCAGAGATGAAAGTTCATTTTTCAGACATGTTCTGTGGAGAAAATGTCAGTTTGAAACCTTTCCCTCTGCGGCTGTCATTCCTGCATGTGGTCTATGATTGTCTTAAAAGTTACTCCAAGAATGGAGCACTTGCAGCTGGATAGCAGCTGTACATTTGGCAGTAACAGTTAGACCTGATCAACCGTGTATGGTTATCGTATGGTTATTGCATGGTAATCGACGACTTCAAGTGTATGGTTATGGGAGGCTTTTATGCTTAAATTGAGATCTGAGCCACAATTTTCTGATTAACATTTTCTGGTTGTCCAACAGTGAGCCTTTTTCTCCTTAAGTTACACATTAGAATTCTGGTTTTCATCAGCTTTGATCCTGCTTCACCAGACTTCTAATCTTTTATCTCTACAAAAAAAAAAAAACCTCTTTGGCTGAATAGAAATAGCTTTTCCTCAACATCGTTGCATTATCATGCGTCACATTTTGTTCCTTTTAAAGAAGCTTCTTTCAGTTTGTTGTTATGTTCGGCTTCATTTACATGACAGCGCTGCCTCTGTCTTGTTTGTTGCTATATCCTTAAATAAAGGCACAATCAAAGGCATACATTTTAATTAGGAGTGGGAATCACCAGTGGCCCCACTTTATTATATTATTATGATACTTGGGCCACGATACGATATTATTGCGATTTTTAACATTTTGCAATACAGTGAGTATTGCGATACAATATATTGCGATTTACAACGTTTTTTTCAACTGTTTAGCTAATTTAGCATTCGGCTTTCCTGTATGTGTGTCTTATTTACGCTGTATTTTATTTTCATGTAGCACATAGTGCAACGAACTTTCTCCTGCTTTCTGATGTCACTTCTGCCAACCTTACCTGACAAACGATTGATTTTATTTTTCCATTATCATAGATTTGACTTTATCTTAGCAATTAATTTGAAAAAAATCAGTATATGGTAAATGATACATCACCAGACAAAATATTGCAATACTATACTGTATCAAATTTTTTCTCCCACCCCTGATTTTAATGCACCTGATTTACCTGCTACAACAAAGATAGCAGGCTCCACGTAAATGCTTTGGTCCCTACATGCTTGTGTGAAAGTACAAAAACATTTCAGTATTTTGTATAAGTACTGGCCATCTACCAAGAGCAATGTACAAAATCCTTAAGCCCAAAGAATACTATTAGCATACTATAAGGCCTGGACGATATAGAAAAAAAGCATATCGATAAAAAATAAATCATATTGATCGATATCGATAATTATCGATATAATTATTATAATTATTTAACATATATTTTAATTGCAGCCCTGGATGTTTTATGCTATTGCTTAATGACCTACTTTTAATAAAGAACACACAAGCCCTGAATTCAAATTCAAACCTTTATTCAACCACCTTTTTTATTTTACCACAACTGAAAGTTTTTTAAAAAAGAACTAAAAAAAAAAAAGAAATCAACTTAAGTGGCCTGAGTGACGTCAGTAAATACTGACAAACATAAAGACTAAAGTGACCAGAAAATCTGATAAATAAATATTTAAATAGTCTTTTGATGAAAATAAACAAAACAAACAAATATATAAATAAACAGAATAGCTTTAGGTGGGAATAGCATACTACCAGTTTTAACTGTGTGGGAAACTGCCCACAGCCTGGTGTCTGAACACTGAAATATTTCTCCCGGGGTCGGGAGATTTATTTTTTTAATTATCATGTGATTGACTTAATACACAAACTAAGCACGAGAAGCAGGACTTATCCACGCCGGTGTTGTGTCGTAGAATGCACCCCTGCCGAATGCACCCCCTGCTAGTAGCCATGATCCAAATACTCGCGTCTTTGTAAAACATGAGCTCATTTTCTTCCACTTTAAGAAGCTAATGAGTGGACGGGATGCAGGGGTGCATTCTACGGCACAACACCCTGACCCATTTTCATGCCTGAAGCGCTGTGTTTGAGAAATACTTGCGGACGGGCACTTCATATCGCGGGTCGAGAGTGGCTAGAAGCTGGTCGAAGCCAGGCTTTTCAACGGTAGTTATTGGCAGTATGTCCCTCGCTATGGAGCATGTTACTGCATGGGTGATGTCCTTATGCCGCTTGGACGCTTTGTCGTATTTTTGGAGAGAAACGAAGTCCAGTTTGGTCTGCTTCACATGCTTTGTGCTGGTGCTGGCAGCGGTTCCAGAGGATTCCTCCGACGATGACGTGGAGCCGCGGCGCGGCCGACACAGCTCGTACTCCTGCGGGTGCGATCGGTTTAGATGGTAGAACAAGTTGGTTGTGTTACCAGACTTGGTTTTTACTAATTCTCTGCAAATTTTGCAAACGACCGCTGTTCGCTTTTTGTCAGACTTCTAAAAACCAAAACATTGCCATGCTGGTGAACTACTGAAACCTTTTTTCGGGACAATGTCCTCCGCTTCTCCTTGCTGTATCATTTTTTCTAATACACGTGCTGTCTGTTGTGGTTTGATAGGGGCTGGGCTTGGTGCCGTAGGTACCTGGGTCTGCGTTTGTGATTGGTTGGGAGGACGTAATGACTGTAGTAAAAGCTACATGATAGGCTATGATGAAAAAGAAAGGGAAACTGTGTTTTTCTATCGAACTTTTTATCGACCCGTTTTTTTTCTATCGCAGCACACGTCTATCGATCGATATATATTGTTATCGAATTATCGTCCAGCACTACATACTATGCTGGCGGTGTTTGACAAGTACAAGTTATAAGGTCAAAGAGCCAACTCCATCCGTGCCATTTGGAAATGGATAACACTGTCCTCATCCTGTGAACTGCTGGATACTACGGCTGTTTTGTGAAACCAGTTGCATGTCGCACATTGTTTTAAAAAAGTAATCAGAAAAACAGACCAAAGAGGCTCCATGGAAACAAGACCAGACTGAAGGACTTGTGTAGTGAAGCAGCACTGGAGGGTAAGCAGGGTAAAGGTATTATTCAGGTCACCGTCCCGCTGGAATTTGATTTAATGTAGTCAAGAAGCTGCACTTCTGTTAATTTGTTTGTTTGGACTAATGTGAGGGAAGAAGGCTGATGGGTCTGTTGCATTTGGCTCTCAAAGGAGTGTGTTACATGTTAATGCTAGAGCAAGAACAGATACAAACACAGCTGTGACAGAGGCCTGCTTTTTATATAGAATACATGATGTTCATGCTCTGCTCAAAGAAGAGAAACTCCCAAGATTTTTACTTGTTTACTTATTTTACTTGAATTTCTGAGTATTGTTAAAATAGATATTAGATCCATATTTTTAATTTTGTCAAAAAACACACTTTTTCGTCGTGTCCTAACTTTTTCATGACTGTAGCTAACTAAAAAAAATGTTAAATTAGGATTTAAGGTTGCATCGGTAAAAGGACTATAAGGCGAGGATGATTAAATAGCAGCATAATGTTGTCAAATGTCTTGCCAAAAAGAACACAATTCATAACACTTGAATAATACATTTTTCTTCAGAATAGAGATTTGTTTCCCCTGCAAAAAAGTGTATTACATCCTATTTAACTTCCTAACATAAGATCCAATAAACTTTAAAATACATCATAAAAACCACTGCTGTTAGCAAATACTCGAGAAATAACTGAAAAAGAGTAAAGTCACCCTCACGTTGTTTCTTTTTTTTTTTGTTATTGTTGACTTCCAGGGGCTTTGTAGGGCTTTGCAAGATTAAACTGGTTTATATAAACACTTGATCATAATGTGATAATAAATCCCTTAACAGGGGTAAGTTGAACCTACCAAACTCAAATTCTAAAATATGTAAAACCAGATAAAAACTGTTGGTGCTTACATAATACCAAGTCATATGGTGGACATAAATAATAGTCACAAGCAAACACTCACAGATGGGTCAAAGAAAACAATCTCATTAATCATAGAAATCCCTCACAAGGGGAAACATGAGTCTCGTTGTAGTCGTTGCACACACACACACACACACACACACACACAGACTAACCCACCCCATAGGACACACTGAACAAACCGCTCACTTAGAGGAACACCAGAGCAGGTAGAGTTCACAAATCACACCCCTGTTCACCATCCCTGTCTGCAGAGGTTAACACTTATCACAGCTCGATTGCCGAACTCTGAAGTATCTGAAAAACACATTTTCCTCAGAGGGAAAAGTAAATAGGTACAGTCTGTGTTTTCTTAAAACCTAGAACATACTTGATTTATACCAGTTTCCTCTCTGTTGTTCCAAAGACAGCCCCACTGAAGCATATTCACAAGTGTTTGCTGCTTGTTTGTCATCTTGTAAACACTTCATTTCCCTTCAGGCTTTGTGCTTTAGATGTGCTGATATATTCTGAGTGCTAAGCAATAAAAACCTTCTGGGTGTGCTTCAAATATGATGACTGGTCAACATACTTTAATCCTAGCGGGTATCAAAAATGATATGGACAAATTTTTTGTGTGGAAAAACTCAATGAAAGATGATTAATGGATAGTTTCACAAGTAGACTGTGTATTGCTGAATGGTTTTGGTAGAGATTGAATTTGATGAGTTCAGCTGATCTGGAGAGGTGACTTGATAAATACTGCAGCAGTGTAGGGGAGATTAAATAGTGATTGACCGTTTTTTTAATAACAAATGTGATGAGAATTATTTTGAGCAAACTGCTTTTCAGCACATAAAGTAGAAAACACGAGGGCTCAAAGCAAACATGGAGTACAATGATAGGAATTGATCAGTACACCTCATTGACCCATAACTTGACTTTCTGTAAAAGCCCTCACCAGGATTTATGTGCGCCTTTATGTTTTATTGTTTTGTGTAGTTGAGAGCTGTTGACCTCCAGGTGATGCATAACAACCGCCAGTGCGGTGAGGCTGCAGAACGTGGATCATGTCATAACACGAGTTGTACTTCTGTTGTGTTTACAGTGTTACTTTCCTCTCTTTTTTTTTTTAGCTGGCAGTGCCACCACAATTTTGTTTGCAATAGCAGACAGTGTTTCCCCAAGTTTTTTTGATAAAAAATAAAGATTAAATGTATATAGTAATCGACGACTTTAATTTCTGGGTTGGGATCTTGTTGGCAGGGCGGGGTATCAGTTGGCAGTGCAGAGTACACTATAGGGGAAAGACTGGAAGATATAAATCAGTTTGACATCATGTTAAGGGATTTACTGGCAGTGTTTTGACTTTTTTTTTTCCAAACAACAACAAACTTCCTTGGATGACTTTCTGTCTCAAAGGGTGACTGTAGGAATGCTAAGCAGACCATCAGAACAGTTCCTGTGTGTGTTGAGAATGAGTGAAGAGTTTATGCCCAGTTTATGTGAAATTTATTTTTTTATATGTTTTATTTTTTGGTGTGTGGGGGCAGCTCAATCTGGCTTCCCAGAGCGCAGGGATGTCTTTAACACCTCAAAGACATGCAGAATCTGCGGTTAATGCCACATAAAGAATGTTTTGGCTTTTGTGTTCTTGTTAAGAGAAAGGATTTTGGTGGAGGGGGGAACTGAGAGGACTGAGTGGGACATGACTTGTGGCAAAAGATTGAGGTCAAGAATCAAACTCAATCTGACTCTGTACAAAGTGCACAGGAGTCAACCGCTGTGCTAAACTGGTGCCCAAAATAAAACTCCCCTGTTTGTTAATAATGAAAGATGGACATATAAATATCCACATTTGTAATCACATGTTTGTCCAGCGACGGCACCAAAAACAAACCTATTTATTAAGAGAATGAGACTTTGTGGTGCAGTAACTTTGTGGTGCTCATCTGAATAGGTTCAAAAGCAGCAGTTAAACTTAAGCACACTTTATAAAACAATACAGCCACACAACCAAAATGACCAACATGTGCCCTTTGAGATTATAGTCTGAAAATGTAAAGGTTTGAATAAGCAATATCAGTGAGTTTGAAATTGGAGTCACTAACAGGCCGGGTCAAAAAAAAAAAAAGGCCTTAGTCAGCATGAAGTAGGGACGGGAATTGATAAGATTTTATCGATATCAAAGCCATTATCCATTCTGCTTATCAGTTCAATTCTTTAATGATTCCCTTATCGATACCGTTCTTTGATTTAAAAAAAAAAAAAAGTAGACTATAACAATTTCACTGTTAACTCAAAATTTTAGTGTCTTTTATAACAGAAAAAGATGTATGCCACCTTCAGTGAAAGTCTTGAAATGATCAAACGACAAACTATTTGTACAGCATTTACCTTGGTCAGTATTAAGTCAAATACATAATACGTTGTTAAGTCTGGCATGCAATGTGCTTATGTTAACACAGGACATACGTTAGGGTGACCATATTCGAATACATGTGACTCCTTATATTTGATGCCATGCCCCGTTGACAAATGTTGAGGCATGTTGCTGGTGTTTCCACCTTTTCATGTTATCACTGCTCGACAAATGTTGCACATCGCGCTGTTGTCGTCTTTCTTGCTAAAATGAACCCCGGCTTATGATCGTTTCGGCCTACTTTTCATACTGTCCACCATGTTTTTTTCCTCTAAGTCTCTGTTCTCGTTCGCGTAGACTGGCACTCGCAAGACTATTTTTCAAGGCACCTGGAAGAAAGGAATCATTTAGAGAAAATGTAAATGATGTCGATGGATTGAACCATTCGGAACTGGTTCTCAACAAGAACTGGTTCTCGATTCCCATCCCTCACATTTAGTAAACTTTTCATTTCTTTTTGCTCACATAGACTATGACTGGACATACCTGTCTGTCCGTGTTGCCATATTTGTTTTCAAGAACGTTGACTGCTTCTTGAGATGCTCAAACAAAGAGAACAAGAAAGGCCCCATGTAAATGAACATCCCCCTCTTGAATAATTGAAACTTTTGAGCGGTGAGAAGAACTGTATAAGGACTTGTGAGCGCTGTGCCTACATGCTTTGACAAAAGCTCATTAGCTGGGACATACGGAAGTACATTCATGTAAAAAGTATTCCCATGTCTACACTCTCTTGATAACAATAGTGGGAGTTCATATAAGGGGGTAAAAGCTTTTCGATGAAACCTCAAAGTAATTCTACTAATGACTGTCGTTCTGCTGAGTGAGCCCAGTTTTTGAGAGAGAACTGGAACAAAAAGAGAGGGGAGGAAGGGGGCAATCAAAGGCTCGAAAAAAGTAGGTGTTTTGTAGGGAAGCAATTCTTCAGCACTTCCAAAGTGATGCAGTGTTACATCACATTTTATTCTTGGGATCTGGGGCACTCAAGTCAGCATTTATAAACATGAACACATCTCTTTTCAGAGGAAGTAAAAAAAAAATCTTAAAGGCAAGATGAAGAACCAAATTAATTCTCTGTGGGGATAAAAACTTCCTGCATGTTAAAACAGAAATGTTTTCTGAATATACAAACAGTGAGGGGGAAAAAAACAACTTACATGTTGGATCTGCTGTTTGAATGACCCAGAGTCTATTTTGAAAGAACTAGATGTACCTCATGGATCAAATTTTACAGGAAATTTTGAACTGTCAAGAGCCTGAGGGTCAGTGTGTCAACTTATTGATCACCTTGTTGGTCTTCATCAAGTAGCAAGTGGAAAAAGGTGCTTTTATCCAACAACAGTAAAATAAAAAAAACAAAGGGGGGAAGGTGAGTTTAAAACAAAGAGAAATAGGCAGAGATAAGTTGGGGAAAACCGTGCACAGGAAGTAGGAAGAAGCACAGATAAATTGAGAGCGATGGGCTTAGGGTTGTGGGCTGAGGGGAAGTCAGCCAGAGAGGAAAGGTAAGGAAGTGAGAAACAGCAAGACAAGAGAGGACAGACAGAGAGAGACAGCAGAGGGAATACTGCAGTGGAGTGGGGAGGAGGTTTTTGGAGAAAAAGAGAAGAAAGCGGGGTCGAAATAGAAGAAATGACGCTGAAAGTGGCAGACAAGCAGAGCTGGAAAAAAGTGTGTGGGGGGGTTAGAGTAGAAGTAAGTTAGAAAGATGAAAGAGGTGAGATTGGGAGAAGTGTGGTTAAATTAGAGCAGAGAGCTATTGACAAAGGTAGAAATGAAGCAAGAGAGCCTGATATCACCGAGATTTGCTGATAAGAGATAAGATATGAGCAAAGCTAAATGCACAGCATCTGAATACTGGCTTGGTGGTAATCTTCTCACTTTATCACCCTCAGTTATATTTTGACATAGAGACTTGTGCTTAATGTACCACTGGAAACCCATCCACGTGTGTCATTGTCAGTACACAACGTAGCCTTTCATGATGAGCTCGCAGACACACGTTACAATGAGTTTGAGTAATCTGACAACAAGAAAAGAGGCACTGTGTGATCCTTATTTTGTAAACAGTTAAGAGTGAACCCCCAAAAAATACCCCACAGCCTTAACTTAATGCTGAAGGATGTGTCTATCCACAACTCGAAGCAGGATTTCTTTTAGTGTTGCTCTTTTGAATTCAAAGTAAACATTCTGCAGATTTTTTTTTTTCCATTTGCCTCATCCAATGTACACAGAAGACCACATAGTGCAAAGTGACACAGCCTATACTTACTGAAACCCGCTGTCCCCTTTCACACAGCATGTAATTGATCACAGCTAGCTCTTACTTTCCACTCCAGTTCAACAGCTTGTAATAAAAGCACATCTAAAATAGAAAACCCAAACAATCTTCTACCAACTGCGTCAAGGCTCATCAGCATTTTGAAAGTAATACTATGATGATAATTACACAGAAAGAACTGTTTAGTATGAACTGAGATAGCCGTGCAAGATAACATACTCTTCTGCTGTGTTGCCTGAGGTCCCTGTTAATAACAAGTTTAGATGACAACCACCATCGTCTGCTGTATTTGCAGATGTCCTCACTGCTTCATCTTAAGATACAGATACATCTTTCCTTTGAGACTGTGTTTCTATCTGCACAACAACCCTGTGTTCTTCATGCAATGAATTATGCAGTCAGTTTGTCAATGGCTTGTGTCAGAAAGGGCTGTGGTTATCGCACGTTGCAATCAAGCTCGAGTTTTCTGAAGTTACAGCAATTGCTTGTTACTTTTGTTTTTCCAGACCACTCAAACAAAGCTACTAGTGAGCTACTCTGAATGTAAAGATCAACACTGCACGCAGCTTTGCACCTGTTCTAATCGGTTAAGTGTTCAATAGATAAATGGATGAAAAATCTTACTGAACAATCACAATGTGTTTTCTTGAGTCTCTGCGGGCCACTCTCATCTGTTAAATGTATTCTCTCTTAATTTTGGTTCAAAAAAGTATCCCTGTGTTTCCATCATGAAAGGTTTTATGTCGTGCAGCATTCTCAGAAAAATAATACAAACATGCTGACTGGTTAAGATCTACGGAAGACAAGAACGACCATGGATTTGTCTTTTTTTTACTCATTCATTGCCAAAGACGGATTTGGACAATTTTTTTTTAATCTGCCATGAGTGCCATCGACAGATTTTGACGAATATTTCGTTTGTTTTTTTTTTGCCAGAGTGCTCCTCTCCAAAATGAGAATAAGTTTGGGGTCGTTCTGAACACAGAGAAGCCAACAAATACGTCATAACCATGTTACAATAACAAAAACAATATGCGACTGTGAGAAATGTGCCAGCAAGTGTGCCAATTAGCCTAGTTGTGGCGTGTTTTTTCCCTATGAGGAGAGGAGGAAAATGCCAAAGTCTGAGTTAAGAGCAAACGGTCTCGGCGCATCAGCTGCCATGGGCGTGGTGCTACCGTCTCTAGATCCAGTGAAGATCCTGGTACCAGACCTTTACATTGTCAGCCGACAATCAAAGAAAGAATTTCCCTGCGTGTCGTTGTGCCGCCGGTGATCGAGACTGAGCTGGAATTCAGCGACAGTCCCGGCGAGGAGGAAGCGAGCAATCCGTGTGGTTTATATTGCAGCATCAGGTTCTCGAGAGCCAATACAACTCCCAGCTTGTCACAAAGTTCATTTGAGATATTGCAGTTAATTCTAGTCCAAGCACAAGATATTCTGTGGGTCCTAAAGATATGGACATTGCATAACTGAACCTGGCACTGAATGAGTTAATATATCTTGTTATCTTGTGATAACAACTTGTATCTCAATATAACGGTTTGTTTTCTTGTGATGACATTTTCTTCGTTATCTCAACATAACAAAAATCGTTTTCTTGTGATAACGCAAATGTTGTTTTAGCTGACCTAATATGGTAACTTTTAAAAATGCCTTCCAGAGTGGGATATTTCTACAATGCATCAGCCACCGTTGTCAACAGCAAGCCGGGGGTTTCAATGAGAATGCCAACAGCATGTTCCACTTTGAGCATGCACATTACACTTTTAAAGTGGGAATATTAACTGCCACGCGCGAATTGGACAACAGCAGCAACTGTGACAGGCACATTATTAATTCATTATCACGAGACAATGATCTTTATGTTGAGCTAATGAGACAATAAGTAATTGCGAGATAACAGTGTATAACAAAAAGAAAAATCCATGACCATTCTTGTCTTCTGTAAAGATCACCATCTACAATCAATGAGATGATCTTTAAACACAACACATGCTCTGCTGCAGGAGGTCATAGAGAGAGAGAGAGAGAGAGAGAGAGAGAGAGAGAGAGAGAGAGAGAGAGAGAGAGAGAGAGAGAGAGAGAGAGAGAGAGAGAGAGAGAGAGAGAGAGAGAGAGAGAGAGAGAGAGAGAGAGAGAGAGAGAGAGAGAGAGAGAGAGAGAGAGAGAGAGAGAGAGAGAGAGAGAGAGAGAGAGAGAGAGAGAGAGAGAGAGAGAGAGAGAGAGAGAGAGAGAGAGAGAGAGAGAGAGAGAGAGAGGTCCTACAATAATGTGCTATTTCAGCTCAAGTTCTTTTCTAAGTATGTTGTTGTGCACCAAGGAGAAGGAAACAACAGTATGAGAGACTTAAAACTTGGCGAACTAAGTTTCAAAGTGAGCATAGACCACAAACTAACGGTGATGGGAGCAGAGAGGAGGGTTACAAACAGAGGGTAGTGTTATGCCAGAGGCAGGGAAGGTAGACACCACTCTGTCAGCTGTTCCTTCACTCCCTGCTCCGACCATGACTGTCTGGGTCAGGAGTGATTTGGCCAATTTCACTGACAGTGGTTAAGTTGCATAACAGCCTGCGCAGGTGCCAGCTGAGATGTTGCAGTGAGCTGGGGTTTCATAAATTGATATGAGCTGTGAGAACACTTGCGTCACTGACTGTGTTGACTTTAAATGCCTCAAACATAAAAGGTGAAGACAGGCATTAAAAAAGTGAGACATGGGTAAATAGTGAGAGTAGTCTGAGCGTGTATAGGAGTTTGGTGCACTAAAGAGAAGAAAGCCTTTAAATCAAATTGTTTTGATGGTTTATAAGCCATAAGTGATGGATGATGACAGTCGTTGAGCCATCTCAATCTTAAATCAATGCTAAAATCCACTTTTGGACGACCTTGTCAGTGGGTTTTGCGTTTCTAATTGCACTCAGATATTCATGACCAACATTGCACCAAAGCAAAAAAGTGCAGTGCAAAACTGTTGCCAGGGGGTGTTTTAAATCATTTAGGATGGACTGGTAGATCTCTCTACTGCATCCCCTTACTCAATCTCTATCTGCTGGAGTGTCTGCCAGCAGGTTCTTGGCCTATCCTTGATCCAGCCAGGAGTCAGCGGGGGCACAGCCAGAGAGCGGGTTCACCACTGATTAATGGTACCCCACTTAATAGAAGCCCACAGGGGTCAGGGAGAGAATAAAGAGTCAGGGAATGGACACAGTGAGGTCCTAAGAGCTGTGTTCCTGAATTGCAGATTTGCATTTAATCAGGTCAGTCAACTGGAGACAACATCCCATCCATCTCTCTTAGTTTCGCTCTTCAGCCCTGTATTAATTGGATAGAGTAGCAGAGTATTTATGGCGTGCGAGTTTCTTCTTGGCTGTGCTTGTGCGCATTGACACAAAAAGGAGGAAGTAATTAAAGAAAATATACCACATTACATAAAACTTATGTTGTTATGGTGCCTAAATGGAATCCTTTAAGTACTTTTGATTTAGCTGTTACACACGGGACCTTTAGGTTTTATCTGTTTCTGCTTTAGTGACTCATGATAGATAGAAAGGTGGAGTAGGAACAGCTGCAGATAAATGCATCTATACATAAATAATGGTTTTTATTTTGGCTCCTCGAAGAAAAAATTGAAGAGAAATCTTTACAAAAGGTATAAGGTGCCGGTTTGGCCTAATGGTTGTGTCATGTGTCCCATGGGCAGAGGCTTTCATCTGGGTTCAATTCCAACTCACAGCCCTTTACCACATGCCATTCATCACTGACACTTTAGTTTTGTAAGATATGTTACATGAAAATAAAATACTGAGTAAATTAGACAAACATAAGGGAAAGACAAATGCTAAATGAACTAAACAGTTGAAAAAATTGTATAAATCGCGATATATTGCATGGCAATACTCACTGTATTGCAAAATGTTAAAATCGCAATGGTATTGTGTCGTAGCCCAAGTACCATGATAATATCGTATGGTGGGGCCACTGGTGAATCCCACCCCTACGTCTAGTACTCTAAAAAGCCCAAAAGTGACACTTGAGTAGATGGTCAATGCCTGTAAAACAAGTAAGTTGTTTCAAATGCATCTCATCTCTTATGTCCAGTTTCCTGAAACAAATCTGGTTTCCCAAGTCACCAAATAAAAGCAAAGCGTGTATTGCAGGTTGACTGTACGTCCTATTTTACCCGGGCATGTCCTCTTTTTGGGGGGGCTGTCTGGCTTTGTCCGGGCAAGTTTATAAAATCCATCAAATGTCCACGGTTTTGTACGGAAGTTTTGAGCTCATGTCACGTGGACTTACTGAGTTAGAAATGTGTAAAAGACACTTGAACCGAGTGTTGAGGGTCAAACGCCTGTGAATATTTTTAGCAAAACATGAAATAATGTTGTGGCTGCACGCTCAGTCCTAAAACGTCCTTGTTTAAAGGTTAAAGTAAAACACTTTTTGTTATTGATCTTGAAAGTGTTTGAAGCTTTGGTGAGTAGAGGCAAGGTGGTAATTTTATTGTGTTCATAACAAGGAGACTAATATAACATTAAAGGTGATGTAGCATTGAGAAAAAAAAAAGTATGTTTCAGCGATAATGGAGAGCATGTAAAAAAAAATGTGGCACAAGACACACAGGACTTTTTTTTTTCAGGTCTTTTTTCAAATTTATTAAAACAGCCATTTAAATTTCTAACAATGCTTTCACCGCTTTCATTTGACAATAGATGTTCCTTTTTTCAGCATGAACAAAGAGCTGGGGCTTTTTCAGGTAACAATGGGTCCACTGTGAACACACAGTAGGACAGAAAAGGGAAACAATGCAGGCACATGCACATTTACATCATCCTAGTGACTACAGAATTTCACTTCTGTAAATAACACAACATCTTATAGAATAACACAATGGAAACACAATGGGGTTTCTGAACAAACATTTAACATGAATGCTGTATGCAGTAGAGGGACACCTGGGGACTAAAAGTACTCAACAAAGCAAATGTTCACTCCATGTTGCATCAATGGTTGCTTTATGTCCAATACCTGTAGGACCTGATCTGTATCAACTTTTAATGTTTCCCTGAGTCTTTACATAAAGCATTAAACCATAACACTGTTTTCATTCTGAAACACTTTGAGTAAACAATAATAGTCACAATATCTGAGTGAAGATACTTGAGTGTATCTAAAAGCAAAGACAAGAATGCTGCTGACATTTTATTACAAGTAGTTTAAGCCAGTAACCAGAAAACATTGAGGCATCTTACAGTCTTACAGGAAAATACACCTAGTAACTGTGTTTCTGGTAGAAAGAGAGGATGATTACCACAGTTATATAGTATTTCCTGTCAATGCAAATCTAAAGCTAGCAGAGCCACGGGGAAACAGGAGGTGACCAGACTTTAACCAATAAACAACTTTAAGTATCAGTCTTAATTAACACTCATTAAATGTTGCAAATTGTATCCTCCAGGTATTATGTGCAGGTTAATTTTTCATTGGCCATGAGATAGGGATGGGCAATAAATTATCGTTCATGATTTATCGTCAGATAAATCCTCCACAATTATTTGCCAACTCACGATAAATGCGATAAATGCAAGTTGATGACGTAAGTGTGAGCAAAGGATTTACAATTTAAGCCCACACAGAGCAGAATAACAAGTAAACATGGCTGAAAGAGGTGAAGATTGGGACTTAAGGTTAACGTTTTTGTCGTGCGATTATTTCGGACATCAATATTTTTTTTCAAGCGTTTACATCAGCAATGTTTTCTCGTCCTGCAATACTGCGGCATTTATTTTTTTCGGATCGTGGTCGATTTTTCTAAAGTTTTGCATACTGTGTGTCCACTTCTGACCAATCAGATTGCTTGTTGTTGCGACGTCTGATTCACTGGTATATCCAACATGGCCGACCGGCTGATTGTTTACATGTCGGAGAACAGAGTGCTCTTTGATAAAAAACACAAATATTACAAATATAAGAACCTGAAGGACAACTTGTGGAGAGTCATAGCGTCGGATTTCTCATATGACGATAGTTTGTGTGCCATAACAGTTTGCTAAACGTCTTTGTTTTAACTTTCATCTGTGCCAAATAACTTTAGCTTGTAAGCTAACCTGTTCAGATACAACATACCATATGTATTTTCACTGTCTCAAACTCAATTGCATTGCTGTCACAGCACCATTAGGTCTCAGTTGTTACCTTACGTTTATGGATTATAGTTTAATGTGGTTATCTGGTACTGGCCCCGACTCAGTACATGCAGTCATGACAGACAGTCATCTCAACACTAGTGTCTAATCAGAATTCAAAAAAGTCAGTCTGCTGTTGTGTCAATCCTCTCGCTTCCACCTGGGATGCGTCTTTTTCCCCCGGAAAGTCACAAAATCGCATCGGGCTTGATGTGTATAGTTAGGTGTGTCAAAATTCTCCTCCAAATATTTTGTAATTTCGGGTTCTATATTCGCGTCGGCCCCAGTGTGTAAGGACCTTTAGATGAGTGCAGTCAGGTATACCTGACATCGGACAGAAAATCTGCTGCTGTTCACGCTGTGCGATCAGAGTCTTGAATAAATGTTGAAAGTTTTTTCACATTTCAGACTTATTTGATGTCACTAGTTTCCTCTATAACCTACCACTTAAACTTGTGGTTAAGTATCTTATTTGACTATGCCTACTGGTAAGTGCCATCCAAGAACAATGTTTGTGGGTTTCTCAAGTCAGAGTGAGTCAAAAACATGAATTGGAATTTTAGTATTTTTTTATCACAACTTTTATTGTTATCCCCAGGATGGCAAAAAGCAACATAAGGTTGTCGAAACTACCTTAGTAGCCTTTAATTTAGAAACAACTTCCAATGCAAACCTTAGAAAGATATACGTTTTCTCAGATGTAGGTTAAACATTTATCTATTACTAGATAATTGCAAGCTCTGTGAAGCAAGTTCATAAGAGGAAACTGTTAAGCCACAGACCGTGGCAAACAAGATTTCCTCCATTCCGTACAAGGTCAAAGTGGGGAGGGGAAAAAGTGACCATGGTCTTTTAATCCTGAGAGAAGAAAACACACACACGCACACACACACACAATTTGTTGATGCTCATGCATGTTAAGAGATGCTTACATAAAGAAGTCACCTTTCATGAGTTGTGCTCTGTGACCCTCTGGGTCTCAGTGGATGTTTCTGACTTGAGTAGGTTACAGTCACCCTCCTCACAGGCCTGTACCTGTTCTCAATTCAGTGCTTTTAGATATGAGGCTGCCCTTATATTTAGTATAGAAAAGTCTTACGGGATCTGTGTTTGACGAAGTTCTCTTTTTCTTTTCTTAAGTCTCATATTTTCAGGAGGAGTAAACGGCGAACAACACAAGAGGTACTATTTTTCTTTAAGCCACAGCATCATGATTTCATTTTTCATTCTCATACCCTCAAACATTCATGATCACAGCCTCCATCATCATTTACCACTCATGTATAGTTTTCACTCCAAATGCAGTGCTACTAGATGGCGCAGTCATTATAAACATCTCTCACCATATTGTAAAGTGGATTTTGGGGTGTTGGTAGCAGAAATGGGATTGTCATCAGAGAGGGCCATCAAAAAACAGAAAAAAAACATAGGCAACTGGATATTACGATGTCGATTATTTAGCCATTTATCCTGTGCCCCACAGTCAGTGAAATCCTGAGTCCACATGACAGCGGTTTTTGGAAAGAAAACAAGTAACTGTTTTACAGGAAAAAGCTCGGCTAGCTCAGGAAAAAAAATAAAGTTTTGTCTCAACTATCAAGTTACAAATGTTGGAAAACGGAATCAAAATTGATGTCTCTTTTTTTATTTGCTCTTGACAAATGTGAGGATGAGTGAGCGAGTGTAGAGAAGGGACATAAAGTGTGTTCATCCAGCCTCTTCAACAACAGTTAACATTTGACATTAGGTGTTGTCATTGTGTTCTTCTCTCTCTTATACTGTACAGAAGAGCAACAGTCATACTACTCGACTGTGGTCAATAACTGGAGTTAGAAATGACGCTAATGAGGTTTCCTTGGCTGGAGAGTTTGGTAAATGTTCCCATTATGGAGTCATTTAGAGGAAACTGTGACTGGTGGCAAAAGACCCTTCTTTAAAATGATGGTAATGTCACTGAGATCAACTGCAAATGCAGTTTTATTTTCCATGGTGCAGTTCAGGATTAGTTGGTTTGGATCCTGTGGGACTCTATGAAATGTCAAGGGTGTGAAGTATATGAAATGAGGCATACATGTTAGAACCAGAGCTTAAAGAAGCCAAGGTTGTAATTTGTTATGAGAAGAAGGTCTGCAAAAGTTTTTTTGGTTCCCAGTATGCACGTGGTTGAGCAGAGAGCATCTGAAAACACCCAGCTTTGATCTGCTCTGATTTTTGTTATTGCCACACACTATGGACTTTTGGAAGGACGATGAAGCTGGAAGCCAGCTGTACTCCCACTTGTACAAGGGGTCAGAGTGGAGGTTGAGTCACAGGGCAGTGTTCCTGAAAATTGTTAGAATTCGGTTCCCTGTTCAAGGACATTTAAGCGTCACCGCAGGGTTTGATGTGTAGAGCTGTTATTAAAGGGCAGCCTGGATGATCACAGGCTTACTCTGTTCCCCTCTGAATATGGAGTTACTAGTAGAATGATTTCTTCCCATATGACTGAACTTGGGTTCACCGATTTCAACTTTCTGAGTTGCAATAAAGATGAAACTGCTCACCAAGTTGAACTCTCAGATTCACCGCCCCAGATATTTAAGTTTTAGCTCTCTCTAAGCAAAGGTTACACTCCAGCACAGCAGCTTTTTTGGATGGCAATAATATTGAGCTGTTCTTCCCTTAACATCATGTTTGAAGGGAACAGTTTTCATTCAAGATAATGTCTTCTCTCTGTCCCTGAAATGCTCATCCTGGCAGCTTTCCTGCATAACTTATAGAGGACATGTAGAAATTAGTGGCAGATTGACTGTGGTCACATCCAATGAGTGGTAGAAAGCATGCAGCACTGAAAGCTCTCAGTAGCTGCGTCAGCTTTCGGCCTGAATGCAATGAAATGCAAAAACTCAAGATAGAGCTGAGGGTGTACTATAAAGGCAAGATTAGAGGGGCAAAAATTAAGTTCTTTTTTTTTTTCCCTTGAGTCATTGTCACATAACTGGCTCTTTTTGTACCTGACATAACCACAGCAAAGCTAAGCTGGTTTGGAGCAGGTTATGCTAAGAGTTTCCTGCTCTAAATAGGATAATGAGCACCGTCTTTTCAGCACTGACGGCATGAAGATGCTCTGTGAAGGCGTTTGAGATTCTCCATCTACTCAGCTAAAATAATGTGTATAAAGGAACATTTGAAACAGTAATTTTACTTTAATAAGGCCACAGTAAAAGCAGTCAGAGTAGTACATACTGCATCACATCACAGATTCTGGTGATCAGTCAAAATGATCACTAAATTCCAGCAAAACACAAGTACACAAGCAAAAGAACAGTCACAGAGTCTGAGGACACTGGATTATGTTTTCAAGTTGGCTCCTTATATCCAGCTAAATCAACTTGTGTCAGTCTTGATATAACAGTGTGCTAGTTAGAAGCTGTAAAGTCCTATTCGACTGGTTGCCTTATTGGTCGATATGTGTTGAGGGGACCAAAATTCTGATTGGTAAACTAAAATTTTTTCCGCGTCAATTTACAGTCTATGTAAATTGACACGGAGTGCTAATGGGGGTGTTTTCAGAGCACCTCCGATTCACAGGTAACAACCTGTCTCAGAACACCCCCCTTGTTTTCACCATTTTGGAATTTTGGATTCGCCCCCCACTGGAGACTGGCTGGAGACAGAAAGATTGAAGAACGTCCGTGTAAATCAACCTCCAGTGGTTTGCTAAACATTTATTTTTATTTTGAGAGTTTCAACTTACATCGTGTTTAATTGCCTTCTTGTGCTGATATCAGTAGGCCAATATTTTCACCCCGCCGAGCTGCGTCGTCCCCCGCCGCGGAAGGGTTTGCCATCAGAGTTTGCCCCCGTTAGTTGATTTTTGGTTAAAAATTTCAGGGGTTTAGTCGACCAGGAATTTTCTTTGGTTGACTTTTCTTATTCTTTGCTAAATGCTGCATCACAAGAGAAGAGATGTTCGTCTCCCTGCTCTCTTATTCATCTAATGCAAAGTAGAAGCTTCCAATCCCTGTGATTTTTTAATTACATTGTCCACATCGATGGAATAATTTCAATGTAATTGCTACCTCTTAAGTGGAGTGCTTGTATTTCATTCATGTGACACCCATGAAGAGAGTTGTGCAGTAAAGTGGAGTCTTATCTGATGGGTTTGACATCTGTAGGCAGTGACCCAGGCAGCAAAAGGCAGCCGATTTCATCAGCCATTCAATCCCTTGCACTATTCAATTTTTCTCCCAGATAGTGGAGTGATGGCAGGCTCGAGCATGTAAACTGGCATGATGTGAACACACACGAGCAAATCAAGTGCTTCACCTTTTATTCTCCCTCCCCATCATTGTCTTCCCTGTCTTCCTTCACTGCACCTTCCATTTCTCTACCTCTCCTCTTATTCTTCTGTCCTTCAACATTTTTCAGATTTGTTCAACCTCTTTATCCTCCTCCTCTCTCTGATCCTCGTGTCTCTGTCTGCTGAGCAGATGAGTTCTTAATGATTTATTGACTACTGTGTGGCTTTTCTTCAAAAAGGGAGACATCGTCACTGTCCCAGAAAATCTTTATCTGAACTTTCAGCTTTTATGATTGGAGCGTGAGAGTTTTGTGGCCCTGTCAACAGAAGGCCTGTGTTCACTCGAGTCAGTCTTTTATGGACTCTGATAAGCTGTGTTGAGGAACTCTGTCACAGTTTAGTGTAGTAATGTCACAGTGTAGTCAATATTAGTGTATTTTTTCGTGTTAAAGATGTTAAAACGAAATGCTCTTCATTTCCATACATTGGTGAGGTTGGAAGATAGGTATTTATGTGTACAAATTTGTATACAGAGAAAGTATGAAAACAAACCATTGTTTTTAGCTGCAATTCACCAGCTTATTATGAGTTTGGGTTTAAGTCTATGAGACTGATTAGTGTTCAGTTCAGTTGAGCATAGCATTCAGATATGAGCATGAGATTCAAGTAGTAGAGAGACATTGATTTTGGAGGGGTATAAATTGATAAATAATCAATGTTGTGTCCAAAAAAAGCTGAAAATATAATAAATCAGAACTTTTCATAGACTGGCTGAGAATAATCTGTTTAAATGCATGAAAATGGTGAGACTGCTTCACTGAACAATATCAAGGAGATATGGTTTGTTTAAGCCGACAGAAGATTCTTTAAATAGTAATAGTAAGAGAAATTTGCTTCTAAAGTTTCGTTTTTTGCAATCAGAAGGGACAGATATTTTCTTGATTCTATATAGTTTTTCTCATAGAAAGAAAAAAATGAAATTGTCTTTTTTCCTCTGGCCTTTCTGTTGAGTTTTTGGATCTTTGTGTTAAATATAACCAGAATACAAAGGAAAAGAAGGAAAGATAACTAACAACAGGTTTTGGGACGTTCTCTGGATAACACTGTTACCCAGCTCCATTTCACACTTGATATATTGGTAAAAAAGTTCATTGCAAGGTTGTGAAGGTGATTGATTGTCAACAACAAAGTCAATCGCCTGATCCTACCAAATCCAAACCAAATTAATCGGCAGTTTTCACCTCTGTCTGTTGACAGTTAAGTAAAAGTACCAGTGTCCACTGGCATTTTTAAATATTGCATTTATGCAGGATATTTTTTTATACAAATCGCAACTTAAAACTTTAGGTTTGTGGCTAACCTGTCACCATCTTGAAAAAAATTGGGAAAGTTGGAGAACAGCACAGAGACACTGAAAAAACTGATGAAAACATTAACAATGCAAATGACAGAACCAGGTATGGGTTTTGGCAGTGCTAAAGAACAGGGTTGATAAAGTCATAGGTTACGTTTCTTACCTTTTCTTAACTTTGGACGAGTCATGAATATCAGTTCAGATGACCAAATATTACTCGTTTTGTTGCATCCTGAAATCGATGAAAGTTGATGTCAGCTGATACGGTGTAGTTCTGTTTAGCAGATACCTTAATGTCTTGAACAAACTTCTTTGCAAGGGTTGAGTGTATTATTATTTTTTATTTTTTTGCATTCTCTGTTTTTACTCCTATGCATATAATCCTCTGACTGTAGAGTGTGACAAAACAACACAAAAAAAACACTTGTTAAGAAAGGGATAGATCACAATCATCTCTGAAAAAGCTGATCTAGATTCATTTAAGAGGAAAGAAGGACCACCATATTGATGCAAAAGATTACCTCAAAGCAACTCTCAGCAGGGCCTTTACTTTTAAGCACGTTTCTGTTCTCCGTGTCTCCGCCACGTTTTTTATTCGTCCCCTGTGTTGATTCACATCCTCTCATGTCTCATTTAATTTCTTCACACACTTCCTCTATCACCACATCTTTCTTTATGCCTCACTTTCTCGCACAAACAATTCATCCTGTTTACTTTCTCCACACATCCCAATTATGATTTATTGCTATCACTCATCACTACTCGTCTGTCTTTTCAGAGCTCTGGCTCTATAATCCTCCCTCTTATACCTCCTCCATTTCACACTCACTCTCTCCAGCTCTATTCAGTTTTGATCAGGTTCTCCATCCGCACATCTCTGAATCCACTTGTTTCTTCCTTTGCTTTTCCTAATTATTTCTATAAATGTCCTTTGAGTCACAGATTGCTCTGAATGCTCTGACCCTTTTTTGTTATTTCCAAAGTGTGGCCTGTTAATACATCACCATTTATTTGTTTAAGTGGCCTGTGAGTCAGAGCCCTTGAGAACTGATGCAGGAAGGAAACTGGGGAATTCAGACTCTCATACCGTTCATTTGAATAAGTTATTATTTTATTTGTTTATTTATTTGGGGCTTTTAGTAACTCTGAGAGTTTGCTATGAATGACTGCCTTGAGGTTTCTTTGTGTGTTGCCATTGTTTATTGTTGGACCGTCGAAATGAGAAGCGAGAACGCAGCTGGTGTGACGAATTGTTATCTGTGATCATTGCTTTCAGATATTTGTTTAAAAAGTTCATCAGATAATCATTGATGTTGTTTTCGGATTGCACTGAGGCGAGTTGCCTTTTGTCTCTCGCTCTGCCCAAGAACGATTTCCCAAAAACAGTCGTAGTCTGGGTGTGAAATTAAACTTTCAATCCAAGGATTTCTCAAATCCTAAACTGAAAATAATTCAGGTGAAATCTATGAAGGTTTAGGATGACTGCTTTTACCACGATCATTACACATCTCATTAGTCATTTCCATTGTCTCATTTAATTCACAACCCTTTTAAACAGCTGGGCAGGGATAAAAACATCAGCTACTTCTCTTAATGAAGGAAAATAAACTTTTAAAAAACACACAAAGAAAAATAAACTATATTGAACTTTTCCCAAACATGAAGACCTCTTTCCAAAGATTTCTTTGCCAGTGAAGAACCATCAAAGAGACTTTTATTTGCTGTCTTCGTTTAGTCCTAATAAAAGGTTTTCTATTCCTGGTTGACAATAGTATTTGCTGCTGACATTAGCGGTTCGTTCCAAAGTAAAACTGCAGATTAAGTGGGTGTTTCTGAAACACTCAGACAATATTTTGACTTGGTACCACTTGAGCCTGTCAACTCTCCAAGCCTCCCTGGCAGGTAAATAACCCTAAATTGAAGTTTGTTCTCTCCTCTTGAAAATCATTCCAGCTGGTAAAATGGTTTTAGTGGAATTGACCGCCCACTGAGTCGGGTGTACAGAGTGTCTGAATGTTTTTTTTCCCTGATGTCCACCTCCTGTTAATGACCAGCTCCATCTCATCCAACCATGCTTTCATTATGAACTATTTTGTGATCGTTTTCAGCTTCTTGCTTTTCTCTGACCTTTCTGCTTGTACAGATGACTCAGTACACTCTCAGTATTTGAGCGTGTACTAAGAGTGCGTGTCTTCATTTTTTTCTGTGTTTTCATGTGTGTGTCTGTATGTGTCTGTGTGTGTGTGTGTTGGTAGGAAGAGGTGGAGGCAGAAAACAGAAGGAACACTCGGACCAAACTGACGCCAAAGCTGACTCCACACCAAGAGGAGGTGAGAACCAGACAGAAACAGACAAACACGCAGAGAAGTGCAGACACATGCACAACCACCACGGTGTGCAGTTATACATCCCTATATGTGTTACCATAAGCTGTTATTTTGACACCTCGATGTGGCAAAATGATGATTGGGGAGGATTAATATGTCTCTGCGCACATGAAGTCCTCATTTATACGACATACGTAAACATTTTGAATGAGAGTCTTTTATTTTTAGAGCCACGCTCTGTGAGACTCTTTCCTCTTTCACAAATCCACTGGGCTGCATGTGTGGATGATGTTATTTTTCATCCTGACGTAATCCATGTGTTATAATAAAGTTGTTAAGATGACTCTCTACAAAGATAATTTTTTTGGAATGTTTTTCAGCATCAGCCTTGACCGAGTTAAAATCTGGTTTTATCTGAATAGTGTGTTGTTTATCACAGGTTACTCTGGTATTCAGGAGGTTAATGGAGGAACATTTTTCTACTGGACAGAGAAAAATGTTCTGTTGATGTAAGGTCTCAATGAAAACTGTGAGCTTACTGTCTCATAAAGATGAGCTCAAGGAGTAACCTTATGTAAAGTATAATAATTTGACAAAAGGGAAAAGACCTGTCTGTGCAGAGTAATGTTCAGGAATATTACCATTACCTTTAGAGATCAGCAGGTTTGATTCTACTCCAGAGGGACAGGGTTTGTTTGTTTGTTTTGTTAGGTCGGTGAAACTGAGAATGAGATCAATTTTTTGTTTAACTGTCCCATCTATGAAGATGACTTTGGGGATGTACTTTTTCGCCAAATGTCAATAAACGTTAATTTTTTTCTGTATGATAATATGATAAAAAAAAAGAAAAACTTAAACTGCTTGGGAAGAGGAAACTCATCTTGTAGAAAGAGACAGCAGCTAAAATGAATGTTTCAGACAGAGGCTGAAATAATGATATTAAAAAAAAAACGGAATGAGACGCACAAAGCTTCTTCTTCATTTTTTTTTTTTTTAATAAAAAAATCATGTGAAAGTATTAGAGGATGTATACGGTATAAAAATGCACAATACCCCCTCTTTAAAGAAAGCTACATTTTTTTTTATTTAATTTTCCTTTTTCTCTTTCTTTTTCTTTCTTCTCTCTTTCTTTTTTCTTATATTCTTTTTTCTTTGTCTTTTTTCTTTTATTCTCTCGTTCTTTCTTTTTCTTTTCTCTTTCTTTTCTCTTTCTTTTTTCTTTCTCCTCCATCTTTCTTTTTTCTTTTTCTGTTTCGTCTGTATTTTTTTCTCTTCTCTGTCCATCTTTCTTTCTTTCTTTCTCTCTTTCTGTCTGTCTCTATGTCTCTCTCAAATATACTGTTTAATGTGACAAAGTAAGAACAGTTCACTGTTTTCTGTCATCAGGCCTCTTCCCTTGCGAGGCGCCATGACTCCCAGAGCAGCATCCGCAGCAGAAAAGAGGGAACGCTGCAGAAAATTGGAGACTTCCTGCAGAGCTCCCCAACACTACTCGGCTCTAAAGGTTAGTGTGTCAGTGTACGGCAATGTACTTTACGAGATATATATTTGTAATTATGTTTCACAGTGGGAGAAAATTACAGGAGTAGTGGTTGGAAATATATCTTTTCAAAAGACATAAAGAGAAGTTAAGATGTGATGAGGCAGCAAAATGATACGCCAGGGGAGTGCTGACACAGCTTTTTACCAGTTAGAGCAGAACAAATACCTTTTTTAGCTGATGCTGTGTATAGGATGCATAAAACATGTTTATAACTTCACCAAGAGCATTACTGGTAAATTTATGTTTAACAGTGATCAAATCAAGAGTTTGGAAGTACACTGTTCAAGATTGACTAAAGCATTGGTTCCCAAACGCTGCACCACGGCACACTGGTGTGCCCTGAGGCAAATCCGGGTGAGCCGGGGGATTTTGTGATAACCATACATTATTATTGCAATATACAACTGCACAACTTTTTTTTTAATTTTTTATTTATTATATCAGTACTTTGCATGCACTCATTTCATAACACAGAGGCAAACTCTATACTTTAAAACCAAAAAAAAAAAAATCCTCAAAGAAAACCTCATTTTACTGTTTTCACTCTTACGCAGGCGGGAATTATAAAACAACATGTCTTGTTTAAATCAGTGTGTTGTTGCTTTCATTTCACACATTACACATTTCATGTGTAATATAGTTGTCTTTGTCACATTTAATATGGTATTAGTATTTAAATATGCACATTAATTGATATTTTACATGGTATGAGATGGTATGATGTCCTTTGGTGTGCCTTGAGGAAAAAAAGTTCGGGAGCCACTGGACTAAAGTATAGTAAAAAAGAGTGTTTCACCCAAGTAAAAAATAAATTAAATAACAGCAATAAAGAACCTAGAATAAGAGCATTCCATTTGTCAGCAAAAATATGACATAATAAAAAAAAATGATAAAAGGATAAACCAAACTGCAGCAGAACTCTATTTCAAATCAGAGAGGGGTCATAAATGAAGTTTTTATTTTTTAAATGGGGGAAAAACACTATAGACAATACAACATAAAAAATGTTTTCTTGTTCTTAGTTCTTAGTTTCTTCAATACACAGGGGACTTTGTATTTAGATCTTGCAAAAGTATTGGTTTTGGGATTAATAGTTCCAGAATATCTTCAACTTTTTTGGACAGTCTGTCAGTGTAACAGCTGGGTCACAGCCACAGGCACTTGGAGCTGTTAAGCTTGGTGCAGCCTCTGAGGCGTTATTATCGCAGTACAGATAAGAAGCCAAAGCTGGTAGCTGTTGTCTGTGGACTTGACCCAAGATAAGGTCAGAGTCTGGAAATTTGATTTCCTCTATTTTTCCATATTCGTCCACAAATTCTATTAAAACCTGGAAAGAAATCAATCCCATGGTTATGCCTGTTATCAACGTGGTTTTAGGGGTCAGATAACAGAGACAGTCCTAAGTGTGGGTGTTACTACACAGATGTATTTTTAGCATATGTATTTATTCAGGTAGAAGAGTTTTAAATGTTTAGATTCGAACCCCTCTGTACTACTGAGGGAGGTGGGCTAAACAGGAAGATGTTTTGTGTGTTTTAGAGGAGATGAGAAGATGCAATCTGTCTGCCATGCTCCATCTCTTACTCAATAACACATCAACCTTTTGTGTGTTTTTTCAGGACAAACAAAGACTTGTGTACAGAGCACAGTTGATACAAAAACGGACAGGGACTCAGTGTACCGACTAGATGTTAGCAAAGTTGTTCTGATCTGTTGCGTCAGGCTGCAACAAGCCTTACAGAATGGTCATGGCTGCTCCCAGTCTTAATATGTCCGTTCACAAAGCCCTGAGTGTTGCCAGGTAACGCATTTCTATCAGCTCTCTTCACCCATCAAAATATCTGCCGAGGGTATGAACTACACTATCCAAAAGAGAGGAAAAAACATGGACAGTAAAATCAGGAAAACTCAGACACGCGAATGAAAGGAGTAATTACTATTCATTCGCATGTCTAGAATAACGCAAATTAAGCGAGTAGATGATTTTACTCACGCTTGGTGTGAGCGCTCCGTGAGGATAACGGAGGCTTTTGTTATAAAAACAACGAAATCATCAATGTATTTAAAAAGGACCCCCACCCCCCTTTCTCAAAAAATAAAAGCATCTAAAGTTCAGAGATGATCGACTCGCTTGCAGTCGTTGCCCGAAATACAGCACACTGAAGTTGTGATTTTTGTTTTTGAGTTTCAAACTGAGGACGTCGGCTAAGGACGTCAGACTTGTTTTACTCTTTGGCCAAACTACGTGAGAATTAGAATTTCTCAATAAAGGGCCTAAAGAAATGGCTGAGTCTTCAAAAGTTTTGTAATCAAGGCCCTTAATGATGAAAGTCTGCATCACTCCATTGGTAACTGCCATCGACAGAAATTGCTTTACTGATGCAACATCCCTGAGGTCCTCTAAATCTGTTTGGGTGATCTTTTAGATGAGTTTGATGTTTCAGCTGTGATCAAAAAGAAGTCCAAGGTTACAAGCTTTGGGTTTTTCATCTAGACACACACACACACACACACACAACCATAAACACACTGAGACTTCCTTACATATATACGTGGTATATCTCCCACCCTGCTACCTGATGTATTATCATCATTTCACCTCCAGTTATTTACTGATAGAGTCCGGGAGGCTATCACATGGTTCAGGGATTTTTTAAAAGTTTTACATCTAAAAACTGCTGAAACATATGGTAGGACAGACAAGGACACACCCCAGAGTTCCTGCTGGAGTCATTTAAGGAAGGATAACATGAGCTTGACAAAGTACCCGAGCAAGGGCAGTGAGTTTGGGACACTAATGATGGCTTGGAGGAGAGAGTTAAGACAGGGAACATATTGGAATCAACTGGAGTCATCTGTGTGTTTTTTTTCCCTGGGGGACCAGCAGTTTCACTCGGTCAATTAATTGTCGCCCCAGGGTTTCAGTGCAAGGGTGCTGTCGTCTGCCACCATCTGATCCACCGTCCATCTCCTCCTTTCTCTCCTTCTGCCTCTCCCTGTTCCATTTTACTGTCTCTAGACTCTTCATTCGGCTTTTTCATTTTTTATTTCACTTTTTAAGTTCTTCACTCTCTTTCTCTTTTGATAATTTCCCCCTTCGCCATCACGTACTTCTTCTCTCCTTCCACTGCTCTTTCCCCACCTTCACTCTCTACATCCACCTAATTTATCTTGCACTTTCTGTCCCATCTCCTCCGCTTACTCCAGATTTCATCCCTTTTTTGTCTTTTGGCCTGCAGTCTGATCTGATCACGTGTTGGCCACAGAAACTCTTAGTTCCTTTTTTGTATGCATGCACTTTTATTGAGAAGAAATTCAATGGTTGACAAAAGCAGCTAATCTGTGATTGGCCGGCCCCTAAAAGTCCACCATTCAAGTCAGCAGTCAGGCATCTCTAGGTTGACTGTCAGATATTTGGTTTGAATTTAACACATCGAATTCTCACATTAAAATTGGCCATAAGTGCTGTAGTTGTCAAAAAACCTCTTTACTTTGCATCTGGCCTTGTCTCTCACTGTCTGACTATTTATTTGTGAACCACCAGCTAAGTAAACAAGATGACACATGGAATTGATTTCAAAAAGAGGGAAAGTGGTTTGAATGATTGAAAAAATGATGCTTGGCAGATTTGTATCATCCAACTGAACATTTCAATTCAAAACTAAAGCTCTGAGAAATCATTTTTTTGTTTATGAAATGGAAAGAAATTCATATTGATGCCTTTCTGTAACAAGACCATCAATGACAAGATTCAGTTTTATATCTTGACTTTTAATGCTTTAAACTGGGGCTAAGAGTCAGCCAAGCAGCTGAAGACACGTGCCTGTTTTTAAGTTTTCAGATTAAATAACATGATGAATGATACAGTTTACTGTCAGAAGTCAGAATATGTCATTTATTGACAGAAAACGTGATGATTGCAGAACTCCGCTTTAATAAATCTGATTGTACTTAGACTGTTCCTCGATATGGTGCCAAACAATGTTGTTATCTGGTGGCACAGTGGTGTAGTGGTTAGCACTGTCACCTCACAGCAAGAAGGTCCTGGGTTTGAATTCAGGTCAGGGGGTTTCTGTGTGGAGTTTGCATGTTCACCCTGTGTCTGCGTGGGTTTACTCTGGGTACTCCGGTTTCCTCTCACATCCCAAAAACATGCAGAAGTGGGGTTACGTTAATTGGTCACTTTCACATTGCCCGTAGGTGTGAATGTGAGTGTGGGTGGTTGTTTTTCTCTATATGTCAGCCTAGCGATGAACTGGCAACTTGTCCAGGATGTCCCCTGGGATAGGCTCCAAACCCCTGTGACCCCCCAAAGAGATAAACAGTAGAAAATGAATGGATGGATGTTTTTATCTGTAGATAGAGCCCTGAGTTGCATTTGCATTGGAATCAAATCAGAAATATACAATAAAACCTCCAGTTGAAATGATTTATTACTATCAACAGAGGTGCATAAAGCACATTTTAGGAAACTGCTCACCAACATAAAGTTAAGCAACCAATTAAAAGATATCAATCTATCCAAAGTATTCATTCAGCACATTCCTGTTCCTCTAAAACTGTCTCCAAAACTGCAGCCAAGAAGATGATGAGCCTGGTGAGCGGTCGAGTCGATGCAGACTCAGCAGCCTCCTCTTCCTCTTCTTCATCCCTCAGTCTGAGAGCCAAGAAGAACAAAAGGAAACTCTACAGGCCTGAAATCTCCTCTCCCATGGACATGCCCTCGCACCCTGTGAGTCCAACACATGCAAACAACATGACACTGTACATGAGTTCATTATACAACACACACACACACAGTAAATTCACAGCTTGTGTGGACAAGAGACAACATGTGTTCAGTAGAGCATGGAAATTTGATATAATGGAAGAAACCCTCATTATAAAAAACTACCAAAGAGGTCATGGAAGTACCGGTCTGTGTGCACAGCTCCTTTGGCAAATAAATCTGCTTCACATGTATCAACTGAGGGGACTGAGCCGTATTAGGTGGCCCCAGAGTACAAGTTGTCTGATGTGACCTTTACATTTCGTGGACTTGGCATTGCGGCCGACAAGGCGGTCCCTCATGTGGGTGAAAGTTGTAAGCTAAAAAGCAACAAACGCAACAAAAAAGGGATTTCAGTGTCACAAATGTTCTTTCTCTGTGGTTCTGCATGTAAAGGTTTATCTGGTTAGCTGGATAATGTTAAGCAATGGTGGCATAAAATGTCAATCTGTTCTCATTTGTCATTTACTCAGTTAACTCATCAGTAACCTGGAGGTCACAGAATTGAAACATGGATTGCACACATTAACACAAATATAAAGACAGTAAAGCAAATGTGCCTAATGATGGTAAATTATAGCTTTGGAAAAATTCCTGTGTAAAGCATGAATTTACTTCAACGTTAAAGGGACAATCCGGCATAAAATGAAGTTAGGGTCAAACACACCATAACACCGAGTTAGACACCCCTTTGAGAGATGAATGTTGTCGACTTCTCGCTTCTTTAGTTATACCAACTTTTGTAACGGCCGCACGATAACAATACACAGCGGTCTGTGTCTCCATGCGCAAACCTCTACCAAAAAGCCACAAATGATGCTCAGAACAGCACCTAACTTCATCAACAGTACATCCTAATTTCTTTAGCAGAGACCAAACACAACTCACCCACTCTCTTCCAGCAGCTGATTGTTTGTGGGGGAGCCCTGATGAGTCGATCACAGAGTGCAGTCGGCTTGAGGTTTGCGTGTGGAGTGATAGACCACTGTGTATTGCTATGGTGCAGTCATTACTAAAGTTGGTTTTAGTAACGACAGCACCATAAACACGATAAACTTGATTTTACACCGGAAAAACCCTTTAATGATTGGGTCAGAGACTTTCTTCATGAGCTAAATCACATGGTGGAGTTGACCCTGTCGGCACCGTCTGATGGTCTGACATCCGTCCCAATTTTTTGGTCGGTTTCTTCAGAAAAGAAACTAAACAGGACCCCCTTCATAGGTTAATGCATGTACTGTAGCACTGTATATCCCTGATTCATTATATGATCTTTAGATTGATTGTTAAAATGTGACACAGCAGTGTCAGCAGTGACACAAAAATGTATATCTATGTAACATCCTCTGTCTTCTCTTTTCATTTAGATCATTTGCAGAGAGCCTGAGGAGAAAGAGAGCGACCATCAGATCATTAAGAGGCGCCTCCGCTCAAGGATAGTTAAATAAACACCTTTCACATAGTTCTGTTTAGATACACTTGCCTTTATTTTATGTGCAACACTATGTAGAAATAAATGAAGGAAAAACTTATGATGGCTGGAAAATCCCCAAACATCGACACATATCCCGAGTTATCTTATTTAATCTGATATCTTAATATTTAACAATTCAAGATTATATATTAAAGTTAAAGCTTAATCACTTTTTAACAACCAGTTTTGTGGCAGTTAAAGGAGTTCATGGATAGCGGGGAAGCTACACTGACTTGTTCTTCTGTTTAGAAGTAGATTAGATGACTAATAGCCCTCCTGTCGAACCAGGAAGTCGATCGGATTAATTTACCCTAATGACTAGAAAAGAGATCAAAGGCTAGCCTAATTATGAAAAACGCTAAGTCCACAACCTCCTTAGTCCATTTACCTTTTCTTTTGTCTTAATTGATGTTTCATGTTTACAAATGAACGACTCCAAAGTCACTACATACTGTATACTCACATAACAAGCACTCTATCTTTGTTTAGTACTCTTAAGATATAAAATGCTGACTTTTTTCTTGACTTTGATGTGCAATCGTATATATTTTTTTCTATTTTGACTGCTGGAGTTTGGTTACCAGTTTAGTTGTAGTGTCTTTACCCTTATAGGTAACCATCGCCTGTTTTCTGACTGATAAGTAACGCTGCTATAGAGCACGAAAATATCTCACATAGTTGTGACAAGCCAGATATACTCTTCCTACTGCACTTTCTCTTTTGAACAAATTTAAGTAACGTTGAATAAAACTAAAGGGTTCCTTTTGTGCCTGTCATTTTTTTTTTTTTTTCAGCTGCTGAAAGCTTTTACTTTTAGACAGGTGGATGTTAAGCTTTGTTGAGTTCACTTTATGCTGTTGAAGATGAAGGACTTCTCACTCTTGTAAATGCAGTTCTTCAGGTAAAGCTGCCTGAGTTTATTCCTGTGTTTTCTTCAAAAGTGCATCACCTACTTTTCTGTGAGACAGCTGACTCTGCTGTCAGGGTTTGTCTTCTTTATTCTTTTGTTCTACTATTTGTATGAATAGTTTGATATCTACAAATACAAAGGTTTTCTTCTCAAATATGGACACTGCTGTTGTTTTTCTTTAGAATTTGTGAATGAAATCGCTCTGAGCTTTGTGAGAAGTCTTACTGATTTCCTTAAAATCATTTAGTCACAGCTCTTTAAACCCTGTCATTCACCTTATGAATGTACTTTAAAACATGTGCAGCCCTTTGCTTGGTCAATTTGGCTTAAATTACGGTATGCTTCAAGTATTTTCACATATAAGTAGACCAGCCTGTTATCAAAACGAATCAAGTGTTTTGCACTTAAATTCGAAACTGTACAGTTTTGTTCATCAGCTCCACACTCAAAGTTAAGTGCATAGCTCCTCGTTCAAAAGGATATTTGATTTGCTTTGTAGGGAAATCAGAAAACTACGGTTAAAAGCAGTCCTACCCCTCACTCCCACCCACACACACTAAATGACCTAATGAATAAAAGTCAAAAACCTCACATTTTCTTCATTAAATAAGTGTTTCGGTGCAAGCAAAAGCAGAAATAGCTTGAAACTGCAATCTCAAATCACGAACAGAGGCCGACTACACAGACCAACAAAAATCATGCACCTGAAGAGCGTGAAATAGAACATAATACTGGGCATGTGTGACATCTGTTTACTATGTATTACAAAAACTGAGTTTCTGGACCAGTTTCAGGTTCTAGTCAAGTGATGAATGATGAATGCAAAAGCCAGAACTTGACATAAGTAATGTTACAGTATGTTGCATTGTCTTAAACAGCGGTAATATTCTTCAAGGTTGAATTAAAACCGGGAAATGAAGGAAACTTATTCACTCTTTCCTCTATTTTGGTTAAGTTTCAAGGTTTGTACTTATCTTAGGTCTATTATTTTTTAAGTTAACTTTAAAGACAATAAATTCACCATCATTAGTGGTAATACAGTTACAGCTAGTTCACAGCAGATAAAAACAATTATGAACAAAACAGTATGAACATGCCAAGTTGAGCTCAAGATCATTACTCAGTTTCAGTTTGGTGTACAGCCGAGTCTTCAATATCCAGTTTGTTTTAAGATAAGAATCTCAAAGTGAATTTAGTTCAAAATCATCTTTATAAAGGTAATGTAAAAAAAAAGGATCTAATTCCCCTGATATGAGGTTTTCTTTCTGTTCTACCGCAGAAGGTAGTGAAGGTAAGTTATGCACTTTTTCTCTGCGTCATTTGTCTCTTGAATGATTTAAATGTGTGTAATTTAACCTGTTATAAGTATAAAAATCAACAGTTTTAACTCTTAACAAACTGGTTTAAGTTGGTTTAAACTCCTTACTACAAAATGCTGTATCTCAAAAAACAGTTTCTCAAATTTGACATAGTTGTCACAGAAGTGGTCGTAACAGCACTGCTGCTGGACATATTTATGTTAACTGAGTTACAGAATTTACAGTAGCTCTCTGGGTTTCAATTTAAATCACTTTATTTGTCCTCCAGGGGCAATTTAACACACATTTTATGCTGAAAACATGCCACTGCTTTGTTAAATGATTATTTTGAATCAAGCCAAACATTTTGGTCTTCTTTTACTCAACTGAAAAAAAATGACAATGTTCCTTTTATTCTTATTATTTCATACACAGACATTTCAGAGAACAAAAAATGGCCTCAAAGATGTTGAAAACCCCCAATAAAGGAAGCATTTTATGAAGATCAGGCATATGGACGAGCCTGTAAATGTTCTCTTTTTTTCAACTCACTAATTGAGAAAAAAGTGTGATTTAATGAAACATGTACAAATCTAGCTGAAATAAATCTGTTGTTTTTAAAATGAGCATTAAACAAGAATATGTCCTAAGTGGAAAAATGCATCTATAGTTTTTAAGTTTGACTACTGGCTGAAACTTTTACCTGATTACAGGAAAGGTCACAGAGCAGCGTAAGTCTTCTGGCCATCCTCTGGTGACTTGACCTTTTGGGAAAATCTGGACAGTGGATGTTTTGCCGTCTGTGTTATTTGAGCGATTTCAGCTATGGGAACGCTTGTGAATTATTATGTGCACAGTCTGGATAAACTGCCTGAAGCTCCACACCCTTTACTGTTGCCTGATGAACCAAGAGTTACACCATTTGCTCTTGATAGCTGTGATATGATCGACGTGTATTGATTCTGTGTCAGGTATTAGAGGGGGTTCAGCTGTGAAAGGAGAGTAAAGGCTCCAAGGGGGGGGGGGGGGGGGGTGCTGCTCATACACACATAAATGTGAGTGTGAGTGTTTGGGTTCTTTTCATATCTGCTGCTGCTGACGTCAGAGATGTTCAGGACATTTGTCCAAACTCTGACAGCATTACTAACTCACACTGTTCCACCCAGCAATGAGATGGTGTGTGTGTGTGGTGGTGGGGGTTATCTGTGGGTGTGTGTTGGTGTTGTTTTTGAAAGGCTTTTATTCCTCTGAGTCTTCTCGAGTATTTTTACAGATAAATTTGAGGTTCAAGCAGGAGGCTTTTATGGTCGAATGAGAGTCAGATAAATTCATTTTTTCCCCTCTCCTTGCAGTTCCTTCTTTCTTTGCCTTTTAAACACCGTCAGTAGTATCTTTAGGATCTGTTCCTGTCAGTCACAACAAGAAGATGCTGACATTAATGTTCCCCTTGACAACAAATATGGAGGGGAAAGTGGTTGTTACAGTAATTTTGAAATTAACTGGGTCCTTTTTTTTTTGTTCTTTTGCATTGTTGGCTGTTTCTCCTTTCAGAAAAGTCAGCACGTTTTCAAACACATTAAAAAGATTGTGTGTCAACAAACTGAAGCTATATCTTAGGGAAAACAATTCATAAGACCTGAACTCTCTGAATACGCTGAGTGTTTGCAGATACAAGTACCCAGGAAAAAAAAGGATCAGGGCCACCTGTGTTTTCCTTTATTTTAATCAGTGGTGGGCCGTCAGGGCCAGCACAGCCTTCTCTGCTGGCCTTAGCATACTCAGAAAAGTAAAGTTATTCATTTATTTAGTCATGAATATGTAAATAAAATTATTCTCGATTGTCTGTTCTCTTTATGTCATATTATGTCCACTCGATTGAGCTGCTTCCAATGTTGTATATTACGGTAGAATTTTTTATCCAATCATATTTCAGCTGGCTTGTGTTGGCGGGTGCTATGAAATCTGCCCAAGGCTTTCAGATTCAACAGAGCAGGCCCCTGTGCTCCTTAAGTGAACGGACACAGTCAGTTGCAACAGCCAATCAGAGTTTTAATTTCCCTTGGAGCACCGAATCGTCCATCCTTCCCACAACATGATCTTTTTCCAGCTTCTCTCTGTTCATTGACATTCAGGTATCCATCATACAATACCCAAGCTCTTCACTTGCTTCCTGTGCAGGAGATATTAACTAAACTATTAAAAAAAAAAAAGAGTCCTATTATGTCTTGATAGATCATGTGGGATGTCAGATATCTCTCTCTACACGATTGTTCATTAGATCTAGATCATTAGTTCATTAGGCGGCTCATCAGGAGGAGTGATAATAACTCAAGTGTGAAATTATCTGAAAGAGCAGGAGGAAAGAGGAACACCCAAAACACGGTGACTTGAACTTTAAACAGCAGAGTCATGATAGCACTTTTGGACCGTACTGGAACCGGGGTATCAGACCTGATTCTAGAAAAAAAAGTTGTCACACTTTTTTTTTTGTCATCTACAAAATGAGCTGTATCCTACACTCTGGCATGACCAACATAGAAGTGTACGACACAGAAAGAGGTATTTTATTGTGTTGCAGTATTTTACTGTTAAGATGGCGCTCAAAAAGGCAAGTAACTGCTTTATTTTGCTAAACCTGCTGAATACATAACATGATGAACCAGTCTAGCGATACATCTTCTAAATGCTTTTCTTCTTCATTAATTCATTATCATGCATTTGAAGGAAACAGTAAGAAAGTTTCAAATTAATAAACCTCAGACCCACTCTTAAGTTAAGGGAGACAATTTGGTTAAAAAAAAAAAAAAAAACTCCTCAGTTTGAAGTGGCAGGTGGCAGACAAAACTGAGATGGTGTGAGTGCCATATAGCTGGCTGTGAGCACTGTCTGTCAATATCTCACAACATCAGTACTCTAAACTGAACTTGGTCACTAACAGATGATACTATGTGGAGCTACACATCTGGATCGAAACTGAACATTTCTGAACTCAACAGAAATACAGTCCAAACCTTTTCCCCTCTTGGAGCCCTCTTAAAAAAATGTGCTGCATCTAACATAAACGCACAACCTCCAGTTTATATCTACATCTATAATCCAGTATGGACCATTGATATCTTTTTTGATGTCACACTCCAGGTTTGGAAACTTGTGTATCCTTATCACATGTAGCAAATAAATCTTGAGAAGTCCTATATTCATTGCATCTGTTACACTTAAACTAGCTGTAACATTGCCTGCATGTATTGTCCCTACCGAATAAACAGATTAGTAAAATAAATATAATATGGATTCAACGGTATTATGTAGCTGTCAGTTCCCTTGAACTGCTTCGCAGGCATGAGGCTTTAAAATGGCTGCAGTCTGCATATTTTTGCATCTGTGTCAAAGTATTGCTGCCAGAAACCCTCCGTGCAGCAGATTTCAGATGCTATTTTTTATATGCATCAGGAAAAAAAAAGACTTTAATCCAAAGACACCATTAGGAAAATGGCTCATAAACACTGTACAACAGGGGAAAGGGGGGAAAGTGACAGTCAGAGGGTAAAAAAAAAGAAGAAAATACAAAAACTGACATTGTGAAAGGAGGACTGGATGACAGAAAGCTTCTCAAACAAACAAAAAAAATGAAACGAGACGAGAAGATGAGTATGAGCAAGGATGGCAGTTTAGGTAAGGATTCAAATAAGGACATATCCATTGCAAAACCAGGTTTTTCTTCTTTCCTCCCAGCTCAGGATCTCTTTCAGAGGAGACGGAAAAAAGGAAATGCAGTCATGTGTTCGGTGAATGATGGAGAGGCTGCCATGATGCAATTTTAGCAATCACTTATACACAGCTGGGCTTTTGTGCTGTC